CACTAAGTATGGCTCTTCTTTTTTTAAAATACCAATTTTGAACTTTCTAATTTTACGTTTTTTACCCTAATGATAAAAATAAGTTAATTTGGCAAATAATTGCAGAAAAACGATTTTATCTCCTAATTGTTTGTTTGTTTGTTTTGTTTATTTCAATATGTAAGTGTACAATTAAGAGCAGGGCTCTTTTTTAATTCTCTTCAAGTGAAGCGAATTTCTCTTATACACCGTTGTTTTCCATATGATTTTATAGATGTATTACAGTATAAAAAACAAAATTATTCTTAAAAATATGTTTAGCATGAAGAGAAAGAGTTTTGCATACAACATTAAATCTCTCTCCTGTTGGTCTTAACAAAAAACTAGAAGGAAAAGGTTTAAGGAAAAGAAATGGGAGGTGATCATTATGATTATGTGTCTGAAAAATGCCCCATGCACTGGCTCCTAAATTCTGTCACAGATTCAAGTAATCTAATTTCGGAACTTAAGGAATTCCACAGGCGAACACCATAAACAAAGAACGAACAGTCTGATTGCTTTGTTTTTCGCATATCCGGAAAACTCAATGCCCTATTTCGAGGAAATCTAGGAAAATTTATTTCGCGATACAAATACTCTGGTTGTTTGTTTTTTAATAGTTGAAACAAAAATTAACTTATTCTCTAAGCTATTGTGGGTATAAAAGGGAAATTTGAGAAAAGTACTCCCACATGCATGCTGCAATCATAAGTTTCAGATTTATTTTGAGAACCTTTCGATTATTTCCTTATTTTAGATTTTAAGCAGAAGGTAAGAAAGGTCCTCTTGGATATTTTGGATTTCTTTTTGCAAGCTTTCATTCATCATTATGATGAAAAAAATGTCAGATGAATGAAAAGGAGATTTTTGAGATTGTTGAATCAACATGCGATGAATAAAGGCAAGTTATGCATAAATAACGTCGAAATAAGGTAAAATAGCTCTACTATTTTTAAACATGAAAAATTAAGAACTAATAAAAGCTTCGTTGGTTATATAAAAAAGTTTTTTACTGCATTTTTCAACGAAATTAAACTGATCACTCATAGGGCTTAACAAGCTTTATTAAATCTATTTCTTCCCATCACTTCCTTGTGTTCCCAAAAAAATGTTGTGCATAGAAGAATAACTGAAAGCTTTTGCCTAGATTTAGATTAATAATTGAAGTTGAATGTAATGTTTCGGGAAGAAAACATCAGGGGATGCTGTAATAATTATTATTCATGGACACACGATTACCTTGGATGAAGAAATATCCTTATGAAGCAATAAATGTAGGCTGAAATACTTTTTTATCAGATTTTTATACTCAATGAATTAGAATGTAAAATATTTATTGAAGAAGAAAATTAAAATTGAAGTTTTCCTTGGGATTTCCCTAGGCAGCAGTCAAATTTAATAATGATTTCAAAGAACTAGGCTTTATAATTTTATTCAAAGTTCACGAAGAATAATTCCTTTAAAACAGTCGGCAGAAAAATTGCGTAACCGAAATTGGAAAATCCTAAATCTTTTTATTTTAAAATAATTTTGTGATTTATGAATTTTTGAATTTTTATCAGATGAAATTGTACAATTACTGATCGAGATGGTTTTGATTTTAAGTAGGCATAACATGAATAATCAAGGATGCCCTTACGGCCTAACGTAGGCCTTCATAACATTATATAAACATTTTAAATCGAGTGAAATTTGTGAATATGAATGTTTAGTTAACATACGTTGCATCTAATGTAGATTTCTTTTCATCTCTAAGTGGGAGTAGCGTTTAGATAATTTATTTGACATACAGATGGATAAATTGACGTCATTGCTGTTTATTTGTAAAATTATCTCGCAGCTTCTTAAAATGTTTTGATAAATCCTATAAAAAATTGACTTTCAAAGAAATGTTATTCAAAATAACTTTTCACGAACTTGACACAATACTTTGGTCTTGAATATTAAAACATCTTTCCAACCTGAAACATCCAAAATAAAAATGAAGTTCATTAAAATCTTCTTAAGGGTAATTTTTGGAATATTTTCTCATTGTTTATTTAACCTTTTTCTCTGTATAATTTTTGCTGTTAGATGTTTTTTTTTACTTTTATTTTTCTACCAAATTACAATTAATGTTTGTCCAAGGAGCTTAATATTTATTCGATTGTGAAAGGGTTCTTTCTTATCATTCAGCAAGTGATTTCTTGAACATGTCTCTTATCACTTCCTCTCTTCTTTCTTCGTTATTTAACAAAGTTTTCATTTAAACTTTAATTTCTACAGCTTTTCGCTAGTGTCACTGATAATTTTAAGATTTAAAATAAAATTAGAGTCGCTTGAATGAATTTCAGTAAATTTCCTCACTGAATTTACCTTCTAGACAAGCAGAAATAATACGAAAACACAAAAAAAAATCTCAACATGAATAAAATGCAATGAGATTTGAAATCTAAGTTCATTGATGTTCAAAAAAGCTTTCAAGAAGTCAATACGAATTTTGTTGAAATGTGAAAAAGATGAAAAATTGAGACTAAACATCCTAAATAAAAACTAAAATTATGACTTATTTGATTTGAAACTTCTAAAACTATGCTGCTGATGATGATGTTTCATTGTTCCATTCAATAGAAATTAATCATGATGATTTTATCATTAACTCTCGTATTAGATTTTCTAGTGTAACATTGAAATATTTTTTATTTTTATTTTAGTTTTTTTTTTCTTCCTTTCATGTTATTTTTTATATAAAGTTTATGAGTTTTAATTTCTTCAATTTCATTTAGCAAGGTAGATAAATGACTTCTACGGAATATGAAAATATTTTCCGTGAATTTTATTTCCTCGTCCTAATAGTGAAATATCCTAAGCTAAGAAGATGAAGAGAGAAAATCGTCGTTTGTTTTAGCTACTGCTTACTTAGCCACAAATGTTTCATTCATTCTTCTTCGCTATAATGAGAGCTTTTATTATGAAAAATAATAATACACTGTTGAGTGAAAGCAATTGTCATCCATTGACAATTATTGGGATTTATGGTTTTGAATGGAAATTCAACTTAGGGAAAGTTCATAATTAGGAATTTCTTTCTTGCGTTTGATAATGTACGCAATCCTTTTCTTAGATATTGATATCGTTATCTTTCGATAGAATTCAACCTAAATTCCTGAACCTTCGCTAAAGTGAATTTCCCTTTAACATTATCATCGGTATGAACATGAGTTTTATTTAATTTCGGCCTTTTTTTATGTTATCTACTTGCTCTCACAATTTTTACTTTCATTCATCCAATAAATCATTCATACGAAAAGAAATGCTTTTTTATGTTTGTAGATAATCATTTTTCTGCTGTTTTCTGCTCCAGATTTCGATTTAATAATGAAAATTTGCTGTAATTAAGTTCGTTCTTTTATTGCTATTCATGTTTTTATCTTTTTCTCATTTACCTTACGTGTTTTTTTTTTCATCTCAATTTGCATTAATCATAGAAATAAATATAAAAAGGTATTGTAATTGAAACAATCAAATGGCGATATAAATTTTAAAGTTTCATTTTTACCCACTTTCAGATGTTTCATCATTTCCAAAAAGAAGAAAAAGAGAAAAGTTTTTCATTTTAAATCATCCCAGTAGATCGCCGCCATATGGCGTGGGAATAATTTTCAAACTTTTCTCTTCCATTTTTTTTTCTTTTCTCTTATTTTTTTTTAACTTCTCATTTAAGCTTTTTGTTATCCCATTCAAAAAAAGGTGAATTTTATACGAACACTTTTGCAACTGCGTCAGCTCCAGCACTTGCAATGAACGGTTTTGATGGATGGAACGCAACATCAAGAATACTTTCCTCAAACTTTTTCCGATGTGCTGTAATTTCTTGAACACAGGTCTTCTTATTTGCAATGTTCCATAAACGAATGGAGCAGTCATGCGATCCACTCAACAAATAAAGACCATGAACATCAATGGCCAAACTCGTCACAGCATCCAAATGTGCTACCATCGCATGTAATAATGTTCCATCATTAACGTCATAGAATCTTATCCAACGATCTTCATGGGCTGTTATGATAATGGGCATTGTTGGATGTGAAATGATTCGATTTATATATTTTGATGGATCAGCTGCTCCAGACATTCCATTCGGTGTCAATTTCAAAAGTGCTTTACCAGTTTCAACATCATGAATAACTGACACTGCACTTTTATAACTCACAACAATCTTGTCCGTTTCATCACGAACAAAGTCAACAGATGTTGGAATTCCTTCATTCTCACTTGAGTATGTGTTAAGAAGGGGAATTTTGGAATTCGGTGACCAAAGCTTAACAGTTCCATCAGAAGATGCTGACACGACATTACCTTTTGTATGATTCACCGAAAGACGCCAAACAGCATCTGTGTGGCCCTCTAGGCTACATTTGAGAACTTCCGGATCATAACTGTCGTATGGGTCAATGCTTGAACTCGGCAAATTCCAACAATTTATGACACCATCAAGACCACCCGAATAACATTGTTCGCCGCTTGCCGACATTGCGAGACATAATACGGGCCCATTATGAGCACGGAACGTATATAGCGGCTCGACATCAAGCGATGCTGACTTTTTAGCCGGCACCGTCTTTTGGAGATTCCATAATTTGAGTGTATGATCATCAGAGCCGGTAATGAGAACTGATTCCTTCGGATGAAATGCCAAAGCACGAACACAATCGAAATGACTGCGTAATGTGTATTTTGCATTCCATGTTTTACGATGTGATTCTTTAGAATTGTTGACGTCATATGTTGATTCCGATTCATTTGTAACTGTTAATTCAGCCAATTCACCGAGTCCCAAGCTACTATCGACTTCTTCGTCGGTACCTGGTACAAGACTAGTAATTGCGCGCGGAACTGATGATTTAAAGCCTTGACATGAGAGAGAAAAGAAAAATGCTATAAAATTTGATTGTTAATGAAAAGTTAATTAGAAATTACCATGCTGATTCCAATCACCATCTTGCTGACGTTGACTGTCATTCAAATTCATGTTGGCATCTTCGCCTTCCACTAATCGATTTAGGTCATTGAGAACTTCTTCTGCTTCGGCATCAGCATCATCTAATTATACAACATAAACGTAAATAAAGTTTGATTTGTCACGTTCGTGTTCGTCTTACCATCGTTTACAATTACTCCTTTGGTCTTCAACTTCAACTGCTTCATATCAGCATCGGTGCCGGAAACCATATCCATGTCATCACCCATATAATCTTCATCATCCATTTCGACATCAGCGGGCTCAAGGAAGGCAAAGCTTGACATGACTGCGGCTTCAGTGTCGAGTAAAAGAGCGTCAGCCATTAATTGTGGTTGACTCTTCTTTGCTGGTTGTCCACGTCCTTTAATCGAAGCATTAATCAGCATTTAATTAATTAATCATTTCAATCTTCTTACCTTGTGATTCACTCGCACGCTTATTGTTAGCTTCACCATTCATGTTAGGATTAATATTTTCTTCTTGTTCAGTATTTCCCAATTTAAGCATGTTTCGTGTACACTTTGAACGAACATCAATTATTGTCTCTGTACAACCGATTTCCTTCAAATAATTTTGTAGCCTTGCTCGTCCTCGTTCCCACATTTGGTTTGTCACCGGACTATAAGGAAACTCTGAATCTGAAATTGAATAAATTTAAAGTATGATGAATTTTATTTAAAGGTGAAAATGTGAGGATTCAAGTTAATTACCTGCAGATATCTCATTAGCTCCCAAGTCGTCAGGCGATTGCGTTAAATCAACCGTAGGTGGATCACATCCAAACTTTAAACGATGAAATTTTATGCGTTCTTGCCGTAGCGCATATTCCAGCATTTTAATACGGCGAATTAAATCGGAGTGGGTCGTTTGAAGACCTTTACGTTCACCTAATAGCACGGCAATTTTCGACTGTGGGAAAAAAGAATGAAAGGAAAATCTTAATTCAAAGAAATAATTTAATTAATGAAACAAGACCTAAATTTATTATCTGACTACCTTTCCAACACTTATCGATAATTAAGAAATAAGGCACGAACAAGTGAATTGAGGAGGTTGCGATGTTTCATCGCAGAAGTTTCAATTAAAACTGAAACAAGTAGATTGAAGTTTCTCCAAAAATAAAGAAAGAAAAAAAGTTTTTCAACATTCGACAGTTAATTACAACAAAAAAGATGTTCACGCTCAATAAATTTTTTTGGCTACTGAATGCGTGTAGTCTTAGAATGCGTGATGAAGTCGTTTGGTTGAATTCTCTCTAATAATTTATTGTGCCGTCCACCATATCGTAAATTGCAATTTCCAAGTTACGAAAAAATGAAAGATTTCCCTCAAGCTACGAGAATACTTTTATATTCACTTTCCTTCCTAAATTAAGGACAGAACAAACCTTTTCCCATTAAAATGAATTTCACGTTGTTTTCTCGCCAATAACAATGTCAAAGAATATGGTGAAAGATAGCAATTGCGTCCCTTCCGTCTGCCTTTTTGAATTTCATTCTCTTACATATATTTTGATATTTAATTTTTTTTCTTTCAATATTTACACCAAATGCCACAAAAAAGATCTTGGAAAACAAAATTTGGTCATGCTTAGTAGAAAAAGAAATTTAATCAAACTTTGAAATGATGTCGTCTCGTGAAACTTAAAGAAGCTATTCAATATTGTTGTTAGAAGCAGCGTTAGATACACGAGCTACAATGTAAAGGAAGGTCACGTAGAGAAAGAAAGATAGCCGAGAAGAATCTTTCTTGTTTGCTCTTGTTTTTTATTAATAATGTACAGCTCTAACTTTACTATCGATTCGTGATTTTGGGAAGTTACAACTTGTTTTACATTAGTCTTGAGAAATATATAAATGAATAAATTCAATCTAATTGATTGTTCAGGACATTTCGGCCTCGATTCTACACAAAAGAAACATAACAAGCGAAATGAGTGACGCGATGGCAAATTGAAAAAGAAACCTCATTAATATCAAGCCAGGAAATTTCTTTTGGGTAGGCAGGGAAGGATAAAAGAGTTTTCAGATTTAAAGTAGGTTACTTTAATAAGGAGAGAAAAGAAAGCACGGCAAACATCTAAGCCTAAAGTTGCTATCTTCACAAAATAATCAATTCTAAAGCTTGTTGAAATTAAAAACAGAAGCTTTGGGTTAGGCCGAACTTGAAACATGAAAGCTTAAATTAAAAATTTGTGATAAACTAATTAGAATGTCAAAAACATTTAGTTTCAATAAAAATGAGGGTTTGTTTCCTCATAATTAGGAAACATGAAATTTTAAAGATATTTACTCAGTCAAGTGGAGCTTTTCAAAGTATTGTCAAATATTGAAGAGTTGAAACGGAAATTTAAATGAAAACTATGAAAATCAAGGAAGTACAAAATCATTTAGAGAGGGTAGAATGATAACATTCCACATTCCTGATCTCTAAATTTCTACAAAAAAAGTGACAGTATGATAAATTGCATTTCGAAAGAAAGTCCTTGAAAGAAATTTATTACTTTCAACAATGAGTGAATTTTTGAAGCTCAGAAAGAATATGATTCGTATAATCTACAAAAGAAACTCATTAAAGTTCCAAAAGATAATTTTTCTTTCTTATATTCCCAACGTTAGGTGCTTCAATGACTCCGTTGACAGCTTTGCAAATTAGACAAATGGGAAAGGCCATTAGCGAAAATCTGACGTTGTTATGTATCGAGGAATTGAACATTAGTTGCCTTTCGAGGACGTGCCTTAAAGTGTGACATTTTAGATTTATAGAATTACATGAGTGCAGACGGAAAATCAATTTCATTCTTCTCGTGATTTGCAAAAAAATAAAATGTTTTTAAAGATTTCGTATTTTTTAGTAAATGATGAGCGGAAACTTTTTCACAAATATATCTACACGAAGAGTGACAGAATGAAAAAAAGAGAGAGGAAAAGATCATTGACATTTGCAAAGTAAATATTAATAGTGTTCATGATCATAGGGCAAACATGTTGAAGCCGTCATCAACACACAAACAGTTGAATCTTATGAGTAAGAATCATTTATTATTCGACGTAAATGGATCATGAAAGAAACTTGTCAGGTGGAATGGAAAAACATTTACGTGCCGTATTAGTATCATACTTGGTATATTGAGCTTTCCACATGAAATCACAAAAGAAAATAAATAAAATCCAATGAGTACAACGCATGTGTATTACTCATTTGGAAAGTATATGTTTCTAAATATTCTGGAAATTAAATTAAAGGTCAAGTTCATGAAAGCTTTTAACATTTTCCATTTAATCTAATTTGACAAATTTTCTATTCAATTTCTGAATTGTCCGGCGAATTTTCACACCAAGGAAAAGTTTTTCTTTCGACATCAATGAGAAATTTCTAAAAGCAAATTGATTTAGCTACTCAAGTGTTTGTTAGCCATGAAAAAGTCCATAGAATAATAATCAATATATGTTTGTAAGTGACTTACAATTTTAATGTTATCATTTAAAATAATAATTATGAGCAATAAATATAATATTTTATAGCCTGACATTACACATAAATATAACAATCAAGACTTGACTTTTTAAATTTTATAACTTGTTCAACAATTTTCATAAAGGGATTTGTAAATTTTCATGACTTCTCATCGCTAACGATGTGATTAAACTTTAAATGTGCTTTGTCTTCATGCAATTGTTTTATTGAAGAACGCAATTATTTTGAAGGACGATGACCTATGGCAAATAAAGAAAACAATCAAATAAAATTAGGATCCAATCGATCATAAAAAATCATATGCTTACAAAGATGAATGAAAGATTACATATTTGATTTGATGTAAAGATTAACTTTTCTTATTTTAGAAACAATAGACCGAGAATAACAATAACGTTCGATAACCTTTCTTTACATATTTATTTACGTGAAATTCCAAATGGGAAAGGAAAATTCTCAAGAGCATTTTCAAGATTCTTTTTTATTTATTTTTGTATTGAAGACAAACATGACAAGAATCTCAACTTCGATATCGAAAGGGTTACAATTGATTTTATTTTAAATTATCAGAGAACAACGCATACAACAACGCAACAGAATCAGTTAAGATTTATTGAAAATAAAAAAAAAAGCAAATCAAATACAAATGAATTGATGTTGCTTAATATTATAATGGAGGAATATGATTTTAATTATTTTTTAATTTACGAGACAAAGTGAATAAAGGAAAACAGAAAAACATGATAAAAATTTGCGACATATTTTTTTTTCTTACTTTCAATGAAATAGTTTTTTGCACAGAATTAAATTGACATTGTGTCTAAAATGTGACCATCGCAGATAGATACAGGAAATCACTTTTTACAGAATCTATCAAGATTGTAAAGATGAAAGTATGACAGAGATGGATATATTATGGGCGAGAGAGTGCAGAGAGAAAGTAAGAGAGTGGAAAATTTTTTTGTACACGATCAAAAACCGTGAACGAAAAAAAATTGTTTTGCCTTGTCTGGAGTAAATGCGAATTCCAGTCGATTAAGGTCTCGGAAAGTGCCCAATGATGGTCACAAAGATGACAACTCACCTGTAATTCGGCTCGATCTGTATCCCATTGCGATCTTTCTGCTTGAAATCTTTGCCATTCGTGCTCTATAAAATGCAATATTCCAGGAATTGTGTATTCAGGAACAATCTTTGGTGCATTGCCATTTGCGTCATCAATTTTTTCACCAGCTGCCGGATTGATAGAGCGATTTTGCCCAACACCAACATTTTGAGCACCATTAAGTGAATTTTCATCCATGATTTCTGTTGTATTGATTATTCTCATTCCCTCATAATAACTTGTTATCCATACTAATAATAACGCTTTATTTCGTTTCAAAAATAGTCACACTTCTTCTAATGATAGCGTTTGAACTGACAGAACTTTTATTTAATAGGAAATGAGTAGAAATTATATGAAAGCAATCAAAAAAAAAACTTTTTTTTAACTTTTTTCTTTTCGAGAAAATCTAGAATTTTTCCTTTTTGTATCACTCTAATACACTAGATTTTATGGTCTTATGCTTCTCTTTCAAGTTGTTAAGAGAAATCTTTCAAATTTGTATTATTTTCTTCACACTTTAGATGCTTTTAGAATTGGAATAAATTTTTACTTTTACGATTAATTTTGCACGCCCCTTTTTTCCACCATTTTAGCGTTTACTAATAAATTGCCCGTCACGAGGAAGTTTTACTCACCGATGAATAATTTTAATTAACCATGAAATAACAAATTTGTGAATGTATAAATCTTTTTTATTTATTTTAGATATTGTTTCAAAATATTTTCGAAATACCTAAATTTGGATCAAACTTATCAAGACATAAAGGTATTTTAAAAGCATATCTCAAAAGGGGCTTTGAAAATACTGCCAAATATTCAAATTTGTTCTTATTGCCGTTATAATCGTTCACATTATTTGCATGAAATCAAATTTCTCAATATTTTGAAATTAACTTCCTGTAAAAAAATCAGAAACCTTATTTGCTTAACGATTTAGAATAAATAAAGAAAAAAATTATATGATCGTCATTGGTTTATTTATCCAAAAATAGTGTTCAAAATAAAATATGGTTTTGATACAGAAATTAATAGAAGTTAAGTATAAAATTACAGACAAGTTTGATTAATCACTCATTTTATAAGAACTCTTCACACCAATCGTTAAGACACTGGTAGCAGTCGGAAGCTTGTTTCGAGTTTGCATTAATTGTGTCCTTCATCCATTCCTTGAATAATTCTGCATCTTTCTTGAGGATTAAATATTGACCAAGAACCGTGTAAGCCTAAAAATATTAATCATTCATTTAATTAAATGATTTACATATGATTGTGATCAAGTTTATCAAACCTTATCAAATCCTTTATCTGTGAGTCGTTTTCCGAGTGTTTCGCCAATTCCAGCCAATTCTACGAAATGTACAATCATTAAAATATGAGCTCATACGAAATTGTATTTTTATGATATTAGTGACAATCTATAATCGTAATCTATATTAACATGAGATTGTTTATTAAAGGTAAGGCAGTAATTATATTCCAACACTGCCTGAATACATCGTTTAATATTTACGAGATTTAAGAAATTTATTTGAAGATAAATTTCCGGCAAATATGAAATTAACTGGGAATGATGCATACCTGTGCATGGTTTATCGCCCATTGGTTCAGCAACAAAATTACGATGCTTTTGTGAAGTGCTCGACATCTTTAGATTCTTATTTTGTTATTAGTTTATGTTTTTTTTAAATGCCTGTATAAATTTTCAAAGCGTTCACTTGTGCTAAAGTTTTCTTTCGAACTGTCAGTTGATGCAGGGAAAAGTAGGGAAAGAAGCAGGGATGGAATGTGCTAAAACATTTTTCTTATATTTTGAATTTTAGCAGAACGTTAATTTTAAGCAAATGTCTTTAACACCTCAATAATAAAATCAATCATCACAATCTGGTTTCTATCAAAAACAAAAATATTTTGATTCAAATAGATTTCAGTCAGGTCAAATCTCAGTACAGGCAATGGATACATCAAGGTAATAATTTAAATACAAAATTTAATATGGATAAAATAGATCGAATTATGTTTGCAGATACATCATATTAATCAAATGGTGCTTATTAGAATTTGTATCTTCATGTCATGCCTTTGAATTTTTAGAAAAGTTTGGGGAATGGATAGGAGCGATAGAAAAGAAAGAACTTCAGATTTATTATTTCAATTCTACTAGTCAACCATTAACAAAAATTCTTCCAATTGTTAATTCGACATCTCAAGACAGTTGCAGCTCAGTGAATTGTTTGTGTTCTGATGAAATAGCCAATGATTTCATTACGGGTTCATGTTCAGATACAGTAGAATATTTATTTGTGACAATTGTCATTTTATTATTTCTAATGTTATTTTTGTTCATCATGTATTGTTCTGAGAGAAAGCACAACAGAATGTTGATAAAAGAAGCAGTTGAAGAAATGTATTGTCGTGAATCTGCTCAAGAAGTTAAAGTTTCAACCAAAGATTGTGATCTAAACTCAGTCAAAATTGATTTGCATGAAGAAGAAGAAAAAGCTCAAGAGAGTGTCGTATCGAAAGCAGAGAATTTCGATTTATAGAACTTTTCATTCATAACGAAAATATAATGAGTATTAAGTAAAAACCTAATGTCTTCCACCGATGAATCTCCTGTATTAAACGTAGATAAACTTTCACAAAAAATATGTAATAAATAAAAATATTTGTTAATCATTTCTCTGGTTTTTTTAATACCTTAAATTGAGTTTCAATACTATTATCAGTTCTCATAATATAACGACAATTCAAACCTCATGGCAAGTCTCTCTCCATTCGTTCATGACCTATGCCAAGCATTGTTGCATCTATTATTGAAACAAATTGTGTATAGAATTCTTTATTTTCTCTCATTGCACTGAGTGTTAAATGTCAGCTGTCTCACTTTGCGGTTTCATTTTTTTATCTGAAACATCGATTAGTTTTCATAATCTTGACACATTGTGAAGTGCTTCTTGTAAAAATCATTCTTAATTCTCATAATCATTTGCTGTGACAATTAAGATTATTTTATCATTTTTATTTCTTAAACTTTACATTTTAATCATTCTTATCTAATCACAACAATTATAGGACTAATTTTATTGTTTCTGCATCAACCGTAATGTTTGTCATGCCTAGTTTTTCTCATTTGTAACTTCTCAATAAAGAGAAGTTGAAAACTTCAGTGACATTTTCTATTGAAGATTGAAAAGTGTCAATATTGTAAAAAAAACCATTTCATTCATAGCACTTCAATTAACTTCTGTCTCAGTATCGCCTTGCCATCCATTGGAATTACTTTGTAAAAATGGCTTTTGGTATTTGGGATTATGTAGTATTTTTAACTTGCTTAATGATATCTGCAAGTATCGGAGTGTACGCTAGATACAGTGGTGGAAAACAAAAGACAGCTAATGTAAGTAGACTATTTGAAATTGCTTTAGAAATTTGGCTTATTTGATTAGTGAATTTTTTTTTGGCAATCGAATCATGCATTTAGACATGTGATTCATTTGATTGATCAGTAAGTTTCCACTGTCTTTTAAGTCTTTCTAGGTTCAAAATTATGCGTATGGTTAATTCTGTTTTAAGGCCATCTGACAAAACCTTAAGCAGTTTGACGACTTATTTTTGCGTTGTGTGCCAAAATTGAATTATGAGAAAACTTTAATCAGGCATCTAATGAATCTAATATTTCCATCATGGTATTTCATATATTTCCGTCATCTCATATTTCCATAACAATAACAAAAAAAAAAACATTTCAACCAGCTTCTGTCTCAGTATCGTCTTGCCATCCATTGGAATTACTTTGTAAAAATGGCTTTTGGTATTTGGGATTATGTAGTATTTTTAACTTGTTTAATGATATGTGCAAGTATCGGCGTGTACGCAAGATATAGCGGTGGAAAACAAAAGACAGCTAATGTAAGCAGACTATTCGAAATTGCTTTAGAAATTTGCTTATGAGTCAATTAGATTAATAATTGTTCTTTTGGCAATCATGCGCTTCGACATGTGAATGATCAGTAAGTTTTGATTGTCTTTTGAGTCTTTGAAGTTCAAAGTCTTGCGTATGACGTAGTAGTTTGACGATCTATTTTCGTTTTGTGTGACAAAATTAAATTATGAGAAAACTTTAATCAAGCATCTAATAACTCTGAAGTTTCCATCATGATATTATTAAGTTAAATATGTTTTCGTTATCTCAAATTTCATTACCTTAAAAAAATTAAAATTATTTATATTCACAGGAGTATCTATTAGCTGATCGAAGTATGCCAATCCTTCCTGTCTCATTCAGTCTTATGGCGAGTTTTATCAGTTCAATTACATTGCTGGGAGTTTCAAACGAAATTTATCAATACGGGACTCAATTCGTTGTGATTAATGTCTCATATGGTAAAAATATTTTACACAATAGATTAATAATTGGATTAAACGTGCAATGATTTTGATATCACTTAAGGTCTCGCAACTCCTATTGTTGCCTACTTATATTTACCAGTTTTCTTTAAACTTCAAGCGACAAGTGCTTATGAGGTGAGTTTTTCTTTTTAATTGAATTAAAACTTTGATCTTTAAACACTTTGAAATCAGTACTTAGAAAGACGTTTTGGTAAATCAGCGAGATTGGCAGCGTCGTTGTCATATTCTATACAAATGATCATGTACATGGTAAGTGTTAAATATTTATTTGCTAAGGTATTCCATATTTCAAAACCATTCAGGGTATCGTCTTATACGCGCCAGCATTAGCTCTCGAAGCAATTATGGGATTAAACCAAAATTGGTCAATATTGTTAGTAGGTGCTGTTTGTACATTCTATTCGACAATTGGTGGAATGAAAGCAGTGCTATTCACCGATGTCTTTCAATCAATTTTAATGTACAGTGCAGTATTGGTGATAGTTGTAAGTGGATTAATCAAAGCTGGAGGTTTTGAAGAAATTTTTCGCGTGGCTGATGAAGGAAATAGACTTGAGTTATGGAAGTAAGATCGAAATGTTATAAAATTAGAAAATATGCTGTTAAATATTTCACTTTCTTAAAGTTTCAATCCTGATCCAACAATACGTCATACATGGTTTACTATCATGATTGGAAGTTCAGTAACGTACTTAACACTTTATGCAGTAAATCAAGCACAAGTGCAACGATTATTGACAGTCAAAGATTTGAGATCAGCACAAATTGCGGTTTGGATAAATTGGCCGATTCTTTCATTCCTGTCGCTTTCAACATCGTTCACAGGTCTTGTTCTTTATTACTATTATAAAGAATGTGATCCCTTGCAACAAGGCCGAATAAACTCGATGGACCAAAATGTTCCGCTTTATATAATGGATGGTAAGTGGACAATATTAAGTGATTAGAAGTTATGGATTGATGATAATTTCTTTTTGAAGCTTTGGGCCATATACCAGGAATAAGTGGATTGTTTGTGGCTGGAGTTTTCTCAGGAGCTTTATCAAGTGTTTCATCCACTTTGAATTCATTAGCAGCTGTGACTTTAGAAGATTATTTCAAGCCTTTGTATTTCAAGATCAAGAAAAAAGAATGGGAAACAACATCAGCAACAGTTTCCAAAATAACAGCTTTCATTTATGGATTAATTTGTATTGGTGGAGCTTTCTTAGCTCAATTTTTTGGTGGAATTTTACAGGCATCGCTGGTTTTGTTTGGTGTCATTGGTGGCCCTCTTTTGAGTATTTTTACATTAGGAATGTGTACTGAAATGGCTAATGAATGGGGAGTGATACCAGCACTTTTCATAGGTATTGGATTATCGATTTGGATTGGTTTCAGTCCTAAACCACTTCCAGATCGTCAGCTAGAATTTTCAACAGAGAACTGTGAAGAATTTGGAGGGTTATTTAAAAATGCAACTCAACCAGTTGAGGATAATTCTGATGAGTAAGTTTTTACTTCACGTTTTTACTTTTATTTCTTGCACTAACGCAATGTATTTATTCTGCAGTTTCTTTTACTTATTTAGACTGAGTTATTTATATGCAGGTGTTATTGGTAATATTATCAGGCAATTCTTAATTTTGTTTTTTTCTCAAAACAATTATTTTTATAGGTTTTCTACTCACTTTTATTATTGGGTATATTCTGAGCTACATTTTAAAAGTATTGAAACAACAAAACAGCGACAAAATTTATGTCGATGAAGCTAAAACAATAATTAATGCTGATCTGTTCATGCCACCAATAGCAAAATATATTAGAAGAAGGAACAAAAAAGTCACTAAATCAATGAAGGAAAATAACGATTTGGAATTAAAGGAAACAGATTACAAATTTTAATAAAGATTATTGAATTTTATACTTGAATTTGAAACACAAATTTCTAACGGTTTTTAATTCAAATTATTTTAACAAAGCTTTAGAACAAAATTAGCACTTTTAGTTGTTATCCCCTTTAGCAAAAAAAAAAGCATATTTAGCAGTAAATTTATTAAAATAAATGCTGAACTTAACCAGTAAACAAGGCTTAAAAGACTTAAAATTGTAAATAAAACATTACAGTACACATTAAATATAAATTTAGTAAAAGAACATGAAGCCTGTTGCCGTAAAAAGTGTTTAAAAATTTCAAGACCAAATTGAAAAAAAAAATCTACATCACTGATAAATGGACTCGAATTGGAAAAATAAAATTCAGATTAAAAAATAACTTTTCGAAGTAAAATAATAAATATATTAACAATTTGATGATATTTACTGTAGTTTCTAATCGTGAAAGAGATCTTAAAGGTTAAATTGAATGAAAGGAGTGAACAACGATAGAATTACAAAAACCAAGCTATGCAAACACAATGAGCAAGGTAATTTCATTTGTTTATGTTCATATTAAGATAGTTTCAGCAAGTATGCTGATCAGTTATGTCTCTGAGTGCTGTGGAATCATTAGCGACTTAAAATGTGCCTTCTGGGTGTGGTTATAAAGTTGTATCAAACATCAGAAAACTTGCTCAGTTCTTCAAATTTTATATTTGTTTACATTTTATTTGTTTCCTTTTTAACCGGAAATACTGCTAGTAATCACACCGATCCTTCAAGAAGTGAGTTTTGTCGTTTTAGGCTCCAACATGAGCTCAAAATCGTTCAATCCTGGATTGATTCAAAACTTAAAATAATGAACTTCTGAACCTTCAGTTATACATTTAGTGCCACCTGATGACTCTGAGCTTGTTTCAGGTCACTTCCAGTTTCATACAGGCCAGTTTCCGCTGTTTTTCTGATTCCTTGTAAAGATCCAGCAGGACTTTCATTCAAGATTTCAACTGTTTTAGTGAATTTTTCTGACTTTTTACTTCATAAAACTGAAGAACATACTAAATTTGTGCTATTTAAGGTATTTTCTCGTAGTTCTTGTGATTCCTGCCTATTTCCGAAGTGACAGTGAAAAGTGTTACGTAAGGTTCTAACCTTTTTTCGAGATTTTCTCAATTTTTCAATCTTAAAATTCTCTTTAGTTTCGAATAGAGATCCAAGGTTTTGAGCTTTTTTAAAGCAATTTTGGTCATTTCTAGCTAATAATCCTGTTAATGTTATCATAAAGGTTCTGTGAAGTGCTTGGTGTGCTTGTGATTTGTTGGAGGTGATACATTGATGTGATTAAACGATTACCGGTGTGATTTAATCATCCAGAAGTCTATATGCTCCATTCTATCTCTGGAAGCTCCAAACTTCCTTTTTATTCATATTGAAATGGTTAGAAAGTACTGACATGTCTTTGTTTCTCTTCTGTTTTAGGAGAAGGAGGACAAAAGCGATTCAGAGAATGAATCAAGCAGCAGTGAAAGCAAATCCAACTCCTCAAGTGAATCAGACAGGTGAGTTGATTAAATGAATTTAAGAATGTTCAGATGAATAACAAGAAATTTCTTTTAGTGATTCCCACAGTGGATCAAATTCAAGCTCAAGTTCAAGTCAATCAGATGCAGACGAGAACACCACAAACAATAACATTAGCAACAACAGTTCTTCACGGGTTAGTAAACCTGACGAGGATCAGGTAGCTAAAAGTGATAACACGTCGCCTGAAGGCACTGATGAAGACACAAGAACTGGTGCAATTACAAGCAACAATGCGAGTCAATATCACAATGATAATGGATCAGATGAAAGTGATCAAGATGATTCCGATGCTATAAGCAACAATTCAGACAACCAGCAATTTAGTTCGTCCAAAAGCAGTATTGATGTGAGCTTTTCTTCCTTATTTTGAAATAATTTTTGAAAGCAATTTTCATTTTAGGAAGAAGATGTAGCTGCTGCAAAACAAAGAGCAAGAAAAGAAGCCGCAAAGAAGCGTGCAGCTGCACAAAAGAAAAAGACAAAGAAACCGTAAATATTTTTTGTGTATTTACAGAAATGATTAACGCTTAATAATGTTTTAATTTCTTTCTTTAAAGTGCACGAAGTCGATGGAAAGATACATCTGAGTCAGACGATTCTGATGAAGATTCAGAAGAGTCATCAGCAAAACCAGTTCGTAAGCCACCTGCCAAAAAGCCAACCTCATTGAAACCAAAAGCAAAGAAAAATGGTTCGTCGGATGAGAGTTTCAGAGATGGTTCGCTTAATCATAAAAGATTAGTGACATCGCGTCGAGGAAAGACCGTCAGTTATAAGGAAGCCAGTGAAGATGAACAAACGGGATCGGAAGATTTAGTTGACATCGATGTGAATGAAGAGAGTCGTCCATTGACACCTGACGACAACACAGAAACTATCGAAAGAATTGTAAGTAAACGAATAGGAAAGAAAGGCGTCACTGGAAATGAAACGACAGTTTATGCTGTTGAAGAAAAAGGTGATCCAAATTTAGGCGTTGATGTCAACAATAAATCAACAACAGAGGAACAGTTTTTGATTAAATGGAAAGGCTGGTCACATATTCACAACACTTGGGAGTCAGAAGAATCTCTTCAAAGGCAGAAAGCAAAAGGTCTTAAGAAGTTAGAGAATTTCATTAAGCGTGAAAATGAGTTAGAGAATTGGAAGAAGCGTATTGCAAATCCAGAGGATATTGACTATTACGAATGTCAACTTGAGCTCCATCAAGAACTGCAAAAGAGTTACAACTTCATCGAGAGAATTATAGCGAAACAAGAGAAGCCTGAAGGTGCTGTCGACTATCTTTGTAAGTGGGAATCATTGCCATACTCAGAGGCAACATGGGAAGACTCAAAACTTGTACAACGAAAATGGCAAACAAAAATTGATGAATTTCTTAATCGAGAAGCATCAAAGGCAACGCCATCGTCTCATTCCGTTGTGCTTCGTCGTCGTCCAAAGTTTGTGAAAGTTGAAAAGCAACCGGAATACATGGGAGTTGATCGTGGTTTAGAATTGCGTGATTATCAAATGCAAGGATTAAATTGGCTGAATTTAAGTTGGTGTAAAGAGAATTCAGTGATTCTAGCTGATGAAATGGGATTGGGAAAAACAATTCAAACCATTTGCTTCTTGTATTATCTCTTCAAAACTCATCAACTTTATGGACCATTTCTTTGTTTGGTGCCATTATCGACGATGACAGCATGGCAAAGAGAATTTCAAATCTGGGCACCCGACTTAAATGTTGTCACATACATTGGCGATGTTCAAAGTCGCGAAATGATTCGTCAATATGATTGGTGTTTCTCAAGTACAAAACGAATGAAATTTAACGCTATTCTTACGACTTATGAGATCTTATTGAAAGATAAAATGTTCCTTGGATGTATCAATTGGGCAGCTTTGCTTGTTGATGAAGCTCATCGATTAAAGAACGATGATTCACTTTTGTATAAAGCATTAAAAGAATTCAACACAAATCATCGTCTTTTAATCACTGGAACACCTTTACAAAACAGTTTGAAGGAGCTTTGGGCTCTTTTACATTTTATAATGCCACAAAAGTTTACAACGTGGGAAGATTTCGAGAAAGTCCATGGCAATGCTATGGAGAAAGGTTACACGAAACTTCACAAGGAACTTGAGCCTTACATCTTAAGAAGAGTCAAGAAAGATGTTGAGAAGAGTTTGCCAGCTAAAGTTGAGCAGATTCTTCGTGTTGAAATGACAACCATACAAAAGCAGTACTACAAATGGATTTTGACGAAAAATTTCGAAGCTTTATTGAAAGGAAGAAAAGGATCAACGTCGACGTTTCTTAATATCGTCATTGAACTGAAGAAATGTTGCAATCATGCGATGTTAATTAAGCCACCAGATGATGAAAAGCCAATGCCAACGCAGGAAGATGTGCTTAAGGAGATTTTAAAGGGCAGTGGGAAACTCGTTTTGTTAGATAAATTATTGTGTCGATTAAAGGAGACTGGACATCGTGTTTTGATCTTCTCGCAGATGGTTAGAATGTTGGATATTCTTGCTGAATATCTTACAAAGCGACACTTTTCCTTCCAAAGACTTGACGGTTCAATTAAAGGAGAAATGCGTAAACAAGCATTGGATCATTTTAATGCTGACGGTTCTCAGGATTTTTGTTTTCTTCTTAGTACTCGAGCTGGTGGTTTAGGGATCAATTTAGCAACAGCTGACACTGTAATTATCTTTGATAGTGATTGGAATCCTCAAAATGATCTTCAAGCTCAAGCGAGAGCTCATCGAATTGGTCAGAAGAATCAAGTGAACATTTATCGACTTGTGACAGCTCGAAGTGTTGAAGAAGAAATTGTTGAAAGAGCGAAACAGAAAATGGTGCTGGATCATCTTGTTATTCAACGAATGGACACAACTGGAAGAACTGTTCTCGATAAGAATGGAACAAACATGAATGGAGCGAATCCGTTCAGTAAAGAAGAACTTTCAGCCATTTTAAAATTTGGGGCAGAAGAATTGTTTAAAGATGAGGAAGAAGGTGATGACGAGCCACAATGTGACATTGATGAGATTCTAAGACGTGCTGAGACAAGAGATGAAGTTCCAGCGATGGTAGGCGATGAACTTTTAAGTTCATTTAAAGTTGCGAGCTTCACATTTGATGAAGATAAAGTCGCCATCATGAGTCCCAAGCAAAAAGTTGAGCAAGAAGAAGTTGATGATATAAAAGATTGGGAAGTTATCATTCCAGAAAGTTTTCGAAGGAAAGTCGAACAAGAGGAGAGAAATAAGGAACTTGAAGATCTCTATTTGCCACCACGACAACGTAAGCAAGTTCTGCAAGAGGAACAGGAGAGACTTGAAAAAGAAATAGAGAAAGGAAAGAGTAAGAAAGGTAAAAAACGAAAAAAGTCTGATGAAGTTGATCCATCAGATGATCCATCAGATAATAGCGAAGATGATCGACCAAAGAAACGTGGCCGACCACCAGTGAAAGAAAAAATTCCAAATTTCTCTGATACAGAACTTCGAAGATTCATTAGAAGTTATAAGAAGTTCCCAGTACCGTTGAAACGGCTTGAAGCTATCGCATGTGACGCTGAACTCCAAGAGAAGCCACTGAACGACCTCAGGAAAATCGCAGAAATGCTTCGTGAACGTTGTGTGACTTTCTTAGAAGAACACAAAGATTTGGATGTGGCAATGACGAGTGAGAAGAAACGTGGGGCAAGAGCCGGATTTAGTGTGAAATTTGGCGGTGTTTCGTTTAATGCAAAGACTTTGATGGCGTGTGAAGAAGAGCTTGCACCTCTCGATGAAGTTATGCCAAACACACCAGAAGAACGTCTTGAATGGACGTTGGAAATTAAAACACGGCCAGCTAACTTTGATGTTGAATGGAATGCTGACGATGATTCGAAACTTCTTTGTGGCATTTATCAGTATGGCATTGGAAGTTGGGAGGCAATGAAAATGGATCCATCATTGAATCTCGGTGATAAAATTCTCAGTAATGATAACAAGAAACCTCAGGCAAAACATTTACAGTCACGAGCTGAATATCTTTTAAAGATTATAAAGAAAAATGTAGAATTGAAACGGGGTAATGTCAAACAACGACGACAAAGAAAGCCGAAGGAAGTGAAGAAGGATATTGACGAGAATAAAAAGCCTGAAGATGATGTCAAACATTTAGCTGATGAGATTGGAAATGGCGTCGAGAAAAAGAAGAAAAAAGATAAAGAAACGAAGAAATCGAAAAAGAAGCAAGAAAGTGCAAACAAACCAATGCACTTTACAGCTAACAATGAACCGCGAGCGCTTGATGTTCTCGGTGATTTAGATCCAAATATTTTTAATGAATGTAAAGAGAAAATGCGGCCAGTTAAGAAATCTTTAAAAGCATTAGACGGTGGTGGACATCATGGCGTGAGTGCCGAAGAACAAATCAATCATAAACGTGAATGTTTACTTCGTATTGGAAGTCGAATTGATGAATGTCTTGCTGAACATAATGATCCTGTTAAGATTAAAGAATGGCGAAGTAATTTGTGGTATTTTGTGTCGAAATTTACTGAAGACAATGCATCAAAGTTGTTTAAAATGTACAAGAATGAGAAAGCGAAGGAGAATGGAACGAAGGAAGGTGAATCAACATTGAAAAGTGAAAAGAAAGAAAAGCATCATCATCACCACCATCATCATCATCATCGTCACAGCAACAATCATTCGTCAAATCATATCAGTGAAGAGAAGGAAAGAAAGAAGGAGAAAAAGAAGAAAGATCATCAACATAATCGTGATAAGGTTCATGAAAAATATGCATCACATGAGTTCAACGATGAAATCAATGATTCACATAGCAAAAGACGTTTAGAAAGAGAGGAAGGTGAAATTGATGACAGTAAAGAATATAAAAGATTAGCTGGAGAAGCAAGGTAAACGAGAATCTTTCGATATTTAATCAAAAAGCAATTTACTTACTTCTTTTCTGTGTCTTAGAAGTCGAGATAAGAAATGGGATGAATATGGTAGAACAACATCGAGAACATCTCGAGGGCCACCAACAACACCACAGAGACTTTATCAAGATAGATATGAAACATATCCAAGAGAAAGGTTAAAGATAATAAAATTTATTTGAATGATGAGAGTAATTTAACAAAAACATTTTACAGATATCCGAGTGACCATAAACGAGACAGGTATGAGGGATATAACAACAGTCGTTATCATCGTGACCGTGAACGTGAAATAGGCGTTAAAAAAAGGTATGAAAAATTTTATTTTTATTCATTTTTATATTTATTAGTGAATGTAAACTTTAGTCGCAATTACCCGCCACCTTCCATGGCCTACGCAAATCATTATGCAAGTCACGGATATTATCCACCACCTGATATTTCACCTGGATATCGTGAACGTCATCCGCATATACCGCCAGAGTACTACCCAGAATATAGTCGCAGCAGAGAATATGATCGAAGACCGCCAACATAGTTTAATATTGATTACTTCCACATGTACACAGGAAGCACCATTGCATTGCATTTCTCTTTATAATTATAATTTCATTTTTATTCTTAATCTCTATTTGTAAATAACTTTTAGTTTAATTAAAATATAAAGCTGAAATTGTCCTGAATGAGAATGGTGAGAATGATTTTCAATTTCTAAGTTCAATTAAAACAAAGTCAAATCTGTTAAGCGTGTTCATCAGTCATTTCATTTGTCTGCTCTTCTAGAATAATTTTTAGCATAATAATTAGTACGAAAACTATTTTTGTATTTCTTATCTTATGTTGCTGAGACATTTGTGTTGCATATGTATCTGATAAATTATTAAGTATTTTTTTTCTTCCTTCAATTAATTGATAAGTTGAAGTCCCAAATCTGATGAGTTTAATTTATTGAGTTTTCTTTCTTTTGGATATGAATGAGGAAATAATCTTATGAATAAAAAAATGAAAAGCTCTAATAAGAAAATATGAAAATTTGTTTGATAAACTTGAATTTCCTTCTTTCAGTAATTCATTAAATGACGTTTGATGAGTAGGAATTGCTTCAGATAAGTTGATAACATTGATAGATGATTAATTTTTTGACACCACGCAATTACCTCAATAATAAAGTTATTAAACATATGCCCGGAATTTTTCTATCAGTTTAGTTCCGGAAGTTTAATGTTTTTCCTTCAAAAATGTTGCATATTAGATACGTGAAATCAATCTGTGACTGTATGTAGTCTTGTAACCGATAAGGAAGGAAGGAAAAAAAACTAACGCACCGATGTTGCGCATAAAAAGTAAAAGCAGAAAATGTTCAACCACGAGAAAAAAGCTTTCAGTCTGTTGTGAACCTTCAAAGCCCAAACTTCACTTCTGAAATTTATCACTTCTGGTTTTGCCGGTTAAATTATCTCGGGATTAAAAATTATTTTTAATTAAAATGTCAAGTGGCATCAAGTGCAATATTTTCAGAATAACTTGAAAACAATTTAAAAAGTCATTCATTTTTAATTGTTATGAAATTTAAATAAGCAAAAGAGTGAGATTGCATTGATAATTGAAAAGAAACGATAAACACTTGAATATCTACATAAACAAAAGCTGACAGTTATCTAACAACAGTTGAAAACATCATCACGCAAAGTGTTAATTTGATTGCTTAGAGAGAGAATCATCAACTCATATAAATATTTACAAACGAGGTGAGTTTTCATGTTCCACAACAACTTCTAGCATTTACACATTTCGATTAAAAGACGAAAATATTCGAAAGCGACGAGTAGCATGGGCTGATAAAACTCTTATCTAGAAAAAAATTACTTTCGCCAAAGCAGCTTGTCACACGGTATATGTACACGTAAAAATATATATTTACGATGACATTTTGATTATGAAGCCTAAAGGTAGAATTCAATTAAATAAGTGACATTTAAAGTAAGTCTCTGATGATTGGCCTGATTACTTAAAATTCAAATAAGCATTAACCTTTGGCTTCCCTGTTACATCAAATAACTTGTCATCCGCTAAATTTAGACTCACGATGAAGGAAAAATAATTTTAAATGACATTAAATGTCTCAACAACAATTAAGGAGTGATGCGCAAATTAAGTTTCTATGAAAACATCCTTTACAAACATTGACCTACTTCATCAGACACAACAACAGAAGAAAAATTTTGTTTGTTTGTTCTTTTTTCGTAGATGATCCTTTAATCCTTTGAAAATAAATATTCCATGCAAAAAACAAGAAGTTTAGCAATAAAAAGTTGAGGCAAACTGCATATTTATGATCGTGCCATGAGGTCAAGAGATAAGCGTCATGAAATGCGTAATTTTTCGGAATAATATGAAAAGATGAACAATGTTATCATTTCATCTACTACACAAATCAAATATTATAAGGATCTTGATTAATTTACTTCATTAAGTATATTTCTAAAAGGTCTACAATGGATACAAAAAGCATTGAGAAGATTACACATTATGCGACCTTAATAAGAAAATTTGATTAGATAGAAATTACGTCTTTCCTGAAATGAATCAGAGAAATGAAAGTTTTTACAGCATTAGATAAATAGAGTAGATAATCATCAAACTAGGTATTTATTTAAAAAATGTAATTTATCATGGACATTAATCACAAAGTAAACGCCACACGAATGTTTCAGTTTTTCATTGTCATTATATAGTCCAAAATTGTGTCACAGTTTCATAATATCTGAAATATTGATACTTCATTTTCATTCTTCTCAGTTGTTTACTCAGAATGACAAAGATAGAACAACAGAACAGAAATGCTTTGAAACCGAATGATATTTCTCTGAAAATTGATAACGAAGCTATCTAATAATTCGCCATGCTGAACAAGATTTTGAAAGCTGCTTAGTCGGACAAAAAATTTGATTTTGCTGATTTTACATACAAGAGGTGTAGAAGTAAAGGAAAGCAAACCTATGCGATGGAATTCAAGACTTCCAATTTATCACTGCTAACTGTGAAATTTACGAATGCAAAGATTTATAGCAATGATTACAAGGAAGATTTCGATTTCTTTCTCACTTACCTTGCGAAATATTTCAATGTACAAATGTGCAAATTGATTGCGTTTTCATTAAGTTCAATAAACTTTTATCAAGTTAAAGCTTCAAGGCTTGGAAAAATTAATAAATCAAACTCATTCAAATGAGGGTTGGTGAAACTAATTCAAAAATTTTCAGATTTGATTTGAAGTCATTCAACTAAAATTCCAGACACTTCCGATTATTTAATAGATAATTAACGAAGGAAGAGTAAGCTTTAGAAATTCTGAATTTTCTGACATTAATCTATGTTTTATTCATGATCGTCTTGCTTAGGACGGCCTAAAAGTTTAGCGTGGGTTTAAATTTTTATCATCAATTTTCATAATATTCTAAAACATTTTCAAATTGAAATGTTAAATCTTTTAGTAAAATAATTTTCCAACATTACAAAACATTTCAAACTTTTACTTCCTCATTTCTTAATGTATATTTATGAATTAAATATTACATCAAATTCTTAAGACATAAAAATGGAATTTCTATAAATAGCAGCCGAAGAAATGAAAGCATCCCATGCAGAATTTTTTTAATAATATGTAATTATTTTTGAAACCACAAACATTTTATAAATATCATCTTAAATATTTATAAAGCATGATTCTTTTTCATCTTATCCAACATCAAATTTATTACATGTTTTTGTTTACAACTAAACTTTCAGCCGCTTCTAAATACGAGGAAGGCAGAAAATATATTAAAGTTGTTTTGAAAGCCCCAGCACGTCGGTTGATGATTCAGTTGTCCTTTGAATTTTTATATACATCCTTTGAATCACAATCCTAAAAGATGCTTTGAGTTCACTGAACGAAAAATTTAGCATAAACGTTAAATCATTCAAAACTTTTCCCAAGAGCTTTGCGGACGTTCTGTGAAAAAATAAATTAAAGCATCAAACATTACGTGCGTGGGTCTCTTGATGTAATTGACGAAAACGAGTGAAATGTTTAAATCGCTGGGAAAAAAGACTAAAATTCGTATTTTATGGGTATCTGATTTCAATGAAAATATAAAAAAGCCTAAAATAGAATGAATGGTAAAAAAGTTTAAATCTTTTTTGTGGCGTCGCAATAATAATAGCAAAGTTTAATATTTTTGTCCTTTGTTGTATTTCTGCTTTCGCGTAAACACATTTGAAAGGCTCCATTTCACGCAATTTGCTTTCTTTGAACAACATAGATGGATGTCAACATCCTTTATGTTTTTTCTTCATTTACTTTAAGACAAAAATAGAAATCGTTTCCTAGGTAATAAACTGTTGGTAGGCGTCTTGCAGGAACTATGTACATAAACATGAATTATTGGGTTAAAAATGTAGGCTATATGGAAATGAAACGTTTTCCCATAATTTTTTCTGCTTCTTGAGCATTCCCGAAAGCAGAATGTCCTACTTCTGAAATGATAAGTGTTTTCTCAAGTATAGAAATACAATCAACGATAGTATCTCGGGGCTTTTTATCACAGACGTAAAATCAACCACAAAAAAGAAAGATGAAGAGAAAAATTCTTCATGTGATTGTGTTGAAAATTTCGTAAAAGCCGCAAAAAAAAAATCTTTACGTTGTTGCAGGCATTAGATTCTAAATGTAGTGTAGCAAGTATTTATTCTATTTTCTATCAATATTTTATAGCAAAGCATGGGAAAAAAATAAGAAAAGAAAGCGTGGGTGGGTCGTCAATAACAGTAATGTTTGCGATAATCTTTATTGGATCTTTGATGTGAATTCTCAAAAGGACCATAAACTCGTTGGCCTCAAAACTGATTACAGAACTCATTACATATGTTGATAATATCAACATGATAGATACATGAAAGCTTTGCAGATTAATGTTTTAACTTAATCAGTTAGAGCTTTGAAGATTATTTCTTTTATCGTCAAAAAAGTTTCCATGATGACAAGCATCACAACATAATCTTAGATAATAAGATATTCCATATCTAAGTAATCTTTTCTGCATGAAAAATAAATTATCATTCGCTAATTATTTCTGACTTTTGTTTACATCATTATTTTATTCTTAATTACATTAACAGAGCGAAAACAGTGTTGTTTGCATAAAAACTGATTAGAATCTTATTTGATTTAGGATCATGAAAGTAAATTTGGTTAAACTCATCACTTTTTTCTTCTTTAATATGTAGCAAAAGTTTCAATTTTCATTAATTTCTGTTTTCCCGCTTTTTGGAGTTCCTCGAGTTGCTCAGTTTGTCATGATTGTTGCTCACATTTGTTTACAACATTAAATCAAAATTGAAAATCATAAAATTTCTTTTATTTGTTTTGAAAATTTTATGAATAAAGTTCAACACATTGATACAAATGACGACATCATCATTAAAGCCATCGACATCAAATGAAATGACAAGCCAGGTGAAAGCTCGGAAGTTCAAGAAAATTCCGGTATTTATTGTTGAAGCTCACAATGATGTTCTTGAACTTATACTACCATCACTTGCGAATCGTTATCTCCCATTTCAAGACAATTTAATGATTCATTTCGATTCACATCCTGATCTCTGTGTTCCTCGACAAATGCCAGTGGAAGTTGTTCGCAATCGACAACTTTTAATTGAAAGTTTAAGCATTGAAAATTGGATTGTTCCATTAATGTATTCAAAGCATATCAACGATGTTGTTTGGGTTCGTCCAAGTTGGTCGGGTCAGATTGAAAATGGTCGTCATCAATTCTCTGTTGGAGATTGTGATGACAAAATCTTCGTAAGTTCAACAATGGAATATTTCTTATCTGATGGAACGTACAAGAATGAAAATCTGCTCAAAAATGCAAAGAAAGTCACATTACAAGTTTGCGAATCATCAGAGTTGTTGGAATTAAATGATGGCCAGCAATGGATCTTAGACATTGACCTTGATTATTTCAGTACGTTAAATCCTTTCATCGCAATTTATCCGAAGGCTAACACATATGAGAAACTGAAAGCAATCTTTCATGTTGATAAATGCTATGATCAAAAGGATCCTGAAGCAATCACCCGCTACGTTAATGAGAGAAATCATCAACTTGAGTTCTTTGAATCCATTTTTCAACATATGGCGCAGAACGGGTCGCTGGAAAAGTTCAAGTACGAAGACCCATCAATGGATGAAAAATTTGATCTCGTTAAAGAGTTGATTGAATGTTTATGTCATCATTATTCAATTTTCGACATTGACTGGTTTGTCGTTAACGATGCTGGTTGTACATGTGATGACGACAAATATCAACTCCCTCACCATGAAACATCGAATGAACAAATCAAGGAAATGATAGCAAAATTTGAAAACTTTTTGTTGAACTTGAAAACGTCACCGACGCTGATAACTATCGCTCGGTCTTCACTTGATGGCTACACACCACCAAATCAAGTTGAACTAATTCAAAGCCAAGTTCTTCAAGTTCTCAGAAAGATTTACGGAGAAAATTTGGCACCTGAAACTTTATGGTATAAAAATACTTCAACCAACATGACAGCTCTTGAAATGATTCAACCAAAGAGAGGATCTCAGTCATAAAAATAAGTTTTTAAAAAATTTTCTTCAATTTTTATTTCTTTTTTTATATTAAACTCTAAAAAATCTTCACAATCGTTTCCATCAGTTGAATAATAATAATAATAATAAAAAACGCAGATTTTTAGTCCGACCCTTAAAAATAGTTTTTTTTTCTCTTCTTTCTTCCTTTCATTCAATCATAAATTTGTCACGATAAAGCGACGAAAATCATTAAATCTTTGTGGCTTGATCACTGCACCACCTAAAAAACTATTCATTATTAATGAGTGAAGACTCACATTCATCCCAGACTTAACATCGCTAAAATTTTAGTTAAAATCCTTGTATCACTTAATCATCATTGAGTTTTTTTCCTTATTGGACATGTGCGGGTAGAGCTCCAAGCTGCTATAAAACTTACTTTTAAAAAAAGGCGAAAAGAGAATAAAATTCATGTGATTAACGTATTAACTTCAACTTAAATCATTGAGATGAAATTACAATTTAAATCTCGCTTGGATTTTCCAATTATCGATTAATAAGCAAAGTCAACGATTTCTAATGTCAATGATCTTACATTTAATCATTTTCGGTTAAAACATAAAAAAAATATGTGATGCTCAGCACGTTTAGGCAAGTCATATGTATTGAGCTAAGGCATTTCATCTTCCATTCTTTTTGCTAAACAAGAAGAAAGAAATTAATAAAAGAAATTATCGCAACAAGATTGTCACCCGCATTGCAGTTTTCAAACCAAAAAAAAAGGGGAAAAAATATCATAATCGTAGATATCTAAAAAATAATCATTTTAAACTATTTTAAAAAAAAATCCATCAAGATGATGGATGAGAAAGAAAGCATGTCAGATTGCCACCTAGTTGAGTTTAAAGGAAGTCATTTTAAGGAAATTGTAACGTCCTTGAGAGAACCTTTGATTCTTCTTCGATTAGACGTAAGTGAAAGGCCATCGATTACGTGTTCATTTACCCTCGTTCTGAATTTGCTTCCATTTATCGCCGAGAGCTTTTGCGAAATGATCGTCAACTGACATTTCGTCAGAATCATCTGGTTCAGTGATTATCACTTGCTTCTGTGGCTGTGGTGGTGGAACTGAAACAGTCGGTGTTGGCAGTTGTGCTATGATTGGTGGTGATGGAGTTGTTGGCGGTGTTGCAATCGCTTGACTGTGTTTTTCAGCCAACATCGCCTGATGATGCTGATGAATCTGATGCTTCTTATGATGAGTGAGCTTAATTGTATTCTGTTGCTGTTGTTGAGCCTGAATTGCAGCAAGCTGTTGGAGCTTTTGTTGATTCATTATTTGCTCGTCAATCAAACGTTGCTGTTGTTGCTGCTGTTGTAGTGCTAATTGCTTCTGTTCCATCTTGTTGCGCATAATGAGATCATAATCAGTACCAAGAGATCGACGAAAATGTTCATCGATAAAAGGATCACATGTTGATGTTGGATCTAAAATGAAAAAACAGAAATTTATTAAAATAATTCTTGAAAGTTAACAGGCAAAAGCGTCACTTACCGCGAATTGGTGAGTTCGAGGTTTCTTTGAACGAAGGTGCCCTACGAATGACGGAAGGACGAACAGTGTCACTATCGGAATCGTGTTTTGTTATTCGCATGTCTAATGGGCTATCATCATCATGAACATTAATATCTTCTTCATCGTCCTGCTCCATCGGTTCGGGATCCTTGGAATTACTTGAGTTTGATGTTAGATGAGCTTGATTGACAGGGATTATCGATATACTAGATTGGCTCGGTGGTGCTTGATTTTGTATGGCATTTTGTTGCTGTTGATGCTTGAGTTGCGAGAGAAGTTTCTTCTTTGCTGGCAGCTTACTGAGTTCCATAGCGGCTATGAATTTAAAACAAGATTCAAATAAATATATTTTAATTATTCCTTCCAAACTCACCTTCATGTTCCTGTACGTTTAATGCAGCACGAGAAAGTAGCTCTAATGATGACTCCATTGTAAAATCAAATTTTTGATTCTTCCAACTTGATTTTGTGTTGTTGTTGTTGTGTTTTTTTTGCCTTTTTAGTGACTCAGAGTTTCGATTATTTACTTTCAAACCTGATTTTGGACAGATGTGGGCGGTTTTTCGTTACAAGTAATTGACTTAAGTTTATTTCAATTGTAGCAAAATGCTTCTAGAGCATTTTTAAGTCTTTAAAGTGCAATTTTGACTCTATTTATCTTGATGAAATGGAATTGTTTTACACTTTACGGGGACTATACAAAAGTTAAGGTGTAACATTTTCTCAGTCATATATTTTAACAATTTATGAGCTAATTATAAGTAATTTCTCATGAATTTAGAATATAACTTCAAATTTTTTCATTTTCAATACATAATGTCTCATAAAACAGATTGAAATAATGAAAAGTTTCGTAAATTATCATATAGAAAGATGTTGACGTCATTTTTCATTTGATTTCGAAACTTCGTACCCTTGACAGTTCAATAACGAGGGGTATAAACGTTCTAGCTCTTTTGGCGTGTTTACAAAAATTTAAATTTATTAATACTGAAGGAAACAAACATATTTTAAATCAAACAACCGTGTTTATTACAGCATAATATCGTAAGTTAAATGGCTCTGTTAAAGTTAGCAGATTTTGGACCTGATTCTGGTGGCAGAGTGAAGGTTTGTATTTTGATTTACCGCTAATATTTATTTACTTGAAATAAACAACAAAACAAATATTTAAGGGAGTCACAGAAGTTAAGCCGATTGTCTATGGAAATGTTTCAAGAGCATTTGGGAAAAAACGTGAAGAAGATGGACATACCCATCAATGGACTGTTTATGTTCGACCATATCTCAATGAAGACATGCAAACATATGTGAAAAAAATTCATTTCAAACTACACGAAAGTTATGAAAGTCCAAATCGAATAGTAACAAAGCCGCCATATGAGGTTAGTGAAACCGGATGGGGAGAATTCGAAGTTGTAATAAAAATTTACTTTCATGATCCGACAATTTACAAGTAAGCTAATATTTTTATTGTATAGCTTCAAAATATGTCCAATTTAATGTTTTATGCTTAGACCTGTTACATTCTATCACATCTTGAAATTGTTTCAACCTCCTTCGCCAGACGCTCCTGCAATTACTAATCCTGAAGAGAATGCTGTTCAACCACCGCCTGTTATTGATACTAAGAAGCGCTTGGTGTCTGAATTTTATGACGAAATAGTCTTTCATGAACCTTCTCAAATGATGCAACAAATGTTGAATACGATACAAAATGTCACCAGTGGATCATGGACACATGATACTGATTGTAAGTTTATTCAATCATAAAATTTAATTTTTTTCATTTATTTCTTGATTGCAGTTGAAGAGAAAAAAGTAAAATCACTCGAACATATTTTGGAGACTCGCAAAAAAGTAAAAGCTGAAATAGCTCAACTGAAAGAAAAACTTCAACTTACGAGAGATAAAATTGCTGAATATAAGCAATTGAATGCAGGCCAAAATACCCAACAATGAACATTTCCTACTTTTAAATTTAAACACGAAATAAAACTTTTTTTCAAATAATCTAATTTATTTCTTTTTAATAAAATACGGAAATGTCTTGTTTTTGCGTTTATAAACATAATATTTGATAAAAAAATTCGATTTCCGTACACGATGTTTCATTCATTTTCGTCGTTTCGAATTTCTTCCCTTTGGCAGTGAAACGAATTTCAATCATCTTCATTACCATCATTCTACTATCATGAACCATCGTAGTAGTGTTTTAAAATACATAGTTTAGTTATTAAAACAACTAATTTAAATCTCAACATAAATTACTTGAGGCGAATTTTGCAAATTATTTATGTATAATAGATATTATTTCACCATTGAACCTTTCAACTATTCCATTCGATAAGGAAATTTAGAACCTTAAGCAAACAATAAAACACAGAAAATGTGTAAATATTCTCATAGTAGAGCAGATAGTTTTATTAACAAAATCTATATGAAGATAATTTATATTGAATATTAGATAAGATTTTCACTCATCATAAATGCTTTGCAACTGTGCTGATTTAAATGTAAAAGTTCTCTGCGACTTAGTTTGAAATTTTAGAAACTTTGAAACGTTAAATTTTTTATTAATTTTATTAATTGCTTTTTATTCTTTTAAGGAAAAAAATATAAATTTAAAATGATTGGTATAGAGCATATAAGAGACAAAATTGAAATTGTAATCAAATCGAAACCTTACATTGTGGTTGTTGTCTAGAAGTTCATAAGTGTAATGAGCAAACAGTTCTACAATATTTATGAAGAAAAAAGTAAACATTTTGAAGCACCATGATTTCTATTTTATTTGCAACTTGTGTAATATAATATGATAAAAGTATGATACATGCGTTATCACTATGCCTTGATTTAATTATTATTTCTATTTGGGTTATTATTGAAAAAATGGTATCACAAAAAAATAATGTAAATACTTCATATCTAAGTATCTAGTTGAAGTCAGTGGCATCGTGGATAAGCATCACATACTTACTGGGAAGCATTTCAAAGCTCTCAAAACTTTACATATGAAGCGAATATTTGTTTACCTCACTTTATGTCTTCTATCAGTTCCCTAATCATCAACAAAAAGAAAGAAAAAAACTTTTAAAGTCATAAAGAATCTTAAAATCATTGACTTTTAAAGATGTGTTAAAAACCTTTCCTTTGACTTAACTCTGGAGTTCAAGGGAAACCTTTATAAACATTGTCATGATGTCAGAGACATATCCACTCGAGTCAATGTCATTGAAACATGTGTTTTCTATATAAAACCCCAAACTTTCATTGTAATCTTAAATTAAGTTTCTTCAAAATTTAAGAGCTCTCCCGAGCTTTATCTTATCAACTTTTTTTTTCATTCTGTTTTATCAACGGGTACTAGATCAATAACAAGCATCAAATTCACTCATCACGAGTTAAAGAAAATTAATTTATTAGCAAATACCATCAACATTCTTGAAGATCGTAGGAAAGCTATCTGGTAAAAATATCTAATTAAAATTCTTAGAGGAATTCGATAAACAAAGTTTGAAGTGCTACAAATTTCAGCCCACGTGCGACCTTGTAATCTTTCCCACTCTCGTTGATTGTCACTTCGATAACCTATCTGCACTTCAAATCTTGTCGGTTAATTCTCATCAATACACAGAAAAGCCAGACAAGAGACGAGTCAATATAGGAACAAAGTTATTGAAAACGAATGGATCATTGATATTTATTCTGTGCTAATTAATTCATCATTTCTAATGCTTCAATTTATTGTGTTACATTTGCAAGTGTCAATAAACTTTAACATATTAAGAAAAAAAAATCACGCCAACTACCATTAAAATTTTACTGGCGCGCAGCAAGCTATTAACACATTTCGCAAAAACATGTCCATAAATTGTTGGTGGCACGTCCGAAAATATAAAATATTAATCAAATTAGAAACATTTCAAGAAAATTCAAATATCATCAATCATCAAGATATTGTTGCTTTCATATATTCTTTTATTGCTAATGAGTAGAAGCAACATCAGAAGTAAGCAATAATAAGACCTTTAACAACAAATAAATGAAGGTTTCAGAATCATTTCAAACCAAAATATAAATTTCGACATGAACTAATAAAATCAATTAGATATTCCTAAACATTTTAATTTTCGATACGTTTGTCATTTATCATTCTGAGAATTTGGATAGCACAATATTTACAAGATTGAATTCATTTGCTTGAAAAAAAGTGATTCATAAATATTTCCCATCGAAATGATTGTCTCAAGTGATTTCATCAATTTATTTCATAAATATTTTGTCTTCAAAGTATTGAAGTTTAGTTATCTACACGGAAAACCCAATTCAAGAGAAACGTGCGGCTACTTCGTTCTATTTTAATAGAAAATTAATAATATTAAATTTGTCATGATTTGTTTGAAAGTCAAGGAAAATGTGAAACTTGCATGCTGCGTAGCATGTGTCTGAACACACATCTTTGTTTAGATTTCGTAAAATTCTCTAAACAAACAAGATGAAGGTGTTGCTTCTAATGTGAAAAAATTCCCAAAAAATTAATCAAAGTTTATAGACCTCTGAGCACTACAATCAGCTAAATGTAATTATAAAAGAAGCAACAGACATACCCTGAATAAAAAAATATTCGGATAATAAAAATCCAAGTCGATGATAAAGTCACTGCGCTAATCCTTAATCACCATCAGAACCCATCAGGCGCGAAATTAATTTTTGTTCGTTCTCGAATTTTAATGATTTTCTTTTTTGCTATTCGTTTGATTGAATTGATTCGGCAAGCGCCACAAAAAAAAAATTCTGGAGCCACCTGAATGTTACAAGTTTTTGTTTTGATTTGAATTCTTATGTAGACAAACTGGAGGAAGAGTTGAAAACATTAAAAAAAAATATTAAAGCTAATTTTTTTAAGGTTGGCTATTTAGTTACATTAAAGTAAAATGTTGAATTTGTTGTTATTAATTCAAATGTTTCTACCATAATATTTGAATTACAAAAGCCTTGCAACTTAGATATGAATTAATGAGAGGAAAAAATGAATTGTCACGAATGCTCTGAGGGTTTACAACACGCAAAATTCGTCCTTGAACCCGGAACTGTAAACAAGCGCAACACAAATTAACAGCCATGAAATAAATCTAAACTGGTTTGAGGATTTCTTTTCACAAAGTGTTTGGTGTCTGTTTCGTAGACTTCGCATGAAATTCCAACGTGATCTCACTCGAAATTTTTATTCAAATGAGTATTTTCAACTTCTTTGTTTTGAATTTATGTAGACTACATAAGTAATATAACAAATCACTTTAATGCTGGCATGCTTTTACTTAAAGCACTAATTTTAATTAAACTCATTAAATTGATTAGAGAATTAATTTCCATATTACAAATTTAAAAATACAAAATCCAATTATGTTGAGCATAAAATAAAAACCTTAGTAGATATCGAATTTACAATTTTACTGGTTTCTACTTGAAATATTCATGTTGATAGCCTTCCAGTAGTAGCTGATATCATCGTCATCGTCGACGCGACGCAAAACAAAATTATGATTAACTATCTACTTAGCTAACGTCAGCCGATTTTCATAAAAAAAAATCAAGAGATAAAGCCCTTTGATCGACATAAGCATTTCGATTAGATAGACGACATTGAAAGTTAAGAACTTTCAAGGCTTATCTCTAATAAAATAAAATTTTGGTTCATAATTTCAAGTTCAAGTTTTACTACTTGATATGTTAACACTAAGCGGTATTAAAAACGCCTCCTAATTAGCAATAACTTCATCATTCAATCATATGACTTATGCTGTCATCAATATGATGATAAATTAGGTAGTTGAACAATTTTTTTTGTTTCAAAAATCATATCAAATGTTTCTTAAATAAAAAAAAGGAATTTCGCAAATAAGCGCTGAAAACAAAAATAAAGAAGAGTAAGGCAAAGAACATGAACTACATATTTGCCGTTAGTGAAAGAAAAAAACAACACAAAGTGTTGGTGCTATGTCGATTGTCGGTGAAATGTGCATGTATTGTTGACTCTGTGTTTATTTGAGCTTCCGTCACTCTGTGTGAGTCATATGGAGACACGATCAGAGCTTAGGGAATTTCCTTTCCAACTCTTTCATAAGTGTACAATGATCTACGATCAGTTTTCGTTTCAAACATCTGAAATAGGACTGAACACATGCAACGTCGTACCAATGTGTGTATAATTTTTGAGATAAGCACTTAAACGAAAAAGAAAATTTTTTTCTTTTACACCACACGACTGTCTCGTCTTGCAAACAGAGTTGTTTGATCATAGTTTTATTCGAGTCGCGACCACAAATGGTTTGATTCAAATCGCTGAATATTCTTCTTGCATATACAAATACAACTTAAGCATTGGATATTTTGAAAAACAATAATTTATGTCCATGAGGTCGAAATTCTTTAGAAATATTTTCCGTGGAAAGTTGAAGAAGTGAAAAGATTTCAGCTGTCGAGTGATCTTTTAGGAAAGAAAAAATAATGAAATAAATTTCGTGTGTGTTTGTGTTTGTTTTTGGAAGAAAAAAAACTTTTTTTTTGATAGGAAAAAACGATGAAAAGTTTACTGTCAATGATCGCTTTGCGGTATACAAATTTTCCACTTTGTTGGGATTTTCAAACGTTTTCACGACCTAATCTTCTACAAAATTTGTCCTCATTTTATAGTTTCTGTTAGAAAAAATTTAAAATATCGTTTCTTATTCTCTCCCGCTCGAAAAATCGCTGTCAACTCAAAAAAACTTTGTTTCAATTTCGAAAAGTTTATTTTCTGCTGCTCTCCCAACCAATCGTGCTGAAATATTTTATTTAGAATTTTAAACTTAATTTGTGCATAAAGATAAGAAGAAGTGATGGACTATCGATTCTAAATTTAGTAAAATCTTCAAATCAACTTCATTTGATATCGTCAAATCAAGCGAAATTAACATTTAATGGCTGATGATTGTTTGTAAAAGAGTAAAAGAGAGAAACAAAGAAACAACAATACGACAAAAAAAAGCGTGTAATAAGAATAAAAGTGACTAGTTTTGCCGTTGTTGCAATCGCATTGAATATTGCCTAAAGTTTCCAAATTTGTGGAGGCCCAAAAACTTCATGCCGTTTTTAAAAATTGTTATAACACACAAAAGAAAAAAAAATTAACAGTGAATTGTCAGTCAGAAGTGTGTAATAAATCAAAAAAGGCAGAAAACATTCTCATTCAAAATCTACTTTAATAAAACGTGCAAGTATTACGTCACATCCAATCAAGCATTTGATGGCTTCTGAATAATGGCATTGTTTGAAAGTTTTTCATGTCACAAACAGACACGTGACCTCATTTGTTTATAACTTCCAATGATATCACATTTCTAAAGCACCTTAATATTTAATATTTAAGTGTAAATATTTATTAGTTTCCAAATCTCTTCGGCAGGAAAAAAAATTGCTTACAAGTGTGCACGAAAAGACGTAATTTTTCCAAAGTGTCAATGTAAATATTGCAAATTGAAATACTGAGAATGTTGGTTGAATGTGATTGTGTGGTTAGCTTTACACACTCGGAATTTATAATTTTGTGCTGATAACAATTTTTTTTCTCACCAAAAGACTTTAACTTGTGAAATCAATTTTTGATGAATAAATCCCTGAATAATTAATACACAATCAAGTTAAAATAAAACAGAACTGAACACGAGAATTAAGTGGCAAAAGGAAAGTGAAAAATTAAAGCTTAAAATTGCAATTTCATCTGAAATAAGTGTATGTAAACCAAATACGTTGAGATTGCATCTTTGGAGCAGCAAATCACTCAATAAAAGGTTTTGTGACAGTTAAGAATTGAAATTAAAATTTGGCTTGTGGTCGTTGCTTATTTCATTCTCCAGTGCTTCAAGGCGAAAGACTTTATTTGTGTTTTTTCTTGTGTATGGTGGTGAATACTTCAGAGCTGAGAAGCATAATATGTAAGTCGCATTGTTGACTTGAGTAATCTCTTAAATCGTTTATTTATTCAAATGCACCTGTGTTCACTTGATATAAGCTTCCTGTACTCTCATAATATACATTCTAACATCGTTTGCCGCGTACAATTTCAGAATGGATGAATTTCAGCTTATGCAAAGTAACATAAAATTCAAGAAATCATTTTAATATTTTGGTTGTTAGAATATGTTAAAGGAAAGCTTCCTACTTACTTTCATATTTATTCCATAAAATATTTTTGATTCATATAAAATTGCTTCTTTTCGGATTTTTTTCAGACTACATGAAGTAAATTGTCTGATAAAAAAAAGTTTTATAGGCCAGTTAGGAAAAGAAATTTTATAGCCTAGAAAACAGAATTTCCCTTTTTTAAAATTCACGTCACAAGTCGAGCTACTCAATGTCTATCTGTGTATCGCATTTTATAGAAAAAAAAACAAAGCAAAATTTAAATGAGAAGATAATTTTTTATTTGAATACATCAATATGGAGAGAATTTCAAGGTCGGCTGAGAGGTAGTTTCGCAATGTTTATGTTTATAAAACATTAATATTTATAAGAGAAATAATGTCTGCTCCGTTGTATCATTTTCTGATTATTTATTTAACAGGATGAAAACATTCAGTGCATCATTCTAAGTACTCTATCGATATGAAAATGAAAGCATCTGTTTAAATTGCTATTCTGATAAATTCTTTATCAATAAATCGAAAACATTCTTAGATATTGATGTTAAATAATACAAATATGACAGGAAAAACTTTTATTTTCAGATATTAACAATTTATTTTATAAAGAATTATCCACAAATACTTGCTTATTGAAATGTCGAAATAGATATGTGTTGATTTATCAAGAAAAAACCCACGAGCAATTCAAGTTAGACGTAAACAAGAACGTCTATTTCTATACAGGGGACGATAAAGACAACAAGATGTAATATGAGTAATTACATAGATGAGGTACAAATTAAATGGCGCCCTGAAATGAAATACAAACATGATATTTATTGTCAATACTGCAAAGTGCGCTATGAACAAAAAATAAATTGATAGCTTTGTTAAGAGCTTGATGAAGGAGCTGAGTTCTCAAACACATTCGAAGTGTTACTTCAAAAGAAAGCGTCAATGTGATTTCTAGTTAATTTATGATTTGCATCAATGCAAAACTGTTCAGATAATAAAGTAGACATATTAGCTGTTCATTAATTGTTATTGTACATATCTGCTCGTAAATAACTAACCTGACGTCAATAATTAATTAATAAGCTCTAAGTTTTGTATTAAAAAACTTTTTCATTAGGATTCATTCATGAATGATGATAATTTTATACTGAAAAAAGTGTTTATACGCAGAAAACAAATATCTACAATAAGTTTTCAGTTTAAGTCATCGTCGTCGTACGACGCAAAGAATTATGCGGAATTTTGGGAGAAAATGAGTTGAGAGTCTCAACAATAATAAAATTGTGGTACGAATATACAAAGAACGTGAATGAAAAACATTGTAATTCTTAGAAAAGGAAAACTTATTTTAATAACATTAGCGACATAAAATTTCCCCCGCTCTGAAATTAAAAAAATCAATAAGTCTGAAAAGTGGCGCACTAAATCGTTTCTAAAACACTTTAAAATGTTATTCAACCAAACTTTCAAAAACCTTTTACAATCTCTTACTATTGTGCAATGAATAAAAAAATGAACTTGAACAAAGCATGGCGTGAAGCTTGAATATGTGAAAAAATGATCGCTTTTGATTTGACAAATTGTATTTAATATGACTCATATTTATTTAAGTTGATGGTAACATAACAAGCCTATTTAAAAGTCATTTATCATATTTAAATTAAGTAACGAGCACAGAATGCACAACTTCTTTCAATTTCAATTAATTCTGCGATTATCACAATACAATATCATCAATTACAAAAACAGCTGACTCTCGTAAATCACAGAAATTTATTATTCAACCACCTGATGAGCTTTCGGGAAGATTTCTTGCGCCACATGAATGTAACAAATGGATGGAGATGGCCATTACTTTTCTTTTAAAAGTTAGTTGAGGTCAGTGATCTGAGAGAAACAATTTCTAATAAATAAACGCATAATAGGTACCAAACTTTTTTTTTGAGTTCATTAAATTTTCATAATTGAAATTTGCTTGCGTAAAATGAGCAGAAAAAAATAAATAAAGAAAAAACAGAAGCAATTAGAAATAAATCATTAAAGATGATGAAAAACAATTGGATGAATTTTTTGCAGATGCAATTACAATAAAAAGCGGTCTTGTTATGCTACATTAACGTTACCGGGTCTTCTTTTTGTTAATAGTCAATGTTGCTATAATGATAAGGGAAGCCGCAAATATTTACTCATAATGATATTTTGTTTAGCTACATAATATTATACAGTTTTATAAATATTTTTACATTTCTTTTCTTACAGGAAATTACAATTCTGGCAAGCTGGCGAATTTACCGAATAATTCATCTCACCCAGTGCCCGTATTGTGGCGAACACGTAGGAAAGGCGGTGAGTTCATTGACCAGATTAACGAAGTCAATTCATGTCTCCTAACGTTCTGTTGCCTGATACGAAGTGACACTTTTTTATTTTGACAGTTCAAGGTATTGAATGTAGAAAATGAGGGCAATTACCTTCTTAAAGATAGTAAACGACTAGGGTTTTCCGGTCTTGCTTTATTTGCGAATTTTAACTCAAATATCGAATTTCCAAATTTAAAATTTTAAATCCTTTTTTTGCAAACATTCAAATAATTCTAATTTAGAAAGAAATATTCTCAAAAATATCTCATATCCTAAATTACAAAGAAAAACAAACTCATCGCTTGTGTTTGCAACAAAATGTCAACATTTCTTGAAAAAATTTTTGAGCACTTCAAACGGTCACGAAACCGAAAAGTTTGTTTTGAAAAGAAAGCCATTAAGTGATGAAGAAGATCTTCAAAGAATATCAGAGTTTACTATATAATTAAATGTCATTATTAAAGCTAACTCAAGCTTTAATATTTATCTCGTGTTTGGGAAAGGATTATACTCGAAACAAATTTCAAAGTTTGACATTCTTGACAACGTTATCACAATTTTTTTCTCCTTCCTTTATGAAGTTAAGATGATACATAGAGAAGGGATGATACATTTGAATCTTCTATCCCTGCTCAAACGTCAAGGGTACAATTATTACCAACATTATTATTATCCTACTGTGGGAGTCATTTTTGTGATGTTAAATGGTCCATTATGGAAAATTTTTCATGACTGAACTAGTTTATGTTGTAAATTTTGAGAAATATGCAACAGTTGCGACTTTTGGAATTGTCCTCGATCTGAATATTTTATTTTCCCTTAAGAATTGAAAAGACTTAAAAAGTCTTAACAAAAGTGAATTTTTTTTTTCATCAATAATTGCGAAAACATGCATATCGCCACACGTGCCAGAGTAGATTTTAATTCAAGTGGTTTTATTATTTTATTATCTCATTTAATTAAAATAACTTTTCTGTTCTTTAACTGATATTGAATGTTTCACGTGGCAGAGCTTTTATTGTCAGATAACGATATGAACTTTGAAATTAGATGGAAATGGAGTAAGGTCAGAAACGAAACACTTATTTAATTAGAAAATGTTGAAAGAACTTACTTTATGATTATTATTTAAATTACGCATTATTTAACACTTTTAGATATAATATTTATTCAACAACAAATTAAGGTTGAGTATAGATAAATGACACTTGGCATTCCATAAAAGTAAAATATTTGACAACGTCGTTTCATTGTTTCACCAATAATTAGATCTTAATTCAATTCTTATAATGAAATAAAAATCATATCGAGTGGTTTTTAAACACACATTAAGAACGTTCGCATTTGAGAGTTCTTCATTTAGATAGTGACAAAATAAACAGGAGAGAATGATGAGATAACAAAAGTTTTGTTTAAAAATTTAGTCGCAACAATCATTTCAGTAGCAAACAAGCTTGTTTACGTTATTTGATAGTTTTGTGTTGAATTTCAGCAGAAATCTCTTGTTTAATTTAAAAATTGTCAAAAAAGTATCCTCAAATTTGTTAAACGTGATTAAATTACTTCACATACACAAGAATATTTCTAATCGCATCTAATTAAAATAAAAGAAATAAAGAACTTGACGGTCATGCGTTGTTCTTGTGTCGGTCACTGGAATTAATAACCCCGAAGTAACTACCTAATATAAGAAAAAGATTGCATATTTTATTTTAAACAAATTTATAACATTACAAAGTTGTTGCGATGTGATAAACTTCGTGCAAAATCGTCTTTCGTCTGTAAAAAAAGCGAGTTTATTAAGAAAAACGAAAGGCATACAAGGACAAAGCTTTTTCATTCCCTTTCTATAACAACAATAAACACAAGCACATGATTTCGAATATGAGATGCATTTTCGAAGTTTAAAAAAGAGTATTAAAAGACCGCGAGTTGAAGCAGGGGGTTAGTCATTTAAAAGAACTTCTCATTCATCCAATAAAAATCTTGATAAAAATCTAAAGTCATGTCGTTTTGAGAACATCAAGAGCAGCAGACATTGTCGGTTTTCCTCTTAAGAAAGCTTCCTTCCTACTCACCACCTAAAGCATGAACAAACCATTGAATTACAGCTCTCGCATTAGTGAACTCTCTCAAAGTTCCCAACAACTGCGTGGCGTTAAAGTTCATGATATAAGTTCGTCTACTTGTTCATCTACGGTCAGACAGCAAAGAAAAAAAAATGAGAGGATGAAGTTGCTTGTACAGCTGTATTAGAGCAGCTGTTTTGTTGTAAAATAAAATAAAAAAGCCAGAAGAAATTCTCTCTCCCTCTCTCGTTAAAAGAAAACATAACGCAATAATTTTCGAAAACCGACAGTCTAAAACAGTCGATTGTGGATATCGCGAAGAGTCAAAACACTTTTACGCGTTGTGTCGGCTGGAAGTGAAAATATCTAAAATTATTTATTACAAGAATTGTTGAAATAATAACATTGCATAATTTGCATTTAAATTATCCGAAGTAAATTGCAAGGAAATAAAAATCATTCATAACAATAATATTTATGACAAAGTTGATATCAATCAGTATGAGGAAATTTATTAGAATAACTTCTGCAACGAAAAATAAAGTTAACGATCAAATATAAAATAAATTTCTTCTGGTTTACCTTCATTTACTGTGAATCAATTCTAGGTAAAAATTGAATATAAAAAATTCATTTCGTGTAATCGGGAGAAATTTAAAAATAAACTAGAAGCTTTTCTTATTTTATATTTTTAATGTGGTGAAAACAGTCGAGACTTTCCATTGTGGACATTTCGTTTTTTCAAAAATAAGCAAGACAATTAAATGATCAGACTGTAGGCTGGGAATATTTCGAAATATTTTTTTGATTGCCTACTGTTGAGAACTGAGTGCGATATATCGTGTTGGTGAAGTGGGTTGAAGAAATAAACATCTGTATAATCCTAGACAAAGTAGGATGAACAAGATCTAAGATCGTGAACAAAGCGAATACCTCGTATGTGCTTGCTCATCTAAAAAACTTCAAAATAACAACAAAAAAAGAATCTACATAAGTCAAATATTGAATACAGTTGAAAACTTATGGAATAAAAATTAGTGTGCTTTGTTGTGTGTATTTGAAATGTCATTTTCTGGATAGCCCTTGAGCTAATGAAGCATGGTAATGTAAGAAAAAGAAGTTTGTTTTATATTGTCGAGCTGGTTGATATTTGAATATTGGCTTTGTGTTAGCAATGCCAAGCCGAACTGCAATATTCAAACTGAATTCCAAATGAACCTTTTTCATGCTATGTGCACCATTAATTGTGACTTCTGTTCAATTAACTTTGACAGCCGTCGTATAAAGCTTACCTCAAAATGTAATTTTCAACACATAAGAAGCGCACGCCTCGAAGAGTCGGTCGAAACAATGCTCGAATAACCATGATTGTTGAATCTTTTTAATTTTTGCGCTCTTTACTCAACGTCACTCGGTATATAGCGGTGCGGCTGTATGTGGAATATTTTGTTGGATTAAAAAAACCTGAAATATTTTATATACTTTTTCATTCACTATGTATAATTACGTTAGAAAACAAACACAATTTTCTTATCCAAACAACAGCTTGAATCGTTAATGTTGTGATAGGCGAGAAATTTAACAAAGAATTTCAAGAATTTCCATTAAAAATCGAGACATTTCTTTCTATAAAAAATTGATTTTGATGTTTATCCATATTAAATATTTCAATGCGATATAAAATAAATAAACAATAAATATGATTAAGCAGAAAAATAAAACTGATGAAAAATGGAATGAAATGTCTAAGCATTTGTTCGGATTCATAAGACATGAAAGTAAATAAAATCAGTAGATAAAATCTGAAATGGAAACCGAAAACTCTCAAGATTCAGAGAAACATTCAACATGACACTTTACCATCAAATCATCCCTCAGAAATTGCAAAGATCATGTTTTACTCGTTCTTAAAGTCTTTGACGCCTTGAACTGAAAGAAAAAAAAGAAATCCTCCGAAAATAAGAAGAATTTCAGACACATAACTGAAAGACTTGGCATCTCAAGTGTCTAGAGTTGCTTTTCTGTATATTTCGAAAAGATATAGAAAAAAAACAACACATTGCGTTTGATTTAAATTTTTGCGGATCTCTTGTCCACGACGTTATTCCTTTCAAGATTAATAAAATTCATATTTTTTTTAAGTTGTTGTTGCTTGGCACGAGATTTTGCAAAATACGTCGCTGATCTTGCTGATTTTCGCGGGAGCGAGTGAGAGAGAAAACGATAGGCGCCATGTGAGCCCGTGCTCATGTGTACAACGATCTGTTTTCGTAAATTAATATCTTGCAGAGTGTAAAGCGTTATTTAAGCGGCTAAACGGTTGACAGTGGAAAAAAAATATCCATTAAAAATTGATCGCATCAAAAAGGGGATTTGACAAATTCTGGTTCTTTTTTTTGTGTTTTCTCTTCGCATATTTTTGCTTTTCATTTGCATAAGTTTTCGTAGTTCATTCGTATTGTCTCTAGTCACATTTTTTTATTATGTTTTTATGTTATAAAGAAATAATAAATGAATTTTTGATCGTGTTCAATGTAACTCATGTCTCAAATTTCATTTTTCTATTTCGCTTAAGGCTATAAAAATTCTTTTTAGATTTAGATAAAATCAAATTATTTTGAGGTTCTTATATCTCACTCACGTAAATTAAGGCAGAGCAGAGGCTTTAAAAAGTTAATCAAAAAAGCATTTATCGAAATGGTCAATTTTGAAAGTAAGAAGCTGCGTTGGATATCAATAAATTTATTGATAAAATTGATAGCATTCCTTACACATTAACATTGTTGGTGAATTTTATGGCCCATGCGAGTGTGAAAAAGTTTATGAATTAATTGATACTTACTACGTTTAATGTAATGTCATTGAAAAGGAATTCAATTTTCTGGTTCAACGAACGCAAACTTTATATCTTAATATAATTTATTAATCAATTATTCCCTCCACATACGCTTTTCTGAAGGAAATAATTTTAGTAAATATCTCAATACTTTTGATCGTCACGATAAAGTTACATTGCATCTGGAATTATATCATAGATCTAATTGAAAAAGTTTGTCTTTCAATTTGTTATTACAAATAAACTCAAGCAAGCTGAGAGTAAACTGAGGAAACTAATTTACTTCAGGATTTATAAATTTAAACTTGTAAAGCGATAGAAAAGAGCGAAGAGGGAAAATGGAAACAGAATTGGTTTAAAATTTAGTTTAGAAAGAAAGTGAAAGATTTTAAACTGGCAGTGGTGGATGGTTGTAAGCAATTTAACTTTTAAAATGAAGTATTTTTTGTAAGTCGTAGTCGTAAAGATTTTAACAAGAAATATTTTTGTGCAAAAAGTGAAATTGCTGAATTTTAGAGAGAAATTTCTATTGCTGTTGTTATAAAAGAATTTTCTAATCAAAAATATATCTGAGAAGAACTTTTCAACTTGTATCATGGAAACAGAGAAACTTTTGAATTCTTACAAGTTCCATTAATAAGAAATAAAATAGTTAGCAACTGTAGCGAAGTTTAGTCTTATACATTCTATACAACAAGTGTTAATTAAAAACAAAGTCGTGAATTTATTATTACATGCATTTGAGTGAGAGTAAAATATCTACGGATAATGCGAATTGTGATGAATTCCTCGAACATAACGCGCTAATTTTTCCGAATTTCCAAACTCAACGAAATCAACATAAATAATAAATGCTGTGGTAGTGGCGAGTAATCGCACGCATCAGTATTCAAATGCTAACACACAACATTTTCAAACATCGATCCTGATAATATTCAATGTCAATACCAACGAGAACGATAAAAGAAAACAGCTTTGTATAAATTTTCTTCTTCTTATCGTCTTAGCAAATCTTCGGATGCTTATCGGAGATTGTTTGTGAAACGATATCTCAGTGTTGTTATGCATGAAAAGAAATACTCAATTTACACATTTTTTGACGCTCGTGCTAGATCAGCTGTCAAATCAATGATATCACGTACTAGGAAAAAGTATTCAGTCCATAGCCGTTGCAAACTGAAGTACATAAACTTAATTTCTCATCGATTTCTTTTAATGGTAGATTAGATAGATATTAAAAATAAATTAGTTCGCATGTTAGCGCAAATATCAAGAGAACATATTAAAATAAATGTTTTATAAGTGTCATCTAACACAAAGCTCGATAGTGAATACTTACTCAACTTGAAATTGTAATCAAATTGTGACTTGAATTCATGATGTGAAAGCTCTCAAAAAGTGAAGCCATTCAAAAGCCAAAAATAACTATGATGCAAATAAACATGAACTTCAGTGACGTGGAAGGTCGTTATTTCCTCATTTATGATTTTGCCAAACCCGCAAATCTAATTCATATTAGCTTAAGCCATAATTTGTCCCTTTTTCTCTCGTTCTGCTCTAAATCGTTCCAGTCAAGAAAGAATCAACGAAATTTTAACCTTAATCAATATTCGTAGTCCAAATAATGTCAATGCTTAATATTGCGGCCTATACATTGACCAGAATCAAGGCAATAATCCGTTTGCTTTTACAACAACAATAAGAATAGAAAAAATCGGTCTCAGTATTGTTTGGAACGTTGTCTGAGTATATATTTTATATCTACGACAAAATAATTTTGCTTATGCTGTTGATGGGCTCCTCCATTACCCTCATTCATAAAAACCAGAACCATTCGACAACGACAGACGGGAAAGCTTTTCGAATTTAATCCTTTCAGTTTCGGAAAATGCCAGGCTCTAAGAAGAAAAGAGTGAATAAATGCGATTACGATTCCTACGAACCAAATCCATACGATAATGATTTCAAATGTTGAAGGATTCAAGACAATAAATTTTATGGGAACTCACGTTTAAAGAATAAATAACTTTGCTGCGTAAGAAGGTCCAGTCTTTCCATTAAATTGTTTTATAATTTTAATTCTTTTGGATCCTTAATAAATCTTTAACAATGCAGCTGCCCAATCTATGACTTGACTGGAATTTTAAACCTTAATTTAAGTCATTGACTCAATAATTCTCCTTAACAATGAACTTCTTTACAACAAAATCTCCTTTTGGGTCAAAAGGAAGATTAGATTAAGAAGCCTTGTAACGAAACAAACGATAATTGATGTTCGAGTTTATTTATTAACATCGACCGTTAATGAAATGAGATTTTTTTATTTGTTTTAGGAACAAAATTTATCACGAAAACCATTAATCTAAATTAGAAAGTAATTTTCATTTAAAATGTCTAAATCTAATTTCCTTTTAGCTTGAAAATATATTTCCTTATAACTCGACATGTCCAATGTCATTTCGTTTATAAGAAATTCTGTTTAAGAACATTTTTAAAAAATGAGTTGTAGTCAGTAAGAACGACGATTTGAATTTCAGTTTATGAAGAAATCTTTCTTAACTTTGAAGCTTTGAATTTGTTGTTTATAAAAAGATTTCCATTTTCTGATGACTGCTGCTTGTTATCTTATCTAATCTTATTCTTTCTTTGACATGAGGATAACATTTAGCTTCTCTATGTTTTTTAACTTTCTATACATACAGCTTTTTGTATTAAAACATTTGAATATTTTTGATTTCAAATTCTTTTGTTAGAAGTAACAAAAGCTTCGTCGCTTTGAACGAACAACCATCGTGAATACTGACATACCTAAACGTTAAAATATTTTTATGAGCAGAATTCCTTTTTTGACATTTCTTATTTATAAAATTATCAGAAAATTCTGCTTTTTATTTACGGGAAGTTTTAGATAGCTTTTGATTACAACTGATATCAGAATATTGTTATTTACTACATAACTCTATAATGCTATTGCGATTGACTAATTAAGATACATAATGAATAGTTCGATTAAAAGTCCCATGCTTGTGTTTGTCTTTCGTTCTCTTTCTTTCCAATATCAATGAACTCAACTATAATTTTTTGTCTTGAATTGTAATAAGCAAAGCGTCCCCACGACCATAAATGTTATTGTTGTTGCTAACCGTTCAACACACCACCGTTTTGTTTCATGTAATTTTCATGGAGTTCTTCTTGTTCTTTCATCGACGATAAAAGTTGTGGTGTAATGAAGATTTAGATATGTAGAAGGGGGACAGAGAAAAAAAACGATAATTAATTTTCTTTTGTGCAAAATTTTCTTGTGTGCCTATTCTTGAGGATTTATGATAACGCGTCTATTCTCTTCGGTTTTTTATATCACAAGATAAGGAAATAGGAGAAAGGGTTTACGTAAAATTGTGAATCAAACGATAGCCTTCGGGTGATAAACGATACCGAATGTTTCTGAAATTACTTTCAAAAAGAAAATGAGTTTTCAGCAAAAGTTTATTTCAATTTTGTCTTCATCTCATGATTAATGTCGTATAGTAATTTACATTGTAAAGGCGGATGATCTTAACTCATTTTCTCTTACTGGTCTGTGTGCCACGCGCGCTTACTTACGTAAGAAGTGAATTTATTTGGGTAAAGCATTCAATAGATATTTCTCTTCTTTGTATGTCATATATGAACGCAGAAAAATGTGTAAAACACTTATTGGCATCTTCGAAATAACTCTGTGAATGTTTTCTAAGACGCAAGTCTAGTCATGTGTGACAAGAGAATTTGAAGCATTTAATTTGTATTTACTTGTCAAATGGAAATCTTTACAAGGTATTTGTACGATTAAGAATTGGCTATTAAAGATAAAAGAGTTGCAGAAGAAATTCCTTACAATTTTCATGTTATTTCAGATTTCTAAACTTACAATGAAAAACATGTAATAAATTTTAAATTTATCATAACATTCAAGAAAGTTTCTATGTTGAACTTTTGACTTCAATTTCATAATATCAGGAAATATATTTTCATATTAAATCAGTCATTGAACTTTCCAAGAGTTTACATTTGTCATTAATCAAAATGTCCTTCGCTTACTGATCCATCATAAAACATTAATGGGAAAAAGTTGATAATGTCATCTGTAAGTATGGAATAAATATGACAATAAAAGAGAAATGAGAAAAAAGATTCAAATATGGGATATAACGTATGGAATATATCAATCTAAGCCAGCAATTTATTCATGATGACGTTGAGGGATGAAAAATAAATATTAAACGTTTGTTGAGCTATTGTTAAAGTTATCGTTCTGTGAATTGGAGGTCACAGTTTATACTTCATCATGCTGAAATCTCCGGTCTGATTTTTAAATCCTACCATAAAGATTTAAGTACATAAGCAGCTGAACCCAGTAATTTAATGCCATTTTCTTGAACTTTTTCACTTATTAAAAGAATGTTCAGCTGCAAAAAATAGAAGAATCGTCGAAAAACTAATAATAAAGCTTGTATGAATGGCCAATAAAAATAATGTGATAAAGTTCTAAAAATATTCATTTTTATTTATCAAATATGTTGGTCTTATTCATTATCAATTTATAATTAAATTATATCTCTTACAATGTAAAATAACTAAATTGAAATTGATTCATCTTTGACATTTCTAATAACGAAAGTATTTTTATGACAAAAATTTAAAAAAAATTTAAGTAAACGCTATTAATGAATGTATAAATTTATTATGTCATCTGTCAATATTTCCACCCACGCGATATTCTTAGTGATGAATCATTTTCATGGATTACATAATAAAGATGCTTCCCATAATAAGTATTTGTAGGGTGAGAAGGCAAAACATTAAAATTGTTTGAAAACTGAAATTTCACATACCAGTTAACTAATCAACTACAATTTTTTATACTGGCATTTATCAGACAATGAAAGTGCTAATGAAATTAACGTACGCACCTTAACAATTTATTTGTAATCTATAGCTGAGGTGACAAAGATAATTCTAATGAATATAATGTTCACTCTGAAGTCCAATAAAAAAGTTTGGACACGCTTTACTCATGAAATATTAAATTTAAGAGTACGAAAGTTCACACAAGCTTGAATAATTTGTGTTATTTAATATTTGTATAACTCCTACTCCCCAAGTTCTTGTTACGTTAGCCGTTGCTGTTATTGTTTCGTACACCTCAAGGTTACTACATGTTGCTACAGGTTGCTTCGTAGTGAAAGACTAATTTCTTAGAAAATTGATACACCTGCTTAAATAACAGCAAAACATGTACATTTTTATTTGTTTACATTATGAGAAATTTTCCTCTATATTTGTCATATTTTATCACAATTCTAAATAATTGTTAGATAACTAAAAGTTCAACACTAAAACTAGAAGCAGAAATGAGAAATGGAGATTAGAAAATCGGAAATATTAGAAAATCCCAAAGCTATTTTTAGATGATGTTAATTATAATATAAAAATTAATGGGAAATTTGTGAATTCAATCTGTTGATGACGATTATTCTGATGAAAAGTTCATTGAATTCGTTTTCATTTATATTTCAGCTAGACAAAAATGTCACAAGCATTTGAAGGTTTTCTGATAAGTAAATTAAAATTCTCAACATTATCTACACATAAAGAATATCTCAACGAGCTTAAAAATTTATCTCAATGTTGAAGAAATTCAATTATGAGTTTTGTAAAAAATTTTATCGAATATCATCAAATTCGATATTCTGAGCAAAAAAAGAATCACATCGAGCCACCCCTTTGGAATATTGATGAGAATAAAATCATTTTGTCATGTGAATTGTTTATTTAATTTCATCGATCATTATTGAAACTTTATATTTGCCATGTTTTCGAAATTTTTGATTGTGCAACTGAATTTCGTATTTGCGATTGAGAGCTTCAAATTTGATTTCAAGCTGAAGTTTTTGGTTTGTTGATTTGCATCAACGCTTGATACAATTTTAAGGGTTTAATTTAAGAGAAAAATATTCTGATAAATGAAGAAGTGAAATAAAAATCGATTGCGTTATTCAATTTGTTTTCAATGTCGTAAAATGTTACAAAACCAAATAATTTTTGCTAATGTTGCAAAATAAATCTTTTAGTTGAGATAAAGCCAAGAAATCTATCAACAGATTGAGGCAAAGTACAATAAGAATAAATATAAAAGAAAAGCATGGAAAAAAAATTCTTACCGATATCATGACTCTATTATTGGCAACTCGTACAATAAATTTTCATTTGGAGAGCTTTTTTGTCCGATTAATAAATAAAGTTTCGGGTTCTGTCAGCAGAGGTGAAGGAATGACTACTGAAGCAATGACACAATGTCGCTTACGAAATTTACGAGCAATACGGTCATTGATGTTCAATAAAAGACAATAATCGATTCTTAATAAATTTAATGACTCATTTGAAATTGAATTTTTACTCTTCTTGTCATAGTAAATACAATAGCGCAACAAATGAAATGCGGCAAAGAATTTCATTTCATAAATTGACTTCACTCTTTTAATGGCAATTCTGAAAACGAAAACAAAAAACTTTATTGTCGGTCATAACTTAATGAGAACACTTAAAGTAAATGGTGCGTTGAAAAGGTTCATTTAAAGCGCTTTCAACCAAAACGAAGCTGACAATGCTTATGTTCTTATTAGCTCAGTCATCATCACAACATTGTATTATAAAGTGAGGCAGTGACTGCAAAAAGGCACTCAAAGAGTTAGCATATAAAAGAAACTCGAGAAAAGCTCGTCAAATGAACAAAAATTGTCTCGAATGGATGTTCTCATTTTTGGTAACCGAGCGTGCAACACTATCATATAAAACTCGGTTCAAAGTTTAAAATGCCCTACTAATGGGCCAAACGATGTGTCACTACACCACACCCTGTCGTTTCAAAAAAAGCAAAAAGCAAGGTATTTTTCAGACTTTTAGAGACATGACTCGTTAAACAAAAACTCATCTCATTAACAAGTGTTTTCGAATTGTTTTATGTTAATATTTAGTCTCTTTTCTTCCAGGTCTGCATCTGCGAAGTATAGAGGAGCCCCAAAACAGAATGCCCGCTGCTGAGGGGGGCACAAATTTGGGGCTCGAAAATAACAGATCTGGCGGTTCTTTACCGCTTCAGATCAATTCAAACCATCATCATCAGCATCAACATGATGTCGAGTATACGCGAATGGAAGCTTGGCTTGATGAAAATCAAGACTTTGCACAAAACTACTTCATACGAAAAGCAACTCGAAACATAGTCGATTCGTGGCTCGTCAATCATGCATCGCCAGCTTCTGTCACTAACAACGACATGATGGGACTAATGTCCTCACCTACGCATGTTAATCAACAGCAATGTTCATCGCGAAGTGGTTCGGGCGCAACAACACCTGTCAGGTGAAATTAAATAAATATTAATTTGTTGTGTCGAATTTTAACGTAACAATTTTTGTTTTCAATTGTTCAGAAAAATTTCAGCTCATGAATTTGAACGTGGAGGACTTTTAAAACCAATTGTGAACACTATCGATGGCACACCAACCTTTCTCAGTCTCAATTCACAATATGATCCTATAATTGGATCGTTAACAAGCCAGAATGGGACATCGAGTAGTATTAATAGAACACATAGACTGTCGCGTAATGAACTGAAGCATATGGATGAAAAAGAAATGATTTTCGAATTGGTATGTACAAAATTTGTCATTTGTAAGCGCAAAGCGCAGAGCTTTTAAACATAAGCTTTTCAAAAAGCTTTAATTTCTGAAAAAACTTAATGAAATTCCGATCTTTCCACTTCACAGGTCAAAGACATCTGCAACGAACTTGATGTGAAGTCACTTTGCCACAAGATTCTCCAAAATGTTTCAATTCTACTGAATGCAGATCGTGGTTCATTGTTTCTCGTGCAAGGGAAGAACACCACAGCTGCCACAGATGGTCAGAAAAAGTAAGCTCATGTTTTTAACAATTCACATTTCTCATGAAAAATTCTTGAAAAGGAAAATTTCATTCCTAATTGAAAACTTTAATCAATTATACTCAGCTGACTTAAGCTCGTAATGCGGTTAGCATTTTATTATTGTCACTGGTCGAGGGAAAAGTTTCCTTTTATTGCTGAAACATGATGCTCATTAAATATTTTTCTTTCCCTTCTCCCTTTTACTTTCTTTCTCCTTTCATTCTTTCACGCGCGTTTTTTTTTTCATAAAAGTTGAATTATGAGAGTTTATTCATTCATTCAGAAGTGTAATTAATTAATTAAAGTGGACACGCTTCGTGTTTCTTGGACACGAATGATCGTTCAATCTTCTTAAAAGGTACTTTCGACCAACAAGTTTCTTTTCTAACTGTAAATCGTCTTGCCTTCGTAAGCTCCAAGAACTTTTTGTATTATTCACCCTCCCCCTCCCTTTAAAAAGCTCAAGTAATTTTTGATGATGAAATGGCTTCAGTAGAACCAGCTTTGGATCAAAGAACATAAATTCTGCTCTCGGGTGAATTTATGGAGCGTAAATTGATATTAATTCTCATTTTTGCATCCTCTAACTTTCACGTGCGAACTTACCCAAAGGAATTTCATAACAACATCATGAAGTTCTTTCATTTGGATCACAAAAAAAGTTGGTTGCGTTTTTATCTGTAACTAACGAGAGAGAAAAACACAAAAAGCAGTCATCTTGATATTCATTATTTTGCAGATTGTAGCTCGACTTGTTTTATTAGTTCGCATATTTGTAGTGACATTTTCATCCCCATCTACACGTTCTGTTGCTATTCGCCACAGAGGCTACATTGGCTTACTAAGCTATGTTAATACATCCATCTCGACAACTGAGTTTATGGCACAAATTATCATGTGCGTAACATGTGACGCTTTGTTTTATTAAGTTTTCATATTTGCCATAAAAATTATCTTTTCAAGCTGAACTTTTATGTTTCTCTTTATTTATAGTTTCTGTTTCTCGTGCCTCATTGAACGATACATTTCTCTTTGTTAAGAGTAAAATAAAACGATAAATAAATCATTTCATTCTCATGAACTTGGCGTGGTTGAAAATTCATTGACTTTCTATTATGCTTTATACAATATCAGTTTCAATAGAGTGAATTGAATTGATACTCAACTTAGTTCTGTATAATTTTATCTATTTCGAGACATCAATTGACGTTTTCTGTCTATAAATTATTAAAAAATTTAATTGGGAACTTATTTGAGTAATTATAAATTTAATTGAATTGAATTTGTTTCATGAAGCTATTTGTTCTCAATTAGGTAAATTCCATTTGTGTTTGTTTATATGTATTAATTCATTCAAAGCCATTTCTACGTAAAATTTTCCTGTTACCACACATTTCTTTGTACTTTCCTTTATAATCAATTAAATAACCTTACTTAGCAACCCCCGCAGATAGAAAACTTCCGTAAATATTTTCCAATTTTCTTTTGAAATAACTGTTTGATCTTCTTTTAAAAACTTTAACAAAGGCGTAAGCAAAATATAAAACAAGAGTTTAAACTTGAATTGACACTCGAGGCCAATTCTAAAAAAAATATACGTGGAAAAATTTCAATTCAAAAGGATCTTTGTTTACTCAGTAAACACAAGTAAAAAAGCATCCAAAAAATACTTGACAAAAGTTTGTATTAAGCTGAATTATTTGTTGTAAAGTTAGAAAACTTCCTGAGAATTTTTCGATGTTAAACATAATCGCTCAATACATTTCAAAGAAAAATATTATCTTGTTATTAATGCCTTCAATAATGTAAATGAGATTGAAAGCAACGTGAGAAATCATTGTTAGCATATTCTCACCGCCCCCGCAAATATCAATGTAAATTCCTCTCATTTTGTGTATCTTGCTTCGTTTGAGATACGACGTTACAAATCATCCCTCATCATTTAACATGCGACATAATTCATTTGTCAACAGAAGCATTATAAAGGACACACAAAAAGTTTTTCTTCTTGTGGTGTTTTTCTTATTATAAAAAATTGTGACATCTGATAAAGATCTCTGTGTCACTGGTACAGCAACGTAAATCAAGTTGTTGAAAACTCTCTAAGAATTTCTTTCAGCGATACAAATAATTTGTATTTATTTCTATTTCTGCATTTTATATAACATTTATCAACATGATGTCATCGTTGTTTTGTTTGTTAATTCATAAGAAAGAAAATTCCGACTGCATGAATAAGAAGTAACTTTGCATATTGTGTTTACAAAAACTAAAGTTGAAAAGATTCAAAGTTTGAGAAAAATTGATACACAAGGAGTTTCTTGGCAATAATACAGAAAGCTCTTGTTTATCAATAATGTCGCCAAATTTATTTATAAAAATATTGTTCTCGTAAGTGGTTTGAATATAAATTTCATTCTTAGGTTTAGAATCAAAGCACGGTTATTTAAAATCATCTTTACTAAGTACATTTTCTGAAAACGTATATCTTGAATGATGAATCCTTTTATTTAAAATTCAATTTATTTTCCTCACTCCAAATTTTCATATTTAAGCTTTCAATTTCTAGATTATAAGTTATAGACAATTTTGCATCAACACGAACTCGAATGAAGATTGCTTTTGAATAATTTTAAATTCAGATTGAATCTTGTGCTTTTGTAATTTAAATCATAGAAACAGCATGTTTGCTTTCATGAATGCATTTTCATTATAATTCAATAAAAATTCACCAACCCAATGACATGAAATCCAACACAACTTCACAAAGTCAAGCGAATAAGTAAACAAGTCGCTTCTATGATTTAAATTAACAAAACACCCTGCAAATCATATTTTTCTTCTTCCTTTTGAAAAATCGTTTAAACTGTCGGAAAAGGAAGAGAAATCGTTTACTATTTTGCAGACAGAAAGGGTTAAAGCTCTTCTTATTTTCAAGATAAATTACCATTGAATTTCATTTAAGTTTTTCTCAACTGTGAACTTTTATATTTATTGCTATTTATTTTTTTCCAGATGTCTCGTATCAAAGCTTTTCGATGTTTGTCCCCGAAGCACGATGGCGGAAATGGATCTTAGAGAGGAAGTGCGCGTAGCATGGGGAACAGGAATTGCTGGTTACGTAGCTGAAAGTGGTGTGCCCGTAAATATTCCGGATGCTTATCAGGTATGTTCTTATTTTGCGTATTCATTTTTTCACATTTAGTGATTTTCCTTTCCACCTCATCAAGCATTTATTGTGCAGTCATAAAATTTTCTTTTTGCAAGAAATTTCAACAAAATCGAACCTCATTAATATTCTAACAATTTGACATGTCATCAATCAGAATTGTTATGTCCCACATGAGTTTGCGAAATATTTCAAGGTTGAAGATATATAACGAGACAAGATTTTTCTTTTTTTTTTCTTTCGGCAGAGCGGAACATCAAAAACGTTTCGAAAATAAAAAGAAGAAATCAGTTTATGACTATCAAAAATTTGATGCTAATCAGAAAATATAAAACATGAGTAAAAATAATACAAATTATCGTGACGTTATCGGAAGGCTGTTAGCAAGATGTTATCATTTTTTATATGTCTCAAGCTTTTCATGCATCATCAATGATTGCGGAAAGCATAAAAATTAATGTTAACAGAAATGAATCTTGAAGCATCAAATTTCTTCAACTAACACAGCTTTTAGTTCGTTTCCTTTGTCATGTAACTAACTTAACGACTTAATTCAATCACTTAAGTTAGTTTCTTCTTATTTCTGTCACAAAGTTTGCTTCATACGTTGATCCCTGAAAATCTTATAAATTCTCTTCTGTCATCTTCTTGAAAGGAAACTAAAGAAGTTAAAACTTAATAAAATTTAAAAATGAGTGAATCATGGAATCGTCACAAAGGATGATATTAGGTCGAATCATGCGTCCAAATTGAATCTCATTTAGAAAGTTTTCTGCCAAAGTTTGATGTAAAAATCGAGAACATCTGAGACCAATTTCTCATTACTAACAACTTGGATGATATTTTGTATTCTTGGTAATAACCGGATAATATTTTCCAACCCAGAAAGACCGAAATTTGAGCATTTTAGATTATAATTTTTTTTTCCCTTTCCAATCTATGTTCAACATTGAGCTTGACATTAATTCGTCTCATTTTTCATGTAACGATGTCAATAATGGAACCAGACATATGACATCGATGATACATCACAATACATTTTTTTGATGAAATTCATGTTCAAGGGCTGGAAAAGAATTAAAATCAGCCATGTCAATGGGTTAGTTGATATTATTTCTATTAATAAATTTATAGGAAAGAGAAAACGATTTATTTAAAGCATGAAAGTTTAAAAACATTTCATGAAACTTTGTGATTGAACTTAAAGATTGCGTAGTCATGCAATGCAAAAGCTCATTGTTCACATTAAGAATTTGTAAATGTAAAAGAAGCTTCATCTTGATAAAACTTTTATCTTAAAAGTGTCACATGAGTGCGAAATCCAAATAGTTGACTCTCAAATACATATTCTTGAGAAAAGCAACTGAGACGTTTTTCTGGCACTTTTCCAACAAAAGAATAAAAATCTGAAAAAGATTTTTATGTCTTATTTTTCCTCCAAAAATCCAATGTTATTTTGAAATGAAATATTTTTGTAAGGATTTTACTAACTTCAACATTATACATTGTTGTTATCTTTGGCCTCGAGCTATGCATAGAAATGGTAGAATATTTCTCGTGATATTTAACCCCAAAAGATAAATTTCATGCTGCGTCAAGGTCAAGAGTATTGAGAAGTGGATGAAAGTATAGGAAATTTGTTAATTATGTACCAATTTCCGATTAATCTATTTGGCAAGGAAAGTAAATATTTAGTTTTCCTTTTCTTTTTTATCCCAAGAGTACCCGAAATTATTTCGTTCGTGAACTTGATCCTGAATCGAACATCTAATCCGGTCATATTATCAAGTTCTTCAGATATTTCCTTACTACTAAACAGATAATGTACACACTTATCCCAAACCATTTAACTAATGGATCTGGAAACGCAATACACATAACCGAACGAACAAAATCTACTTTCGGCTATTTTCTTTATAGATATGAAGGAACTCAGAATTCGTTTATTTATTATGTTTGGTTTCTCTCGAATAAGAATTTTTTCTTTTCGAATGTAACAAAAGCTTCAAGATGCCACTTAAAGCGTTTATCATTTGAAGTCACATTTGCACATAAGTTGATCGGTTGGAAGCGGAAAAAGTTTTCTCAAACTCATGCATTTTATTTCTTTTTATCGACATACGTAAGTGGAAAAGTTTTTGCACTTCTGTAAATCGAGGAAAAGGTTTATCCGCGCAATTTTTTATGGTTGATGCTTGTGCAATTTTCTTTATGTAAATTTGCACCAAGTAGCTTTCAAATTATCTTTTCTTGATGTCGAATGCATTTCCATAAATTTACTTTCTATATAGGAAGAAATTTATAGCGAAAACCATGAATTTTCAAGATTTATTGCTCATAATTTTTATGATTGTAACAAAAGTTTTTTGAATTTGTTGAATTTATTGTCTAGACTTAAATGAATTGCACATGATACAAAGTTTTGTCAATAGATACATAAATTACATTTCATTTAATTGATAAATATTGTAAAAATGTTCTCATATAGTTTATCAATAGAAATTTAAACTTTAAAGTTTCTCATTCCAATCTTTTATTTTTAATTATACTCACAAAGAAGCTTTTGAAAAACTTGAAAACTTTCACTTGTATAGCTTCTAACATTTACGTCATCTTAATACTTATTTATTATTTTGTTGACTTTTCTAGACGACAATTATAATCTCACATTGATATGGAGATTAATCTGAAAAAAGCATTTCTACTCGTTTGTTGTTTCTCTTAAATATTTTCTGCTAAATAAGAAATGCTGTCTGAAATTTGAGTTGAATGTTTCCTTATTAAATCATGATTATTATTATCCTTTCAGGATGAACGTTTCAATCGAGAAGTTGATATACAGACTGGATACAGAACCAAAGCTCTTCTATGCATGCCTATCAAAGATGCTGCTGGTGATGTTGTAGGCGTTGCACAAGTGATAAATAAATTGGGTGGTGAACAATGCTTCACAGCGACTGATGAGAAAGTAAGTAGATTATAAGCTTTGATCACTAATCCTTGTTTCCGCAAAAAGAAAACTTCAATGTCAATGCCACGTAAACCAAAGCCCCAAATTTTAAAAGCTAAATATTCCGCTCTCGTTAAAACAGATAATACATATTTATGAAATGTTTAATTCATGACATCTTTCTAATCATATTTTCTTTGCTCAAGTCTCGCCTACCTTGAAAAAGTTTTCAAAATAAGAGAATATTTGATTTGTATCTCTTTACCGGTGTATCTTGACTCTTGACATTGATTACTAACTTTCTTTGAAAGGTTTCTTTCTTTAAATATTCTTTTTCGAACTGATTTGCTATCTGACATTATGCTAAATATTTATGAAATGCCTAAATATAAAAATTGAGGAATATCTCGAGCAGGTATTGAAAACATAAACAATGTATCATCAAAAAGAAAAAGAAAAATTGAAACCAGTCAGGAAAAAAATGCACATAATTTAGAATTTATTATCTATCCAAATAAATTTATGGCACCATAACTTGACGAGATAAAATGTTGGGAGATAAAATTAAATTTTGGAAATCATTTCAACATTGCTCGTGAAATATTTAGAACATTACAGGCGAGAAGTTTATGAATCAATCTTTTTATCTATGTAAATAATTTTATTACGATAAATGTCTTTAATGAAAGTTATTTTAACTGTGCAGGTGTTCGCATCATATCTGCAGTTCTGTGGAATTGGTTTGCGGAATGCTCAGCTCTACGAGAAATCTCAGTTAGAAGTAAGACGTAACCAAGTGTTGTTGGATTTGGCAAGGATGATTTTCGAGGAACAAAGTACAATTGAACACATGGTCTTTAGGATATTAACTCATATGCAAAGTTTAATTCAGTGCCAAAGAGTGCAGGTAATGCAAAACTTTATGCAAACTCTCAACACATGAAATTATGAACTGAACAACTTTCAGATTCTGCTCGTACATGAATCATCCAAAGGAAGTTTTTCAAGGGTTTTCGATTTCGAAGCTAATGATGATCTCAACGAAGATGGGGAATCACCGCGAACTAGTCCGTTTGAATCGCGTTTCCCCATAAATATCGGCATCACTGGGCATGTCGCTGCAACTGGCGAGGTTCGTGAAAAGAATTTACAAATATTTAATGAAGATTTAAAAATATCTTTCAATTAGACTGTAACAATACCAAATGCTTACGAAGATCCACGCTTCGACCCAAAAGTTGACGAGAATACGACCTTCAAGCACAAATCCATATTATGCATGGCCATTAAGAACTCCTTGGGTCAGATAATCGGCGTAATTCAGTTGATAAATAAGTTTGATGATTTGGTGAGTTCATTTTCATTTATTACAAGTCATTTCCCTAATCGAATCATTCAATTCTTTATCAACACAATGTAAATAGGTGTTCACAAAGAATGATGAGAATTTTGTTGAAGCATTTGCGATTTTCTGTGGAATGGGCATTCATAACACGCACATGTATGAAAAAGCGATTGTTGCTATGGCTAAACAGAGTGTTACACTTGAAGTTCTCAGTTATCATGCCTCAGCATCAACAGATGATGCTCTACGTTTAACGGTAAATGTTTTATTGAAACCATTTCTTTTATGACACCTGCGACATGTATTTACTTGTGAAAAATGCTTCGTGTTATAGCGGCTTAAAATACCGTCATCAGCATATTTCCAACTCCATGATTTTGCATTTGACGACATCACTTTAGATGATGATGGGACGCTTAAGGCTTGTTTAAGAATGTTTCTCGATTTGGATTTGGTTGAACGATTCCATATTGACTACGAAATGCTCTGTCGTTGGTTGTTAAGTGTGAAGAAAAATTACCGAAATGTCACTTATCACAATTGGCGTCATGCGTTCAATGTTGCTCAGATGATGTTCGCTATTCTAACATCGACACAATGGTGGAAGCTTTTCGGTGAAATTGAGTGCCTTGCTCTCATGATTGGATGTTTGTGTCACGATTTAGATCATCGTGGCACGAATAATTCTTTTCAAATCAAGTAAGATTTTGAGATAAATTACAAAGTAGAACGCTTTAAAATATTTTTCCTTTCAACAGAGCTTCGTCACCACTTGCACAGCTTTATGGAACATCAACAATGGAACATCATCACTTTGATCAAAGCTTAATGATATTAAATAGCCCAGGCAATCAAATACTCTCGAATTTATCATCAGAAGATTACAGTCGGGTCATTAAAGTTCTTGAAGATGCGATTTTGTCAACTGATTTAGCTGTGTACTTTAGGTTTGTAAAGATTTGTAAATAATTTAACAAATTATTAAATATTTTGTTATTACTTGAAATAAAATTAGAAAACGTGGACCATTTTTAAACGTAGTGAAACCAAATACATCCTTGGATCAATTTAGTAGTGAAGACAATCGTTCACTTCTAAGAGCCATGAGCATGACAGTTTGTGATTTGTCAGCTATCACTAAACCATGGGAAATTGAAAAACGTGTAGCTGAACTTGTCAGTTCAGAATTCTTTGAACAAGGTGATATGGAACGACAGGAATTGAAAATTACGCCAATCGATATAATGAATCGTGAAAAGGAAGATCAATTACCGTTGATGCAAGTTGGATTCATTGATTCGATTTGTCTACCAATTTATGAGGTGAGAAAATAAAATTTAATTAAAGCTTCGGATGTGTTTTCATGTTAAATTCTTTCTCGAGGCTTTTGCTGATCTATCGAAAGAATTGACGCCACTTTTGGATGGAGTGAAAGAGAACAAGAAGCAGTGGTTGGGTCTTGCTCAAACAGCTCAAGAGACGATAAAAAACCGTAAGAACAGTCTGAGATCGATTACCAACGGAGGAATGAACACCAACAATAACTTCAATTACAGCAATGGAAACAACTTTAACAGCAGCAGCAACAACGGAGACGAAATCAGCAACACAAGCAATGTCGAAAGTACTTTAATGTCAAAAATCGTAGGTAAATTTCCTTTGGACGCTAATGGAATCGGTCCAACTTTGGTGCCATCGAACACTCTTTACATCAAACAGGCCAACGGTCTTATTACATCTTATTCGAGTCCAACAATTGTGAGCTATGAAAGTAGCTGGAAAAAGAACGACAGACATCATGAGGTCATCGATCAATGAGAGCCATTTCACAAGAAATTCTTCTTCTAAACAAGTGATAAGATGCATAAATATTTAAAACATTAATTAATTGTCCATAAGTAAACATGTTTTCCGCTACAATCAACTCTGATAATTTGTTTGATCTTTTTTCTCGCCTTTTTAACTATAACATTAATAAGCATTAAAAAAATTAATTATCAGGTTTTGATTGGCGAAAGAAGACAAAAATTTGACCATTGAAGAAATGAAAAAAAAATTGCTGACAACATGGTGAGATAGTTCAAAGATTTTATAATTAGATAATCAAATCAGACGATGAAAAATTACACGAATTAATTAAACTTAAAAATTAACTTGCAGCACATCTCGTATACGAGTAATCATTGCAAAATCATATTTTCATTAGTTCCATTGAAGGCATTATAACATTGTGACGTCATTCGCATATTTGAGGGATGAAAAGATTAAAATAAAAAGCTTTGGATAAAATTTTAGACTGGATGATTAGGCGAATGAATGTTGGACTTCTTTCAGTCACATTAATAACGAATTTAAATTAAAAATTATAAGATGAGCGTGGAAAATCAACTATTCATTCAAATGTCATGTTTTTGTGTTATTAAAATAAGAAAATTAAACTTGTAAAAAGGAAACATACTCTTGTGCTTTAAAACAATCTTCGCCAATTTCCAATTCTTCTTTTAATCAATCAGTTAAGAAAAAAAAAGAGTTTAAAAGAGTCGGATTGTGATGGAGATGGCGAACGAAAATGAAAAGCTTACAGATGAATATTTTTCTACGAAAATGTTTTTATTGATAATTAAAAAAGTTTTTTTTACTTCTAACTATTTGGACGATTTTTCTTACTTGAAGAACTATAAATATGAATTATTCAAAGATTGGCATAGTATCAAGTAAACACTAAACTTAGTATTATTTTTTTAGCTTTTCTCTAACAGTTCAATGAAAAGCATTTTCTATTCGTTTTTTTTTTGTGATGCTCTCTTAGACTAAAATAAATGACGCATGTTGTGTTAGAGCTGAATAATAAATGGCAAGTTATTTTATTTCAGCAAACATGCTGTTTGTAAAAAGCTTATTTATTATACTTACATAGCTGATGAATAAATAGATTTTGAATACTTTGACTTAGTTGTACCTTAAAATGTCTTAAAAAATTTTCGTTTTTTGATTCGGTTTGCACAAAGATTCGTAACAGTTTACTGAATTTCCTTTCATCAATATTATTAAGTCTCTAAGGCTTATGTAAATGTTAAATGAAACAGAAATTAGATAGACTTGTAAGCAGTGTACACTGAAAATTTTAAATAAAAATATATTTTAAAGATATCTAAAGTTGGATGAAAACATAAAAGAAATTCTGTCATTCTTATTGATAATTATAAGCGCTAAGTTCGCATTGAACAATAAAACATCTCCAAGCACAGATTAGATACGTAAAAAATTAGCAATTAAAGTTTCAAGTGGGTGACACTTCTGTCCACAACAAAAAAGTTTCTGTCTATTAATATTGATTGTTATATTCATTGAGGGAAGTCTCTAAGAAGCCAAATATGACGAAAAGTTTTAAATTAGTGTGCGAATGATAACAATTCAATGATATCTAAAATCAGCTGTTAGATTACTACACTTGAAACTTTTTCCTTCTCATGACACTTAAAATTTCTTTCAGAGTGTTTTAAACCTTCAATCTCATCACAATGGAGACGACGAAAGTGCAAGAAAGTGGTAATAAAGGAATGAACTTGACAAAGAGAATGCCAAAGTCGATTCCTTTCCTGTTAGTTATTTTCGCTTTAGAACGATATTGTGCACATGGAATAACTTGTAAGAAAATAATTAAAAGATTATTCTAGACATTGTGAAGTAATTTGATTAAAACTTTTAAGCGATTTTGGTGCTTTACATGAATACAGAACTTAAGTTCGATCAAAGTATATCAACAGCGATTATGCATGCAAATGAGTTTCTCGTCTACACATTCACCATTTTTGGAGCTATAGTCGGTGATACATGGTGGGGAATGTTCAAAACTATCGCTTGGATGTCGATTGTCTATTCACTTGGAAACTTTGTTGTTGCTTTAGCAGCTATTCAGCCCTTGAATCTACCAACCTTGTGAAGTTCTTTAATTGACAATGTCTGACGTTTGTCTTGACTTCATTTGGTATTTTCTAGAGCTCTTACTATTACTGGGCTGTTCATTCTAGCTGTTGGATCTGGAGGGGTTCGTCCAAACTTAAGTGTATTTGGTGGATTTCAATACACTTCTGACCAAACTGAAGGCCTTGGATTGTATTTCGGACTGCAATATTTTGTTATGAAGTGCGGAACACTTGTTGGATCACTCGTTAGTCCGATTCTTCGTGGTGATGTTACATGCTTTGGTATGGATAACTGTTACCCTCTAGCTTTTGGAACACCAGGAATAGTCATGCTTCTATCATTTGTCATTTTCATGCTTGGGAAAAGATTTTATGTCAAAGTTCAGCCAAGCAAGCAAAGCATGTTGCTGCTCGTTTCTAGTTGTATAATTGTAAGATTAAACTTCGAAAGCTTTTTAAAGTTTAAGCAACAAAGATAAATGATTTCATTCATTGCAGACAAGTATTAAGGAAAAGTGCAAGTCAGGAAAGCTTGGAAAGAAAAGTCATTGGTTGGATTATGCCGTAACCAAACATGGAGAGAAACTTGTTATGGAAACTAAAATGGTTTTAAATGTTTTAGTTATGTTTCTACCGTTGCCATTGTATTGGTCTGCTTTCATGCTTCAAAGTTCTCGTTTTGTTTTTCAAGCAACGAGAATGAACGGCGATTTCTTAGGATGGTTTATAATTAAACCTGATCAGATGATTGTTTTTAATCCCATCATTTCAATTATATTGTTCCCAATTTGCGAATATATTTTCTATCCTTTACTTGAGAAATTAGGAATAAAGTCGCTTTTACAAAAGATGACCTTAGGAGGAATTGTTGCAGCTTTAGGAATTGTTTGCGCGATTTTCGTCGAAATTCAGATCAAGGAAAATTTTATTAGCATTTTTTGGCTACTTCCACAATATCTTTTCCTAGCCTTAAGCGAGAATTTCCTTTACATCGCTAATTTAAATTTCGCTTACAATGAAGCGCCAAGTAGCATGAAATCAGTAATGTCCGCATTTGTTTTTGTTACAATAGCTAGTGGGAATCTTATTATTGTTTTTGTCACAGCTTTTAAACTTTTTCCCATTCAAGTTTACGAGTTTACATTCTTTGCGACAATTCTTTTTATTGATATGATTGTCTTTGGGCTCTTAGCAACAAGATATCAATACGTACGTACAACAAGTTGCTAAACCAGAAGCATCTGAAAGATATGAGAACAAATTTTTCCTTTGTAATAATGATTGTTAATTAAAATAAAGTCATATTATACACAAGCATTGATTTCACAGCTCGGAATTTCGGTGAATTTTGCACCAGTTTATTTCATATAAATATTTTTTTTGTATTATTTCCTAAGATAAATGCTAATTAAAATTTTATGAATCTATAAAAAAAAGAGAAAGATTAAAAGTTTCACTCTAGTTGAAGGTTTTAATAATTAAACTCAGTATAATTGACCGCAAAAATTACGAGGCAAATTAAATAAATTACTTTAAAGTTATGTTCACCGTTGTAACTGTTGAGTATGCACAACATCAGGTTCAAGTTTGTTGATTTCGGCTTTTCATAAGCAAATAGCATTGAACCGTCTACTTTTAAATAATTGCAATTAAGTATTGTGTTCAATTTTCGGACTGTGCAGCTCTTTCAATTGGAATAAATTTTTTCTGTTTATCTTGTGGTCGGTAAGTTGGAAGTGAGATTCGAACATTTTCTGTTCTTGAAGTTACACTTTCTTCACGCTTCGACTCGTAATTATTATTAGTTTTTTCTATCGGTTTAATATAATTAGTAAAAGATCTAAAATCAGCATCTGATACGGTGTCATACTTTCTTGAAGGTTTAATTGATTTTGTAGCGATTTCACTACTCGACACTGCACTGTCTTTCTCATTCATGTCGAGATTAAAAATGTTGGAAATTTGTTCTGTTAATAACGGGAACAAAGTTAAACGAGCATATCTCTCAGCTTTCTCGAAAACATCTCCAAACCTATACTGAAAGAGTTGAACGGTAACAAATTTTTTGTCATCGCTATAATCCCCCGATGGCTCATCATCAATTTCATCTTCATTGTCTAATGAATCATCACGAATTGAAATGAAATCGTTAATTTTATTGTCGGTTGATTCTCCAAACGATCTTTTCTCTGTTGGTGCTTTCTCACTTTTCGGCATTCTTTCACCGATATTGAGATCAATCTCACTTGCATTTTGTGAAAGTGAGTTCGTGTTGTTTAACAAAGAACTGTTTTCGCTTGAAGTTGGCACCAAAATCGGCTTCCATGATAAGCTCGAAACATCTTCTGAAGGCAAATTAGTTTCACTTTCATTTCTTTCAAGTGGAATATGTTTTCCTAATGACATAACATCGGAATTTGAACTATAAGCAGGATAAATTATTGAGAGATTTTCTGAATCTGTTGACGATTCTGATGATATTAAGGCTTGACTTGACGATTTCTCAGCAAACAAGATCAATTCTTCTTCGTGACAATCACCTGGTAAAAGCGTCATTCGTTGGGGCTTTCCTGACTCTAAAATAAAATGTTTGCATAGCGAGTGACTTTCTCCAAAACTATCACTTAAAATGACTTTATTAATTCCCCACGATGATAAGCCTCGTGTTAGCCAGCCTCGGTAGACTTGATAAGTAACCGTGACATTTTTTGGAAAGTTTAAAGCTGGATGTGGAACAATGATCTTTGATATAAAATCGCCTGCAAACATCTCTTGGTCATCACGTCTGTAAAAATAATAAATGATACTCAAATTAATATTGATTGAGTCTATTATCATGTTTGTGTTTACTCAGTAATCGTGAACGCTTCTTGCAGGCCACCTTCACTTTCAAGCTCGACGTCGATGCGTCCAATTGTCTGAATCGGCAGATCGTTTGTTGCACTATGAATTTTCATGATGTATTGATGTGCACAATAAGGTTCTTCTTCTCTTGTCCGAAGATACAATTGACCTTTCCCTGTTGATTTATCAGCGTAATAACCCATCGCGCCACAAATGCTATCGACTTTATCATGAAACTTCCTGTAATGTTTACACTTCAATGAAATGTTTAATCAATTATAAATTTCTTTTCTTACACTTCTTTGCTGATCGTGTTGTTATTTCTGATTGATTTTGCTTTTCTATTTGGACAAGAAAAACATTTTCCTTGTAAAAAGTCTTCGTAACTATTACATGGAAAAGCAGGAAAGAGACAACGCGGTGCAACAGAATGAATAAAGAATTTGTAGGCACGTCTGTGATTACATAATGATCTGCCTTCAACTTGAGCTGGTGACGTCCAAATTATATCAGTGACTGCACCAACAAACAAATTTGAACAACCAGTTTGTACTCGCCCACCATTTGGGTAAAAATCAACATGACCCATTGGTTGCCAACTTCCAAGACCACCTAAGATCAAATTTTCTCCATTTGAATGAATCACGTCTGCGGAAAAGAAAGAAACAAAAAAAATTAGCGCCGTAAAAACATTAAAGCAACATCGACCTTGTTTATGCATCAAGATGTAAGAGCGTATCGTTTACCTACAAATTCAGCGTCACTCTCATCAAGGCGCGCTGCGACATGTGCACCTTCAAACAGGGGACCAGCGGGGTCTAAGCCTGTTATACGATGAAGTGATTTTAATTCAGCACCAGCAAAACCTGTTCCATTTGAAAACAAAAATTGTTTTTGTCAATAAGTAAATAGAAGCAAAAAATAAAATTTTAATTAACAAACCACTGGCGTGTGCGCCTAAACTAAAGCCTATCAAATGAACTCTGGAAAATTCTAAGCCTTGATGTTTGTTTAATTGTTTCAGAAGAAATGCGAGTTGTTTTCCAACTAATCTTGAATTTGCAGCTGCTCGAACATAACTTTAAGTAATCAAATTATTAGATTAATTTAATGGAAAACTTTGCTGTTGATAGAAGTGTTAGTTACTTTGGTAAGACGGCGCCTTTTTCCCAGTCTGTGCATACAACGAAGCAATCTTCAACCGCCATCAAAGCTGATCTCATTTCATCGACCCATTCATGAGGACAACTACTGCCAAAACCATGAACAATAATTCGCATTGAGGCACCTGTTAAATTACCAAATTGTTTGTACACCTTTAAAGGATTGAAAGCGGGTTTAGAATCGACACTATGTCGTTTATCCATTCTTAGTTTTGACGGTGTCTGCGTGGTCGTTGTTATGGTCTCATTTAACAACGAGTATGAGGAAATGTCGTGGAAAGAGAATTGCAAGAATGGATTATCTGATCTGGAATGTCAAGGTAAGATGTAATAATGACAAGATACAAGAAAATTTCATCATTCTACTGGCCTATTTTTTGTTGAAAAGACATGAAACTTTGTGTCAATCTCTTCAGGTGAGCTTGGAAGCATGTCAATGTAACCAAAAGGTCCAGAATCTTCAAAACAACCCAAATCACCATAACAAACTACATTCGTTTGACGTTTTTGTCTTTTTTTCGATGATTGACGAGCTTCCCACTGTCGCATCGATTCTTGAACAGCTTTGACCATTTCAATTTCTTCTTCAATTTCATTTTCATAATGACTAGGGCTGGCGTTTGCAAACAAATCTATAATTAATGTTTCCAAAAAGATAATTTTTTTGTAATTATGGAAATTTTCAATTCTAATGCTTGAAGAGTAAAATTGTGACTTGAAACCGAACACAATGCTCAAACAGTTCATTGTCAGTTGACAATCGAGATGTTCTGTGTAAAGCCATCAATCTTGAAACAATTTGAAACATAACTTTATTCTACACAAGATAATTTCAGAGCATAAATAATTGCAAAGAAAACACCCGGTGAATTGTAAACATAAACAAGCATAAAGCTATTGTTATTTATGTCTGGGTTTTTGTAATCAGCATAATATAAAAGTAATTCATTCATTCAATGGTTGCATGTTACAGAGCTTAGAAATGTTTGAGGAAATTGTATTTAATTGCGTAATGCAACCATGTGAAGATTATTAATAAGTATTTTGATCACTGAATAAGAAAATAAGCTCGTGTCAAAAGGTGATTTAGCTTGACAATAAAGATCTCGATGCCATGACAATATGCTGTTAAACGTTGATTGTTTAAGCAAGCATGAATGGATGTTATTTTGAAAGAAAACCGAAATTACAAATTGTATAATGATTTGTTGATAAACTCACCTTCAAATACAATTAACTTAATAAAAATTACAGTTACAAAAAAAATTAAAGAGCTTTTGATATGAAACATGTTTCGTTTTTAAATAGTACTTAAGTTGCAACAAATGACATCATTACATAAATTTTATTTGTAGTTTCTTTTCTCTTTTTTTCCACTGTCTTATGCCGGACAATTGTTGATGTCGGACATAAAAGAAGAAAACAACACTAAGTAAGTACACTCTTGTCAGTCAATTGCTTTTGCATCTATAAACACACTAAAGACGCTGCAATAGTCCACCAGGCCAACAACTCTTTATCGTCCAACAGGTTGTATTGTTGTAGATATTTGGTTCGAACGATGAAAAATTTCCTTCTTGAATTTATTTTTCTTTTTTTTTTTTTTGCTTGCTTTCACATGAATTTCGCTTTCACCAATGCTAACAAATAAAAACACTTCGAACTGTGCGATGATAGTCAATAATAAAAAGTTAATAATTTATGCTTTTCTGTAATTTTTATGATTGTCGAGGCGATAAGTAGGTCAGTGTTTCTAAATACTCCCAAAGTATTTAAAGCATCTTAAAAGAAAATCATGAACTCGCGAAACTAGAGCATAAGGTTTTATGTTGCTTTACTCTTATATATATTAACTTTATTTGATTACTCGCAACAGTGTTTGTCCCTCACAGTTTAAAAAGCAAGTCGCATTTAATTTCATAACCGAACTGCTATTTAGCTTATTAATTTATTTTAAGTCATCATTTATATATATTTAACATTTACACTTTTCGCTTTACAGTCACCTTTAACCATCTTCAATGCACGGATACAACTGAAACGGCAAAGCTTTTCAACGTTTAAACTGCAAATAAAAAAACTGAAATAATCAAAGAGAGAGAAAATGCGAGTGTTGTTGAGCAAAGAGTAAAAGTAAACTTGTATATGGCGCAAACTGTCATGCTTGAGCATATCTACCTTGCTCATAACATGTGGAAACAATAATCATTGGTATAGTGGTAAAATTTTCGCACAAGACAATAAACGTGAAGAAATGCGGATAAGCTTGGATTTTATGTAGTTCCTACATTTATTGATTACGTAAACTTTATGCTAAAATGCAATCGGAAATTTAAATGAGTCACTATATCAATATTGAAATTTACCAGAAAATATATAACAGATAAAATAAGAAGTATAATTATTGTTTTTGCCGGATTTTCAACAAACTTTTACTACTTGGTTTCGATAGCGGTTAACAGTGTTACGTACCGATATAAACCCCAACATTTCGAGAAGCTTCCTGATTTAAAAACATGCTTTATTTTTAATATTTATTTCCTACGAATTGGTCATAAACGGAAAAGTGCAATACTTGAGATAATTACAATATTTCATGTTGAAGCATTCACATCAACATAAATTTTTATTAGATCAACATTATTAACGAACTTTTATATTTTAAATTCTACGTTTAAGTCAACGTTTAAAAGTTCTTCTACGCTTAACGCAACATTGTTGACGTTTTGACGTTTGATATTTTGCTAAACTCTCTTAAATTTCTTTAATTTATAAGAAAATAAGAACAAGAATTTATAAATATGCCTCCAAAAAAAGCTCCGGCAACCAGTAAGAAAACAGAAATTAAGAAGAAAGAGAAGGTTATTGAGGTAAACATCAGAAATAATAGTTTCTTATAAATGGAATGAGGTTATTAATATAAATTGTGCATTTTATCAATAAAGGATAAAACATTTGGCTTGAAGAATAAGAAAGGAGCAAAAACTCAAAAATATATTGCCCAAGTAGAAAAACAAGTTAAGTCAGGAGGACAACATAACTTGTTAGCAACTAAGCCAGATGACAAGAAATTGGAGAAGGAGAAAAAACTTAAGGTTTGTGATGAATTAGGTATTCCAATTTTCAATTTTTTACGTCAGACAATTCATTTTTAGGACCAAAAAGAACTTGCGCTACTCTTCAAGCCTGTAATCGTTCAAAAAATCGGCGCAGACACTGATCCCAAAAGTGTTCTCTGTGCGTTCTTTAAACAAGGTCAGTGTACGAAAGGTGACAAGTGCAAATTTAGCCATGATCTTACAATCGAACGCAAAACCGAAAAACGATCGATTTATGTGGATGTTCGTGACGTGGAAACTGATGGAGAGACGATGGAAAATTGGGATGAAACTAAATTAAAAGAAGTTGTGGACAAGAAACATGCAGCCGAAAAAACTAACGCAACAACAATCATATGCAAATATTTCCTTGAAGCTGTCGAGAAATCTCTTTACGGTTGGTTCTGGAGCTGTCCAAACGGAGAGAAATGTATTTATCGACATGCTCTTCCACCTGGTTATGTGCTCAAAAAGGATAAAAAGAAAGACGACAAGAAAGATGAAATTTCTCTTGAAGAACTTATTGAAAGTGAAAGAGCTGCCTTAGGATCAAACACAACGAAAGTTACACTAGAATCTTTCCTTAGTTGGAAAAAGAGGAAAATTGATGAAAAGATACAAGCACAATTGGAGGAAGAGAAAAAGAAGATGAAAGACTTTAAAAGTGGAAAACAATTTGGTATTTCTGGACGTGAAATGTTCAGTTTCAATCCTGATTTGGTTCATGATAATTCGATGGATGATGATGAACAAGCTATTGATATTGTTCGCGAGAAAGATGAAAATGATCATGAGTTTAAAGAAGTTGATTTTAGTGCTTACAATATGGGATTGAAAGAAGTAATTTTATTAATTAGAAGACTCGTATCTTTTATTTACTAATACGATCTAATTTTGTATATTTAGGTTGATGGAACCGGTACTATAGCAACAGACGATCGGTTTGATAAAATGAGGGAATCAGTGAAAACAGCAAACGAAACACCGAGCTCTGAAACCAACGGCGATGAAGCTGCAGGAACCACAATTATCGATGAAGCCGGTCCAATAAATGAAAACCTATTTCTTAATGAAGACCTTGATGGGCTTGATGATGAATTGAACGATTTGGATTTGAATTAGATTCTAACTCACTGGAATATCATCAAAAGTAATTCAATTGTTATATTCAATAATAATATTGGATGAGAATAAAACTTTTAAACTGAAATCAATTTGAAATTGCTACGATTCTCTTACGTCTTGACGTCAATATGTCTACGGTTTCACTACGTCAACCATACGTTTCTTTGAATCATCACTCGAGTTCGCGGAAAGAATTTCTCACTACACATTTTTGGTGTTTTTAATTCGATTCATTGATCTAAAGTTTTATAAAGTTTATTTTTCTAGTTTAAATATTTATCATGCAGGTATGGTATTGAAAATCATTAAATAAACTTCTGTCTTCCTATTTAATTTTCTTATTGACCATAAATGGTAATTCAATGTTTTTTTCATGCTCCATTTATTTATTTATAAAATCTACACACCCAGGACCCAAATGAAGATTCAGAATGGAATGATGTTTTAAGACAAAAAGGAATTTTACCTCCAAAACCCAAAGAAAAAGAAATAACAGAAGATGACATCGTTAATATGCTTGAAAAGACGATTCAAGAGAAAGCTGGAAGTAAGATAAATGAAAGGAACCTTGAAAGTTTTAAAAATAAGTATGAAAATGTATTATTCTAGACAACAGAGATCTTGAACAACTCGATCTCGATGAGCTTGATGAGTTGGAAGATAGCGAAGATGAAGCGATTTTGATGGAGTTCAGGAACAAGAGAATTGCTGAAATGAAAGAACTCGCAAGTCGCTCCAAATTCGGGTCAGTTCGTGAAATTACTGGTGAAGAATATATTAATGAAGTGAACAAAGCTGGAGAAGATATTTGGGTGATATTGCACCTTTATGCAAAGGGCATTCCTTTCTGTTCATTACTCAATCAATTTTTCACCGAACTCGCAATGAAATTTCCAACAGTGAAATTTCTCAAATCGATTGCACAAACCTGCATCCCAAACTTCCCGGAGAAAAATTTACCAGCAATTTTCATCTATCACAACGGCCAAATTAAAAAGCAATTTTTGGGTGCTTTGGAATTAAGAGGACCAAATCTCACAAAAGATGAATTAGAATTTTTATTGGGAAAAGTCGGTGCAATCAACACAGAAATTAAAGACGATCCAAGACCCGTCGTTACTGACAAGCTTTTCAGAGATTTAGCTGAAAATAATGACTGGTAGAAGAATCAAATTTTAAAAATATTTTATACAAAATAAGTGAAATAAACACAAACCATTTGTCTACTATATTTAATTTTTATTTAATGATCTGATCAGAATTATTTTAAATTTACAATACAACATCGCATCACTAAGAACCAACCCAGTAATTGAGATCTAAACTGTTGAAACTTTTAAATTTTGTGTTATGTGTGCATAGTTATAATTAAATGATAATGTCCAAGATGTTAATTCGAGACGAAATGTTTTATCATTGATTCGTCAAGAATTAAACAAATGATATTGGATGTCACATCAAAGTTATCAGATCATTGACATAATTTTAATTTTAATTAATTTAAAAAAGGAAACTCTCTCAACATTTCACATCATTGTAAATGAATGTTTGATTAGTAATGACGGAGTAGTCTTAAGTTTACTTTTAGTGGTTTTACAGAATGTTACTCCTTTGCTTTAAAAATGCAAATATCTTTCGTGCTGATCATTTTCTTATATAATTTTCTTATCGTTGTTGTCCATTTTTAGCTTTAAAAAAGAACTTTAACACATTTTTTTAAAACATTTAAACTTGTTTGACTTTTTTAATCCTGTTCAACGATGCTTTGTGATTTTTTTTATTACATTGAATATTTTTGCAGAGAGTAAACAGAAAAATTAACTGCTTGGCGTAAACTTGTTGCAAGGCTGAATAATGGATGTCTTTCTGATAGGAACAGAATCTGGAGTAGGGATTGCCTGAAATAAAATTTCAAATTCATATAAAAAAGAAGAGAAAAACAAAAAGAAGAATTTCAAACCTCTCCAGTCGAAACTTTGTTCGCAAAAATTTGTTTTGCCATCCCTCCACCGCCAGTCTTTTGCTTTGCCATTTGATAATCACCAGAATCGAAGTATTTCTGACCTTTCTGCAATCGCTTCTGTAGGAAAGCTGAGTGACCACCAGGTCGGCCAAAGCCACCCATAGCTTGAGGATATTTGGCTTTTAATTTTTCTTCTTCCATTTTCTCAACCTCTTGTGCATTTTGCTAATTAACAATATGATTAAATATTGAGTTATAAGAGAATAGAATTTGTTATCACAGAATGTTTTTGACTTTAATTTTCGCAAAAGTAAACACATCAAGCGAATATTTCTCTTTACTTACTTCAACGGGTGCTTCTGTTTCAATTGGTGAATCTGACATTTTCTCTGTGTTTGTAGTATCTACGTTTTCCTCTGAACTCATTTTGTGAATAACACTTGCTGTTTATAAGGTTAAAACTGTTAAAAATAAAAATCTTCTAGAATTTTTGGCAGATTTTGTTGACCTTCACACATTTTTTTGGAAAACATATGATATAATAAATTATGGAGCTTCTGTAGGTTACATTTTGATGCCTGATTAACTTAATGTTGATAACTTACCCAAATTATCACCAGAAACTAACTGCAAGCTATACAATTAAAGACACAAATTAAAGATTTTACGCAAAAATCACTTTCAACTGTTTAGACGTTTCCTAAATATCTAGATATCTGAAATTGTCCGACTGTTCAACGGTTTCGTCATTGCAATGACTTGAATTCCTGATTTTGATGATGATTCATGATGATTTTGTTTACTAAAGAAATTATTTTTCGTCTTACAGTTTTAATAAATGAATCATGTTTTTATTTAAATATACAATTAAGGAAGCTTTTGTCTACATTGTATGATATGAAAATTAACATTTATTTCCGTGCCAAAACTAATTTCGCAAATATTCAAGGTGAAGCTTTAATTAATTTTGGAACAGAACTTAAAATAAATTATTTATCTTCTTAAATTAGGTATCTTGCTTTAAAAATATATCTCAGTACATTTGATACTTTTGCAAATGGGTAAGTCCCGTGGAAAGAGTTGAAGTTGTGGCAGCTGATAATGCTTTTAAAAGAAGCATGTCAGAATCATTGTAATTAAGAACGCCTTGAGAATTTTCTATCATTTGTGATAATTTGGCATTGCAAATTTCAGTATCTTGAAGTTGCTTTCGGGATGCTATCAGACAATCAAAGGCTGCTAAATGTTCTCGAGGTGGAAGAAACGATCTTTCTTGGGTTGATAGATTTTCAACTACTGCTCGTAAGCCTAAAATGAGATTTTATGAAGATTTTATTGTGGAATCTTGATGAATGTTTAACTTACCATCAACCCACTGAAAATTGAAAGTTAATAAATTAGCATTAAATTTATTTACAATACTCAGAAAAAAAGTTCTTTTACCTCTTGACGTGACCTGGCATTATTAGCTTTCAATTTTATGGTTTCTCCTGCTGCTGGGTTTATTGTGAAGGTCCTAGAATCTTCATCAGAAGGATCTAAATAGATAAAAAAAATTATTCTTTATTAAATCAAAGTCAGCAACATTAAAATAATTTCTTTGTACTTATTAATGCTCCCATTAAATGAACTTGCCCTCTTGGGTTGCCTGTGATATGTTCGTCCCCAGTTTCGCATAAGTAGTAAGTAAGAATGCCATTCTCAGCATCAACTCGACAAAATCTAAGTTGAAATCCTAACAAAAAATATAAAATAACATTTGAAAAGAAAACAATGAAAATATAATAAAATTTACCTTTAACTACATTCGTGTACTTATAAAGACATCCAGCAAGTTCAGGACGATTTGTTAGAACTTTTTTCAGATTATCCATTGGTGTTTTCTTTCGCTTAAATCTTCTACAAAACCTGAAAATCCTGGAATTAAACAAAATTTCACAGATTTACTGATGAAAACTCTGAAATGTTAAACGAATATGGAAAGATTGTGTAGAAAACACGTCCGACTGACGATTCAAAAATTCCGGTGAGCTCAGAAATTAAGAACATAAGAAACCAGTTTGCTAAAATTTCCCTTTAAAATTTTCCATTTATTTTTGGATACATCAACCAAACCGGGTTAATTTGTTAAACAATTTTATTAATGCCGCAAAATTTATGTTTATTTCCATTTCTTACATTATTAATGTTTCATGTGAGTTTAATGAATTTATTCATTCATAAATTTATGAATGGTAAATTACCATTGGTAATTTATGTTGTGTGTAGATGTTATGTATGAATAGGTGCATAAGATAAATTTAATAACATGTTAATTATTATTATAAATACTAATTTTTAATGACTTGTCTATCCATTTTCTTTTCTTTTTGATGTACTTGAACTTGTAGATGGGTAATTTTTATTAATATTTGAAAGCAATGTCGATGAACTTTGCCGTCAATTTTTGGCGGTAGCAAAATTTATATAAGCAACTGCTTCTAGTGACTTAACATAATTTTTAGTTTTATTTTTACTACGTGATTAATGGATAAACCGTGGATATAAAATAAATTAATGTTAATATCCACGGAAGATCATTTGTTATTAATGAAATTTATTTCCATATCGTAAGTAGAAACTAAATAATAAAAATTAATAAACAATTTGGATTCTTACAATCTCAAGCGTCAAGAAATGTTTGTCATCATACGGGGGAATTTTCTATTATCATAAACTTGTTTTTTAACTTCGTTCCAAACTATATATAAAGATACTTTTGTTTGATTCTAACAATCAGTTCTCAAGTGATAATCGAGGTATAAACTTAACTCAAAAGTGTGAAATATTTTCTTAACCACTCGCAATAAAATTTCATTCTTAAAAAAATATAGAATCGAAAAAATCTAAAAATGAACGCATTAGTGAAGATTTTTGCATTTGCACTTTTAATCTGCGTGATAGCAGCTATACCTTTACAAGAAGAGCAAGATAATTCAAAACTTGATTTATTGTCTGTTGATGATGCGCCACAACAAGAAAATCCGGGTGCTTTAACCCGATCTAAACGTAAGTTATAAACAAATTCTAAGAAATTTCAAAGAGTTTCTAAGAAATCAAATTTATTTCAGGTGGTTATGGTGGATTTGGAGGTTTCGGAGGATATCCATATGGTGGTTACGGTGGTTATGGAGGTAAGTTACGACAAAAGTAAATAACAAGCAGTGTTAATAAATATTTTTATTTATTTAGGATATCCTTATGGAGGTGGATACGGAGGTTACGGAGGGTACGGTGGCTATCCCTACGGTAAATTCAATGAAATTTTGTTTGAGAGATTTGTTTAATTTTCATTTTATTTCTAAATTCACAGGTGGTTATGGTGGTTATGGAGGCTACGGTGGATTTGGATATAAGAAATTCGGTGGATTCTATGGTTAAACTCATTTCTTCTTAAATTCTATTAATTCAAACCAAGAGCTTGGAAAGCGTACACTTTCATCTCGCTATGTTCTATTCTTGGAATATCATCAAAAGCATTCAGTGATAAAAATATTTTCTTATTAATTTTATATTAAAATCATCCAACAATGTAAAAACATTTCAACATTTAATGAATAAAAGTTTTGTTTAAAGATTATTTTATTTCGTATCTACTTACAAGTCTTTTTATAAATTATAACTTACTAGATGAGTAAGAAATTTATGTAAAAAATATTATTAAGTGTTTGTTGTCCATATAAAAAATGAGTAAGAACTGAAAACGATAATGAAAATATGAAGTAATCTTATCAGCATATTTCTTTCAAATAATCAGTTGTTAATGAGTAACCTCAGTTAGTTTCGTTTGGTCTTCAGAACGAGAAACATCTCTTGAATTCATTAAACATGAACACTTTAGTTAAAGGATGGTTTAGTGAAATATCTGACGAACTTTGGCCTGGACAATGCTTTTCTTTGAAAGTAAAAGAAATTTTGCACGAAGAAAAGTCTGAGTTTCAAGATATTAAAATTCTAGACACGTAAGTTAATGAAATTAGAATATATTTTGAAACAAAAATTGTTATCAAAATCTAAATTGACCTCTAATATTATTTTTGGTTATCGTTTAAAGGGAAACTTACGGTAAAGCATTAATTCTTGATGGTGTAATTCAATGTACGGAAAGAGATGAGTTTGGATATCAAGAGTTAATCTCGATGATTCCGATTTGTAGCCATCCTAACCCAGAACGTGTTCTTATTGTCGGTGGTGGCGATGGTGGTGTTGCCAGAGAAGCCATCAAACATCCAGCAGTTAAAGAAGTATATCAAGTTGAAATCGATGGTCGTGTTGTTGATTTATCAAAAAAATATTTGCCATTTATGGCTTGTGGTTTTGATTCACCGAAAGTTCATCTTACGATCGGCGATGGATTTGAATTCATGAAAAACCATAAAGAAGAGTTTGATGTCATCATTACTGATTCTAGTGACCCGATAGGTTCGTAAATTTGTCAAACATTTCCTTAATAAAAAATAAATTTAATAAAACATTTCAAGGTCCCGCTGTCTCACTTTTTCAAGAAAGTTATTTTGAATTGATGAAAAAAGCATTAAGGCCTGGAGGAATTATTTGTTCTCAAGGGTCAAACTTTTGGATTGATTTGGAGCATGTCAAAGAAACTTTAAAAGCGTGCGCATGTCATTTCAAAAACACGAGTTATGCAATGGCAATGGTTCCATCATACCCATGTGGTTCCATTGGTTTCGTTATTGGATGCTTAGATGAGAAGCGTGACTTGAAAACTCCCTTGCATTGCTTCACAACAGACCAAATTGACAAACTTAACTTCAAATATTACACAAGTGATGTACACAAAGGAGCTTTTGCCTTGCCTCGATTTGCTGCTAAAGCTTTTGAATTTTAATTTGATGATTTCGTTTATCTATTCAAGAAATGATTGGAATAAAAACTTTTTTCTTTTCATTTTGAAAAACGGTTGATTGAAGTTTGAAATGCGTTTTATTGTGAAAATTCATTTTCAGACATGCGCATATGAATAAGAAATTTTCATCTTCTGGAACTGGAGATTAAAAATAATTTAGTGAAAATTTCGATATTAAAAGTTTCAAAATGACGGAAGTTTCAAATCAAGTGAATAATTCCAGCGACAGAATTGCAAGTCTCATGAAAGAAGCTGAAAACTTGAAGCAGAAACTTGAAGACGAACGTCAAAAGCTCAATGATGTTACTTGTAAGTAAATATGAATAACAAAAGAAGAAAAATATTTAATGATAGTCTTATACAGTGTCAAGTATTGCTGAACGCTTGGAAATCATACAATACATGAATATTAAGCCAAGAAGAATTTTAAAAGGTCATCAAGCAAAAGTTTTATGCTCAAACTGGTCGCCTGATAAACGACACATCGTAAGCAGTTCACAAGACGGAAAGTTGATTATATGGGATGCTTTCTCAACAAATAAAGTAATTTGAGACTTCAATGATATGCATTGAGATGAAATTATAAGAAATTAATTTACTTTGAACTTATTCAGGAACACGCTTTGACAATGCCAGCAACTTGGGTCATGAGCTGTTCATATTCAACATCTGGAAACGCAGTTGCATGCGGGTAATTACTTAAAATAAACTTTAATTGTGTATAAATATATAATTAACTTTATTCTTCATTCAGTGGTCTCGACAATAAAGTTACTGTTTACCCAATCACGAATGAAGAAGACATTTCATCTCGTAAGAAAACTGTTGGAACTCACACTTCATATATGAGTTGTTGTCTATTTCCGAATTCGGATCAACAAATATTGACAGGAAGTGGCGACTCTACATGTGCTCTTTGGGATGTTGAGTCGGGTCAATTATTACAAAGTTTTCATGGACATTCCGGTGATGTTATGGCAATTGACTTGGCACCAAATGAAACTGGAAACACTTTTGTTTCAGGCGTAAGACATTCAATGTTTTCTTTAAATACTTGTACTGATATTTATGTTATATTATTTTAAAATTATATAAACATAGGCTGCTGACAGACAAGCATTCATTTGGGACATGAGAACATCGCATGTAGTTCAATCATTTGAAGGTCATCAATCAGACATTAATAGCGTTAAATTTCATCCAAGCGGAGATGCAATTTCCACTGGCTCTGATGACTCAACGTGCCGATTATTTGATCTTCGTGCTGACAAAGAAGTTGCTGTTTATTGCAAGGAAAGCATAATTTTCGGAGTAAACTCTGTTGACTTCAGTGTCTCGGGTCGACTTCTATTTGCTGGTTATAATGATTACACAGTTAATGTTTGGGACACTTTGAAAAGTCAGAGAGTTGGATTACTTTATGGTCATGAGAATAAAGTTTCTTGTCTGCAAGTATCACCTGATGGAACTGCACTCTCAACTGGAAGTTGGGATTTTACTCTCAGGGTAACATTTTATTGACTTACGATGATTTAACCAACTAACTAATATTATCTTTTCAGATTTGGGCTTAAATATTTTACTTATCATTATGAATTCACATTATCTATTAAAGTTATGTGTAGATTCTATTAAACTATCGTAACATCCTTTAAACAAGTTACAATATATGTTAAATAACTTTGAAAGAAAAATATTTGCTAACTTTGTTTTATTTCCAATCATTCATCGGTTTTTTTCCTATTTACAGAGGTGAAGAGTGAGAGTATGAAATAGAAAAAAGAAAACAATTTGAATTTGATTTTTTTTTAAGAAATCTTTATTTTCATTTAAGATAGAACAGTAAAAAAAGTTTTAGAAATGATTACAAAGTGTAAGGAAAAGAAACTTTCAATCACAAGCGATAAGATGGCAACATAAAGACCAAAAGATTTGGCATGACATTTATTTTTTGTTGAAGTTGAAACGTGATGGTGCTGGTCGACGTTGAAGGCCTGCTGAAGCTGGTGCTACAGGTGGTGGTGTTGGAATATGGGCTCCTATCACAAGGAAAGATGAATGATAAATATTCGATAAATAATGAGATTCATTTAATTCCAATTTGAATAATTCAATGCGACGAGATTGTTATTAATCAGCAAAACAAATTTACCTTCTGCACGGTAACCGTTTTCATCAGCGATGTATGTGATAGTGTAAACAACTCCGTCAGGTCCAGTGTATGAATAGCTTCCTTGCATAACTTGAGCTTCCGCTTGTGAACCTGCATTCTTCAAGTAACCTTGTTCATCTACCCTGATTCCATTGGAGGTTTCATAACTAAATAGGATAAGAAGTGTCACAAAGTCATTGTATTTAAGAAATCTTTTGACCATCACGAAGCTTTTAAAATTAATGATACGCTTCGGACAAATTGAGTAGGTTTCATCAAGAAAAAAATGATCAAAATACTTGACATCACGCACCTAGACACGTATGAATTATCCACTGGATTTAAATCGAAAACTTGTTTCAAAATCACGGCGTCTTTTTCAAAATTGTTGCCGTAGGTTGGTGACGTGAATGAACGTTGGGCTGATGCACATGCAAATGCGACAGATAAAACGATCTAATAACAAACAAAGAGAGATAATATTTGTCACTTGATTTTATAATTTTTCAATTTATTTTGTAAGAAAAATATTTCAAAACTTTTGCAAATATTGTGACATTGAAAAGCACAACAAAGTTTTATTTTTTTTTTGAATGACAACACTTTGGTTCCTTCTTTTTCATTATGCAAAATTTGCTATGATTAATTTATAATTATTTTTCACATTTTTTTAAAACTTTTGGAGAGATGAAGTCACTTTTATCATTGAAATTTCAAATTTCTTTTTTCTCTGCCAAGTTCAAAGAAGGAACTTTTGATTATCACCGACACTTACAAGAAGTTTCATAATGATTGAATAATAGAACTAAATAAACTACTGCGAATGTGTACTAATCAAAGTTTTGAGATGTTTTAAATTTTTATGAGGCTGGGCATCTTTTTATATAGGAATCGAATGATCCACCTCTCAACACTTAGATGAGATATTTCTTTATTTCAAAGCGACGCGTTTACTAACGTACAACAACAACTAAGGCAATAATGCCAACAGCGTTTTTAGAGTTTACGGCCAACATCTTCTATGAAGTCGACGAATATCTAATTGTAATATTTTTCAGTCTGATTCATGTTGCATTCTCATCACTCTTTAAGATTCTCTTCAAAGTAAAATGCTGGGCTGTGCAGAGATTTATGAGAAGTTAATTAAATAAATTTAATATTTAATCAGAACATAATAAAATTCTTTTCAAATTACTTTTTCGCTTTCGTCATAAGAAATAAATCCAATTGAGTTTTCAGTTTTATTAAAACAAAAGAAAAACTTATGTTGAAGTTCATCAAAAATCTTGAAATTAACTTTATTTGCAGGGGGATTTTGTCGGACTGTCCGTCAGGTTGGCTCGATGAAATTAGTATTTATTTAATTTAAGTGATTTTTACACAAAATAAATTAAATAAAACTAGTGTTCGTCTAGCTACACAACCTGTTAAATAAGGGTAGCCTGAAGAACACTTACTTTTATGCTTATTTCAGTGTCCATTTTAAAGTTTTAGTGTATTCCATAGGTATGTATACAAAATGCGGTCTTTCATTTTTTCCCGCAACAAAACTAAAGAAATCTTGTTGCTGGTTGCAAAATCATCTTCTAGCGCTGCTAAGAAGTTGTTTCAAATTTAAAGTCTTTAAAGCTTCAAGTGATGGTTTCACTAGCTATAATTATGATGATGGTTTCATCTGCATCTGCTGTAATGCTTTCACAGCGCCATTTTCAAAATTTTATTTTTACAGGAACTTAGTTTCATTTTTAAAATTTTCTTTTCACAGGAATTTAGTATCATCTCAGTTTTCAGTTAAAGAGAGAATTTGGAATTTAAGTGTGTTCATAGGTAGCATTCCTGATGATTTGATCCTAAAACTGCCTCATAAATTGAAGAATATTAATTTTCGCAAAGGTAAACAATCATTTTGTCCATATGGACTCACATATGAGTGCATCAAAAATGACCTTTCTATGTCACATATCAAGGGGCGCTCAATAATTGACGTCTCGTATTTCAAAAATTTCAGGAGCAACAACAATGACCTCTCAAATTTAAATAAACAAAAATGGGAGAGTATCATAAATGACGTCTTTAATTTACAAAAATTTGAGTATATCATAAATTACGTCTCAAATGTACGGAAATTTTACGTCCCAAATTTACGAAAACTTCAAGAACAATCTATTCAAAAGGACTTTCATTCTCTATCTGTTTCATTGAAATTTTATTTCCACATAAAACAACACTCATTTAATCATAGAAAATTTCGCTCATATTCTACAGTTGAACGCCGGTAAGCGGAAATCCGCTTTCGACTTTTTTCTCTGAAGGTTTGTAGAATAAATTCCCAAAATTCCCCCCTCTTCCTGATTTTCGTGTTGAAGATTTCGAACGGACAAATCATGTTTGTTGCTCTTATTTCGTCCTTCACGTTTTAAAGTCAATCATCAGGATTTTTGACCACACTGTCATTAATGTTGAGGAGCTCGCGGGGGTGGAACTGGAGGATCCTCTCCTTGTTATGAGGAGAACGAGTGTCCGGTCCACCTTCTTCGACCTCTTCGGCGGACAGTGAGATCAGGGAGATGGCTGGTGAGGGTTCTCATCTTCAGAGAAACTCATCTCTGAAGGTTTGTAGAATAAATCCTAAATCACCCCCATCTTCCTGTATCAGCGGTCAAATTGGTCGCTTTGAGCTAAATTTACAAGCACATTTCACTTTTTACGCAAAATTTAAGGTAGTTTTTGAAACTTTCCTTATTTAACATCAATCATCAAATGACGGGATATAGGGAGCGAAACAAGAAGGGGTTCATACTCCTATATTCTTAATCGCTTTAGTGCACTGGTTAGTGCACTCCCTACTCTGATGATGATGATGAACTTTATTTGCAAGTTGCTTATTTCTATTTTATTAAAATGCTAAATTCTATGATTAATTGCCATGAAGCAAAAGGAAAAAAACTTTGAGGATGGTTTGCGCGAAATCAAATTTAATCTTCTTAAGCTATGCTGAATTGAATTGTTTTCGTTAGGTTCGAAAAAAGAAACGTGAGAAAATTTTCATCATAACTTAATCGATTATTGTGATATTTGCCATCTGAAGAACTTTTAAGGTTGTTTTAAATATTTCACTTCATCCATAAACTGTGACTTTGTCAAGGCTGTGATGATGAAGCTTGTAAAAGTAGGATAGATGAAGAAATTTCCCAGGATGAACTTCTTAAAGTGCGTGTCAATGACCTCTCATTAAAGTATTTACATTTAATGCGAATAAACCTGTTAGATCAATATACTACTTAACAACATGTCAATTAAGTTTTTTTGAGTCATTAGTATGCAATATAAATCAATTAGTTTTGATGTAACGCACAATTTTAATGTCTTAATTGTTTACTTGGTAAGACGAGCTTAAGCATGTTACTTTAACATTCAAGAGTCAAATTGCAATAATGAGTGACATTTAAACAGTTGTAAAAATTGATGAAAAGAAGCGTTATAAACTTGAATCTATTGTCAGATATTTTAACGGCAGATCTTATAAAGAAACATAATACAAATAATAAAAAAAATTCGATTATTATGTGCCAAAGCAACATTTTAACAATCTGATGAGATGTCAAGGTCGCATATTTAATTGTTAGAAAATTGCACTAATTTTAATTCCATTGTATCTCTCTCTCTCTGGGTTGGCGAAGTCTCTTTGTTTCCTGGATATTACGAAACGAATCTTATAAGATGTTAAGAATTCCTAGAGCACGAATTTTTTTCTTCTTCATCTCTTAAACATTTAAATTCGTTCTGCATATCGTGAACTTCACAATGAAAAGAAGCAAAAAAAAAACTAATTGACTTGAAGTTGAAAGATCTTTGATTAAAATATTTTGATACAATTTAAATACGTTAAGTGGATTATGATGGTCTACTTTGTTTTAAATTAAATTATAGACTCAAAGAGTTCTGCTTCTTTTCAAGTAATGTTTTTTTCATGTCTCAAATGGCATTTCAGAATTCTTAGTTTATTATTACTTCTTTGGAAATATCTTAACAATGAAACGGAAGTTGACTTTTCCTTTTTTTGATTCATGAAAGATTTTTTTTCTTTCAATTTGTAACTTAAATGTCATATGCATCATTGTGTGTTCGCCAACTTGTGTTGCAAATTACTGTTTTGGTTTTGAATATATTAAAAAAATAATTGCCAGTTGTCTGTCATATTATAAATAATGTAATTTGTATTAAGGAGGAACCTTGTAAATAGTCTGATGCAGATATGATTTCTACAACGCCATCAAACAAAAGTTGAAAGAAATATGCAGAAGTTTGTTTTCTGGAAAATGTTTTAATATTTCATGATAGCCTCAGGAATCTATTTAAAAATTTATTGGTAATGTGGAATACTTGCATTTAAATATATCTAAGATTGCTCCAAAACGTTTTCATGATCATCGTTTTAACATCTCAAATGATGAAATCAAATATATTTAAATTTGTAACATTTGGACGTGATGACCTGTCATCAATTTACATTGTTTGGAAAATAATTTTTGATTTCTGTGAAACAATTTTGACTACAGCTTTTATATAATGCATTAGTTGCTGATGATGATATTTTCAATTTGAATTAAAATTGAGAAAGAATTTATAAGAACCTATTGGACTTTCATAGATAATTAAAAGTCGTAAATCAAATTCTCATAACTTTTATCAACATAAATTAGCATCAAAAGGCAGATAAAAAAATTAATGTTCAAAGGAATTTCTATTAATGTTAAAGACCTAATAAATAATTTTTTTAGAAAAATGTGCACTAACTTATGATTTGACGCTCCTTTAATTCAAATTTCAAATGAAATGCAAGAAATTCCGAGAAATTCAACTTACAAAAAAAACTTAAAATGTGATCTTTGTGCAAAGTTGAATGATTCAGAAGATTTTAATGACAATGAAAAATACAACTTGTAGGTCGTTAAAGGCTTGGGCTAGGAAAAGGTAAGAAAAATTACACAGAAGTTCATCCATAGAAACTTGACACACAACTTGGATTTATGAGTAAATTTTGTTCACGTTGAAACATGCGAGGATGCTTTCTTTGGATTTTCTTTATGAGTTTTAAAGAGTCTTCAGATGATGGTGGAGAAATATTTTAAATTGAAACATTAAAACATAAAGCCAGAGCTTTTTTAAGTTAATTTATTGACACCTTACAGCTTAACATCAGAAACATTTGAATTATAAGTACCAAATCGTTCAAGTCATAATAACTCAAACCAAGTTATTCAACTATTGACATAATATTAATGACTGTTATGATACATTTATTTATGTTGAAAGCGATCAGAATCAAAAGCTTTATACCGACCCGAAGCTGTTTATGATGTAGATTCGTTTTTTAAATAAATATTTAACAATTCACACTCCTAGAGTTAAACTACTTGACACATGTGATGGGTGGCAGATAAATGAAACAGATGATTGTTCACAAAGTAAATTGAACGGGAATCGATTTAACACCTAACTCATACGAACATCATAAAAAAGCAGATAACAAAACAAAAAAGTTTACCATTGTTGAAACAACTCGAAACTTCGTTTGTTATGATGATGATGAGTTTAACAATGATTTGGTGCTTACTGAAGTGCTTTTTTGGTAATCGAGGAATTACTTCCTTGCATTCCAAATGCTTCTTTTTTTCGATTATAACTTCTCCCAGGTTTACCTTCCTTTATTTTATCCAATTTTTAACAATGGTCAAACTTGGCATTTTGTTTCTTCAGATCATCATCAATCCTAATGGTTGAAAATGTGGGAAATTTCTAAACGAATAAATTTATTTATATAAGGCAATGACAGGTGAGTTTGAGGGAAGAATTCTGATGATCTTTGAAAGTTGCCTAGTAGAATTTAATTCAAAAAAGAAAATCATTTTAATAATTATAACACGTGTTATAATACATAAATAGAAAATAATTAACTAACATTTTAATTCAAAAGTCACGAAACAATTTATTTGAATCAAATTTTATTTAAGTTTTTTTTTATTACAAGATGAACTCAACGTCATCGAGAAGGCAGAAAATTGAAATTTATTTGCAAATATTGTGATTTGAACTGAATGTTTGATCACTCGCAGTGCCGCCAATCAAATCAAATGTTTTTCACTTGTTTTATACAAATTGCTTGATTTGATAATTAAAAGTATCTTCGATGGAAGACTGAACTGAAATGAGAATGTTTTGAAGCTTTTTTTTGCTTGCTTTACAATCCGATTCTCATGTAGGTTATTAGATGAAGGTTTAAAGATGATCGAACAGATTTTAAGGCGAGCATAAAAGCAGCAAAGATTGCAAGATACAAACTTAACAATAGCCCAACAGCGACGCATGTAAATTTTAATAAAATTAGAAAGAATATTGATCAAGATGATATTGTTTTCTGCTATATCTCAATTCACTATTGTACAAGTTTTTCATTGAAGATTTCAGTGTTATTTTCAATTTTGAATGAAATATGTTGTTTCTACAAATCACATTGCTTTCAAAGTTTTTAATCTTCAAGTATTTTGGTATAAATAAATCCATACGCTAAAAGTATTTCATTAGTTTCATCCAACTCTTCATTGATATAACAGTAGTTAAAAGTTTACTAATAGTCAAATTTCATCATGTTTTTGGTAAAGTCATAAATATTCGAGAAATAGAAAAAAGAACTTTATTTTTATTAATTACAGTTAATTGGAATTTCTGCATTGTTCTGTGCACAAGTGCACGTCGCTCTTGGCAGCCAAAGCAAGTAAGTGTGAGAAAATATTTCAATTAATAACAAGAATTTAAAATATTTCCATTAGCTACAACAACTTTAACAAGCAACAATATCAAAACATCCAATCTCAAGCTTTCGGCCATCAACCTCATCATCATCAACCTCAACAGCAACAGCATAACTACAATAAACCTCAAACTTCTTTCCAATCAAATAGAAACTTTATCCCAATAACTTCTTATAAGAATGAAGTTTCTCATGATGGAAGTTATCAATACAGCTACTCTACTGGTAATGGAATTCAGGCTGATGAAAGTGGATATTTAAAGAATCGTGGGAGTCAAAACCAAGCTCAAGTTGCACAAGGAAGTTATTCTTATACAGCGCCTAATGGACAACTTATTCAAGTTCGTTATATTGCTGATGAATTGGGATTCCGTGCTGAAGGTAAGAATGTGGAAAACGTTTAAAGTTTCATCACAAATTTCTAAACTTTTCATTTACTTTTTAATCAAAAAAAGGAAATCATCTTCCAACACCCCCACCTGTTCCCGAAGCTATTGCAAAATCACTTCAATTGATCGCAAGAACTCAACCAGCTCCAGCATCACACCACAGTCAACCATGGTCAAACCGTAATCAATATGATGGTCAACACTTTGGAAAATAAATTTTCTCATACGAAATATGGACAATTATGGGTATAAATATTTATTGATGCAACAATGTATAAAACAAATCTAATCTGGAAAATAAAATAAAATAAGTCAGCAAGTCTGGTTTTAAAACCAAAATTCAATGGCAATTATTTTCTTATTTCATTCATAAATTTCTTGGGATGTTCAGTTATCTCAAAGCTTTCGTCAGTTTCTATTTTCGATTTCGATTAAATATTTTAAGAGTGTCGCCTGCAACATATGCAACCAGTTGAACATTTTTATGTTTTCATTGATGTTCGAATACTCGTTTTCATTTGTACATATTAGAAAAATAATTTATTGGATGTGAACTGTTAAAGATAAAAACTCATTGATATGAATATTACTGCAATGAATATCTCACTTCGTTTTATTATTTATTGTGAAAAGAACAAGCAACATGAACACAAAGTGATATTCGCCAGGGAATTGAATTAAGCATAAATTTGTACACAAACATAAGATGCTCACATGTATACCTATGAATGATTCATAAATCAATAAAAACACCTTCATTAACATTAAATATGATGCTACCATTAAGATCTTCATGTAACGAATTTTCTACCTCAATCACTCGTAAAGTGCATTTTTATGATGAAATCTGATCATTTATTTCTCATCTTATGCACTAATAAAAATAATTAATGTTTGATTTTGCAATCTTTGTTTGATGCTTAAGTTCAAGTTGGCAAAAATATTGAGCTTGCTCTTATCAGCTTTCGAACTTCAATATAATTATAATTCAAATAATTCAAATAATTCAAATACGCTACAATGTTTACGAGAATGTTCATGTTCACGTTTACACTTGTCATTAAATAAAGTGTACTGCCGCCGTGTCGTGAACAAGCATGATTCCAAGACTATTGTTTTTCCTTCTTATTGCTTCGTTATGATTCTTCGGGCATTAAACATCGGCTGATTTGTTGCATTTTATGAGAAATTAAACATTCCTCATGAAATGAAGGGGAGCGAATCTGATTTTTTCTATTAAAGTCACAACAATTTTAAGGTATATAAACAATTTATTTGAACTAAGTAGCGTCATTTTATTGAGAGTGCTCCAACAGTTGAAAAGTTTGAATAGAAGATAGTTGCAAATATTTTATTAAAACTCAGTTGAATTTGGATTATATCTGAACGTGATTTCAAGTGATTTTGTTAGAATTTTTATAAAAGATAAAAAATTATAAAAATCAAAATGAAATTTGTAAGTTTTCGATGAAAATTCTTGATATCTAGAACTTGAAAAAAGGTGGAAAAATTAAAATTGTTAAAAGAAAATTTCTTAGCAGAAAAGTTTTGTGGCTTTGTTTTGTTATAAAGTTTATTCAAATGAAATATTCTGAAGCTTTATCTTGTGGATTGAGCTTTCGAAGCTTTCTTTATGGAAACGCAATATTCAAATCTTTGATTTGTCAAAACTTCGATCGTTCATTCTTTAGTCTGTAAAGCCTTGGAACAAATTTTCTTTTATAGTTTGATTGTTCATTAAATAAAGTGAAAGTTCATTCAAAACTTAGAATATCGAAAGTTATAATCAGAAATTTATGTTTCTACACTTTTATTCGATTAACTTTGTTCATTACAAAGTTAAAATGAATTGCAGCAAATAAGTTCGTTACATTTTCTTACTTTATTGCCAACCACTCCCTTTTTAACTATTAAACTTATCCATTGAGAATCTTCAGAATTTCATAACGCTTCGTGACTTGATTCATTTTCACCAAAGACATTTTGTAACTGTTCAAATAAATATAACTAACCAAAGGTCAAAATATTGATATTCGATTGGAATTATTAATGAAATATTACGAGACGATTTTGATTGAATACATTTTTGAAAGAATGAAAAACTGTTGAGAATTGTTGCTTTAAAATTCAGGTCACATTTTAAGTAGCTTCATATTTGAAAATCAAATCAAACTAACGACTCGTCACTGTTCTAAAGAGCATAATATCTTTAAAAGGGAAATATCATTGAAAAAGTTCAATTAAATTCGCATCGTAATGAGAAGAAAAAAAGTTGAATGTCATTTGATGCTTTTCAAAAACTTTGTCGCTAACATCACTGAACAATTTTATCTTTTCAGATTTTTCTTTTTATGTTAAGTTCCGTTCATTGTGCTCAACTTAATAACAGTTATTTGCCACCTGCTAATGCAGCAAGTGCTGGAGGATCTGGAAGATCCGGACTTAAAGCGCCCAGTGCTCCAGGTCAAGGTGGTTATGCTGGAGCTAATGCACCTTTCACTCCATCAAGACCTGGAAGTTATTCAGGTGGTGGCAGCCCTTCAAGACCATCACCAGGTGGCAGTTACTCAGGTGCTGGCAGCCCTTCAAGACCATCACCAGGTGGCAGTTACTCAGGTGCTGGTAGCCCTTCAAGACCATCACCAGGTGGCAGTTACTCAGGTGCTGGCAGCTCTTCAAGACCATCACCAGGTGCTCCTTCAAGACCCGCAGCTCCATCTCAACCCAGTGGACCACCAATTGAAATCGTTTCATATGAAAATGAAAACAATGGCGACGGTAGCTACAAATGGAGGTGAAATTAAAATTAAAATTTCATTTTCAATAATTAATTAAAATAATATTTAGCTATGAATCTGCTAATGGCATCAAGGCAGAAGAAGTAGGAGATGTGAAGAACAAAGGATCAAAAGATCCAATTCAAGCAGTTCAAGGAAAGTTTTCTTACACTTCACCTGAAGGAAATTTCATTGAAATTTCATACACAGCTGATGAAAATGGCGCAGTTTTTGCTGGTAACATTTCACATTAAATGTCTTTCATCTTATCTTTGAAATCATTTTTTATGTCAGGTGATGCCATTCCAACTCCAGTACCATTGCCAATTGAAAATATAAAAGCTTTAGCTGAGTTTGAAGCAGCTTACGCCACAGGTCAGCAGCCTTTCTTGAAATATTTTGTAATTCTATTATTTTGTTGTTACTTTGTAGCCGTTCCTGAAACTGCTAGTGCAGGTCAAGGACATGGTTCACCGTCAAGACCTAATGTTCCAAATGCAAGACCTGGTTCATCGGGTGGATCACCTCGACCTCAACCTTCTGCTGGCGGTGGTGGTTTCTCAGCTCACAGGTAAACAATCTCTTTCAATTAAAAATTTTTAATTAAATCTCTAAGCTGAACATTCGAATTAATTAACAGACCTGGAGGAAGTGGTAATGGAAATTACAATTCTCAATCAGGATACAGTTATTAGCCAAACCATCTCTGAATGTGATGAAGACTCATTAAGTGTTGAAGATGTGCTTGATGCTTCACTGAAAAATAAAAACAAGGAATTTCTTCAATACATTTATCTACTTATTTATTTTCAGTCGTTCTACGAAATTAATAAAGCTTGTAATAAAAAAGAGTATTTTATTATTGAATTGACAAACAGACAATTATAGTTTCTTTCTTTGGAATTTAATTTAATACTTATTCGTCATACCTTACATCACATGACGAGTTAAAACTTCAGTTGCCAAAATGCCACAATAATGGAAACTCGCGTTGTTGACTCAAATTAAGAATCCAATGACATTGATTTTTTTTATTTAGTTTTTATAGTTCGATATATTTTATTATGACGCTTAACCCATCTTCTGACCTATCTCTTCACTTAAACAAGTAAACTTTAACTTACCATATTCATAATAGGTAATCAGAGAATATTTTTAAGTGCTTGGTCATAAAATTGTTTTAAAGTTAGTCTTTTACTGCTTGTATTTATCAATTCTCCATGAATTGATTTTAACTTTAATTTAAAATTTACTGCTTACGTGTTAAAAGCATCGCTTGTGGAACTTTGACAAGTTCAACGCGCATCCGACGCAATGGGGAAGTTTAATCATCATCGTTAATTCCTTTTATGTCCATTCACGCATGTCTTTATTGTAACTTTATATCGAACTCATAGATAATGAAAATTAGTTGCACATTTTATTCTGATAATTTTATTTCAATTTTAAACTTGGGATTATCTTCTGTAAAATTTGCATATCAATTTGATTTCTATGAAAATTTATTTTATTTGTTTTTCATTTTACATCTCTTGAATGCGTTTCTACATCGATAACTTCAGAGAATGAATATTAAAAAAGAAACATTACGAAATTTAGCAAAAGTTATTGTATTTTGACGAGCGATCAACGAAATCACGACAAGCCCACGGGTTAAATTGCGTTCATATTATATTCGCTTTTAGGTCTTTCACGATAGTTGTAACAGATCATATCTGAGTTGAATCACACTGAATAAGTTAATAATTAGTATATCTGTCAACTTCACACATTGAGCACATTGGTAAGACTGCTCAATGATTTCACTCGCTGTTTGATTAATTTGGTTATGAGTGTCGTGAAATCTGAATTCATATTGCACACAAATAAATCTGTGAAAACTTGAACGTTACACATAAATATAAAAACATTCAAAAGCTTCAGATTTTCATTGATTTATGTACATACTTTGGCTGGCACTTATGAAATATTTGCAAAAAAAATAAATATTTTCCAAGAGTTCAAAATATCATCGCAGTTCAACATTTACCACAAGCTTATGGCAAACTACTAACTTATGTCAAATCTCATTTAAAACTACATTGTCATGAATTTTATATTTATGATGCGTACATTCAACATATCTTAATCATCGTCTCGGCCTACCCATTCCCGATTGTTGCTATTGAAATCATTACTTAAATTAAATCATTTTCATGACGCGAAACGACCTTTATGACGTGTTCGTAATAAATTCAATGTACATCAACCTTATTTACGATCACATTTCTTATGAAATAAAGATAATACATCTCGAAGTTGATAGCAGCACTTACATGTACTTTGTTGAGAAGGGAGAAAATCTCATCAAGTTCCATTATTTACTGAATATCATTTCATATTAAGGGATCAAGTAACCATTCTGACTGGAATTTTTATTGTCTTTAAAGACTCTTTTAAAATCTGTGACTTTATTATAATTTAAAATAAACTTTTTAACCTTCCATGTGTTCAGAAATGACTATGATGTGTTATAATTAATTTCTTTAAGACATTTTATCAACAACTACTATAGTTACTTCTTCCTAGTAAGGTCATAAAGTAAGTGCAGATGGACATAATTGCAACTTTCAAGATGGGAACAACATAAATTTTGCATACAGACTGACTGAAATGGAAGTCAAGAAGTGAAGACAATAAATATGAATCTTCTTCGCTACTTTTGGGTTACTTTTAAGGTTTCAATTACGTAACTTATTATTTATTATTGAAACTTGTCAGCCATATGAGAAAAGTCTCGTTTTTGTCTTTAAAGTAGATAGCGAAGCTTAACTTTTCTTATTCATCATATTTTCGAAATGGAAGCATAATTCTGTAAATTAATGCTTAAATTATAATTAAGTTTTAAGTTAAACGATTTATGCTTCATCTGCTTAAGAGATAAATGTTATATATTAATGAAGATTTCAAGCATAAAGAAGTTTTCAAGGCAAGTAAAATTATTAAGTTTTTAAATCGCTGCTGCTTACACTGTTTCATTATAATTTCTTCGAAATTCTTCTTGAGGTCAACTTTTTAATATTTCGAAGGATTTGCACTAAAATTTATTTTAACATTAATCTCTGGATGTTAATCACAGCGTAGGGTCTCCATTTTTTCACATTTATTTTTTACCAAATTGAAGGTGAAAATAAACCGCAAGTAAATTTGGAATTTCGAATGAAATTTAGATGTCAGTATTACAATAGCCATAAGCGAAAAATGTTTAATGATTCTTATGCGATAATGTATTAAAGATGTCTTCTCACTTTCCATAAAAATCAATCACATCCTCCCCTCAAGCGCTAAAGAATGTCACATATGGAGTTCGCCGACTATGTAATTTTAAGATGGTTAACCCATCATGGGTCTACTGCAAAATATCTCACACTTTATGACTCTTGTAATATTACTTCTACTGTAATTGTTGACTTCTTTCACACTGATCTCTGTGCATGTAAGTGACTGCAATGTCTGAAGTGAGGGAGATAAAAAGAGAGAAAAATATTATTATGTATCGTACATGTATCGGCATCTATGAAGACGGTTGAATCCTTCTACTCAAAGATGGGAAAATAATATAAATAAGGAGTGAAGTTTTAGTGAAGAGTACAGTATTTTTCATACAGTTGTCCAACGTGTTACTTCAAACAATTCCAGGAAAATTATCAATATGAAATATCTTGTAAGTTTTCCATTATCATTGTGAAAAGAAAAGTGAAATGAAAACAAAAAAAAAATATGAAAAAGAGAAAATCAAAAAAGTGAAATCAAATCTGATGAAAAGTGCAACTAAATTAACGAAATGGATATTCTAGATTAATTTTAATCTTTCATTTAGATCGTGATTCTCGTTTTGTACGTCAGCTTCACATGGGCTGCACCACAAGCTAGCGACGCAACAACGCCAATTCCAATCATTAGGTAAATTTCAGTTCTGTGATTTTTGGGAGTTTTTCGAAAGAAAATCTTAGTTAATTTTCATTCCTAATTAACATTCCAAAGATATTCATAAATAAACTGCTAACATTATAATCATAGACGAAACTTCGACCAATAACTGGTTAGAGAATTCTATCATCAACAAATAGCGTCGTAGATTAAATTCCCAACTATTATTGAAATAATCAAATAACAAGAGTTATTAACATCTTCAATCAAAGAGACTTTTTTTCATCTTCTTTGTCTACTTAAAATTTAATTATTCAACATAAAATTAGAATCTCATAGAAGATAATTTTAAAAACATAAATCGATAAAAGATGAATGTTCCATTTGAACTTTAACATAAGCTTTTATTTATTAATCGAAAATGATTAATTAATTATGAATTCGATACATAGAGTTGAAAATAACAAACTAATAAAAATACAAATCAAATAAAGTATTAAAGTGATTAGCACAGTATAAGCTTCAAAATATTATGCAAAAATTTTTCATAATCACAAATAATGAGTGGAAATATTTTCAGCTGATACATTGACATAAATGTTGATGTTTACTTATATTAAGCTTTAAAAATTGATGATACGGAACATCAAAATATTCCCACACACAATATAAAGCTTAAACAAAAAGCTTAACTGACAAATAAATTTTTAACCGGTTTTATTGACTTGAATGTTTTAAGGCAAGAGCAAGAGCAGAATGTAGATGGCTCCTACAAATACGCATATGAAACCGGAAATGGAATAATTGCAGAAGAAGAAGGTTATTTGAAGAATGCTGGCACTGAAGACGAAGCGCAAGTGAGTTGACATTTACTTACAATCCATAATAATTTTATCCTCATAAAGAAATAATAAATCATGACACATTCACAAACATTTGGACGCGTGACTATGTCATGAATGCCACATAATGAATATTGTGATCAAAGACGTCATATTGTCGTTTAATGAAGTATTTATTTATCTACTTGGCAAAGTAATTTCTCATGAAGCACTTTATGCCATACATGTTTATTTCTTTCCATTGATTGAATATGAATTGAATGATGGTTAAGAGGAGCGTGTGTCAAGATTCGGCATTTTAACACATTTTTTCTCACGTCTTTGTGTGTGATGAAAAACCAGTTTGGAGATTCAATCGAAAGTAAAAGCGCTTTTATGTGTTAAACATGATCTTTATGATAATTCGAAAATCAATGTCAAATAGTTTACCATTGGTCAATATTGCATAACAACAAATGAGTATTTACCACGCTTGTCATATTACTTAGCATTGAACTCTTTCAAAGGATGATGCATTTGACAAGCGCTGCATGTTGATATCTTATTTTACTTCCATCAACTAAATATTTAACTTAACAGACTATAAATAATAAGTAAATTTATTTAATGCGCTTAATTGAAGTCATGAAAATTTATTGAACATTTCTCTCCTAATTTATTCATCGATGTTGAAATTTTTGGTATTTAAGAATTGACTCATTCTACGTGACCCCATTTATTACGACACAAAAATGACAATCTTGATGCTTTTTAATATTGCAAATTAATGGAAGATGAACAAAAAGAGATACTTTGTTTGAGATTTAAATTAAAATTTAAAAAAAAAAAAAAGTTACCTAAATTCTCTTGTAAATTAATGAATTTATCATGAACAGGTCAAACAAGGAAAATATTCGTATACATCACCTGAAGGACAGCTGATCGAAATCACCTACATCGCTGATGAAAATGGATTCCGTGCGGAAGGTTCGATTTAATTTTAATAAATTACTTTACATTAACAATACGAATGATGTGACATAAATCATAAAATATTTTCTTCTTCTCTTTCTTCAAGGCGATTCTATTCCAACTCCACCACCAATTCCAGGTAAGGGTGACGTTTGAAAATATTTTTATTGAAAGCATGATAATGAATATCTCAGGCTTGCAATCTTTGATGATAATAACGAAATATCAAACGAGGCTTCGGTCTAGTTAAAAAATTAATTCGGCAGACACACATTTGCGTCTGCTTTTTTATGTTTTTGGTCCCACTCCAAAATATTCGTTTATTATCTGATCTGATTTTCTTCTTCTATTCTCTTTAGTAAATATGTTTATCTTTCTTTTTCTTCCAGTTGAAATTCAAAGAGCTTTAGAGTATTTGGCTACTTTGCCTCAAACAACTCCAAATCCAGAAAGAAGATTTTAGACTGTATCTAACTCCACCTTATGTAAATTTATTATTTTTTTTAAATTTTCCACTGCTATGAAATGTCAAAGAACAAGGAAACTTGTTTGGTCATTAAATATTTAATTTTTCGATCGTAAATGAACTTTTGAATCATTGAATATTTTTTATGTTTAAAATCAATAAAATTTTATGAATGATAAAAGAAGAAAACATTTTTTTTTAAATCATTGAATGTTGCTATTCTTTTTCAGTTTTTATCACTCAAATTAACGATGTTCATAGCCATGTCCATTAATTTGACACTTTTGCATAAATAAAACTCCTACGCATTATCTATTTGTCGAAATATCAAACGAGCTTGAGATATTATCAACCGTCGATATTTTTGGCCAAATGACGCGATACACAAGTTTATCAGAGGATGAATGCTATAATATCAAGGTAAGTCATCCAAGTCAAGAAGATTAAACGTTGAACATGCCAATGCAATGCATTGATTGTTTTCACAATAAATCTTTAAACTTATTGCTTGTATTTACAAAGTAAAGGATAACTACACACATAAAAGTAAATGTCTGTCTTAAACTTCTCTTTTTTACATTATTTAATTACGATAATGATGACGATTTAACGACAATGACTTTAATCTAGAAGAATCTTAAGAGTAAACAAAGAAAATCAATAATTTTAAGATATCTCAAAGCTCCACTTAAGTCTAAGCACAAAAAAAAAATCATTTTCAATTCATTTCTGGTTTCAACGTCGCGGCATAATTAAAACCAATTTTGTTCGACTCGTTTCTGAAGATGACTTCGATATGATCAAATCATCAAACATACAAGAGTTGTTGTTGCTTGATTTATACTTTGTAAGTATATCTAATTTAATTAATGGACTCGGAGGGGTTGTAGAAGATCATTAACAAGGGGGAGAAATCTGGTCAACATTAAAAAGTTGAGAACGACTTATGTATTTAGGAACGTGTTCATCTTGTAGAGATGAAACTAACTCGGGTAAACGTTAAGACCTCGGTTCGACTAAACTAATGTTCAAACTTAGTTAGTATTAGTCGTAGTTTTTGCATTGTGAGCAAGTTTTTATACATGACATCTTCCAATATCGTGGTATCGTCCGTTGTTGTTGCTCGATTACCATAAATTTGGGTACAGTATAAATATCTGTTGTGTCGAAAAAAATTCATCAGATTACCGTCCGTGGTCAGTGATAATATAACTAGACAAACAAAATGAAATTCGCTGTGAGTAAAAGAAGAAAAATGAAAAGAAGAAGAATTTTTTTGGAACGATATTTGTGATGATTAAAAACAGATTGATTATTACACAAGTGCGATGAAAAGTGGATTTAAATTATCATAAAAACATTTTTTTATATATTTAAAGTGAGCTCTCAAAGCTCGCAAAATTCATTAAAATTAAAAATATTGATAAATGTAAAATTAAACACATTGTGCAATATGGCAAAACAAAAAGAAGTTTTATGAGCTCTTAAATTTCACTTTCAAAAACGGAAAATAAATTGAGTAAATTAAGTAAAAAAGAAATGAAAGTGTTCGTTCACTGGTTAATTGCACTTGTTGTGATCATCGAAAGTCATCTTAATATTCAAATTTTAAATTTAAATAACTAAACATTATGAATAATGTGTTGTGATGTTTTACACAGATTGTTCTTCTTGCTTGCGTCGCTCTTGCCGTCGCTGATGTTAGCCACTTAGACGACACAGTTGTCCGTTTCGACTCAGTCGTTAACCCAGATTCATACCAATATGCTTATGAAACATCAAAGGGAATCAAAGCTGAAGAATCCGGACAGTTGAAAAACGCTGGATCAGAACAAGAAGCCATCGTAAGTTTATAATTTAATTAAATTTCCTTCAGTTACTGAATATTTTTTTATTCCCCAATAATAGGAAGCTAAGGGAGCTTTCTCATACCAATCACCAGAAGGCGAGAACATTGCTCTTTCATACGTTGCTGATGAAAATGGCTTCCAACCTACCGGAGGTAAATTTCTACAAAAACTTTCATAATTAACATCAATTTAACTAATTGTTTTATTTTTTTCACAGATCACCTTCCTCAACCACCACCAATCCCAGAACTTATCGAAAAAGCCCTTAAATACTTGGCTGAAAACCCACCAGCAAGAAAGTAAATGCAACAACACAACTTTCCAAATTATTTCCTTAGATAAGCAGTTCAGATCAAAAACAACATCACTGAACATTATTTGATATTGTTAAGGAACTTAAAGTTTCAACACTGCCACCTTTCTAAACGTTATTGCTTCGATCTTGAATAACGAATTTTATAAATTCGATCTTTTGCAAATAAAATACAAACAAAAAAACCAAAACAAAATTGAGTTCATTTTAATTAGACATTCATCAGAAAATGAGATTGAAATTTGTTTTTAAGTTCATCATGTCAGAGATTTGAATGTGAATGTCATTAAATATCGATTAATGGATGTTTAGGAGACGTCTAGGGTCTAGCTGGCATAGCTTGCAAATATGTTTAAGTTCATTTACCCATGAACGAGAGAGATGAATAAAAAGAAATGGAAAGAAGGCATTCAAATTGAGATTACTGAATGACCTACATAGGTAATGAAGATTGACCGTGAAATGAAAGCGAAAGAAGAAACAGACAAAGTCGCTGTCTCTATGAAATGAAAGTAAATGGAAATGCTACAAGTTACACAATTCATTGTGATGATGAAAACTGATGATAATCCATTGATACATATTTATGTGGACACAATCATGACATAGAGAACTAAATAAATGTAAATTAAATCGATACATAAATATGAAGTAGATCAATGACTCTTCTCACCTCGAATGTAATTCAAATTCTTGAAGACATAAAAATAAATTGCGAAGCGCACGCCTTAATTGTGCAATTTGCTTTTTTGAGAAAAAGAATGTGAAAAATATTGAAATTGGATTTAAAACATTATTTGGAATTTAAAGAAACAGAAAAATGTTTATTTAATAATATTATTGACACTCTTAGGTCATAATAATGTTTAAAACATTTTAAAAGTTGTACACCTTCTTTTATTCATTTAATTTGTTGCTTATGTACACAAATCTTCAACTGAAAATCTTCATAAAATTTTATGACTTTCTATGTATAATTCAATTTAAAACGTGTTAATATCTCTTAATTTGTTATTTGCATTCAAACTTAAATATCAAAAATCTACAAATAACACTTTTCAGTATAAAAAGATTTATTTTATTGCTCTTCTTTAATCTGATTTATAAAATAAGGCCTGCTGCAAAGTTAATAAATATTAATTCATTTATTATTATTGGAACCAAATGAAGCAAATCATTTTATCGATTTAATTAAAAAAAATGTGTTTTACAGGAATAAAATTGTAGAAGTTTTCTCGAGATGCGTCTTGGCCTTTGGATTTAATTTATGTCACTTGTAAATATCTAATTAAAACTTACATGATTAAGTTGTTAAAAGTTTAATGAGGCTTTGACGATTAATAGAGACTGCTCTCAATGAGAAAACTTTTAATTATCTACACGAGATCAATTTGTTGCGTTAATAAAATAAATAAAGTTTTTGGATATACGAGAATGGAAATATGTTTGATTATTGCAATTAAATGAACAGAGAATTGATAGTTAACAAGCCTATTATAGATACTTGTAATAAAGAAGAAGGAATTGTCGTTAACAACTTCATTTGAGTGCGGAGAATTAAAGAAAAAAAGAAAAAATTGCGCCTGCAACTTATACACAAACATTTCCTTTTTCAGAAAATTTCAATGAAACTTGTCAAAGCTTTTACGAACAAGCTTACACAGGAATGTAATCTTCGTAGGAAGACTTGTAAAGTTTGTATTTTATTTGATGAACTTGAGACGACACGTCACTTTTCATGAAATCATTCGGATGTATATGAGACATCATCATTTAAAAAGAAAAATGCTTGGAATTCTCAGCTGCACTACGACGAGGTTATTGAAATTGACGAGTAAAAATTTTACTTACATAAATACAAAACAAACTTCTCCTTCTGTCAAATGTATTGGAAATTTCCTTAAGAGGAATGACGATTTTGAGAAGACGTTAAGCTGTATTATCCACGCGATTGACCGATCGATTGGTTGTTGGTAGAATCCACAAAGCCATACATAATAATTTAATCCATGTAACAATGAAGCAGCAGCCTTTGCACGAAGCAATAGGGATAAAGATTACAGTTATAATTCAGATTTTCCTTCTGAAGCATTCCGGGGTGTTGCAATAAAATTTGTGAGAGATTTTTATCTTTAAATACAACTTCGTTGATGACGCATTTGAAGAATGCAGTTCGTAGACATGTAAAAGTGTCAGGATCAATTAATCATAATAAAATGTAAGCTTTTATTTTTTTCCCCGTTTTTTCGTTTAATAATCGTTAAACGTAACAAATCTTGAAGTATCATGTGAGGTTCTCGTAATGGAATCGATAAATTTTATAGCTCTTCTTCTTCCTACAAGAAGAGGATGAATGTTCTATCTTTGTGACTGCACATATGCGCAAATCTTGTCTATATAAAGCTGATGGGAGATGAGTGCATTCTTTGCAGTTCAGTTTCACTCTTTAGAGAATCTTGTTGGAATAAAATAAAAAAATAAGAAATCTTGATAAATTCAGTTAAAATGTATCGAGTTCAATTATGGATTGTTGTGAGTTCTAACATTGTGTTTAAAAAAAATATAAAAAGGACATTAAAAAAACAATAAAAAATAAATTGAAAATTTTAGGTTTTTCTTGTGATACAAATCATGGTGAAAAATTCGGATGGTGCAACGACAGTGATTCAAAAGAAACAAAAAGGATCTGGTAATGAAGGTAAAGTTAGAGATAATTCATTCGCATCAAAAGCAGATCGTTTGTCTAATCTTTTACCATCTGAAACTGTGACCGAAGGGAAATATGTGCACGATGTAAATCGTTGGGCTTACAAACCTGATAATAGTGGAAAATATGTTCACAAACCGGAATGGAACGAGTACAATGGTATTTTCCATCCATCAAATGATTACCCCATTCAACAAATTAATCATTACGAGTTTTTAATTCAACTTAGGTGGTTATGGACCATTTAGAAATCCTTACGAGCACGATGGGATACCATATGAGCACGATGGGAGACCTTACGAGCACGATGAAAGGCAAATCATTAAAATAAAAAAAGTTATAAATCATTGGATGTTAAATATTAAATTGTATTATAGGATAATCGTTGATGACCCTTTCCGAGTGAACTGTTTCCAAGACAAACGACCGTCGATTTATCGAGAGTACGGAGCGCCACTTTTTAATTCCGTTTAAGTGTAAAGATGACTCATAATTTTATCTGTGATGTAAATAATAATTAATCGTGAGACTTGAATAAAGAATCTAAAAGCTCTTCAAGTTAACAAAACAAAAGAAGAAACTTTTTTCATTTCTTGTTATAAATTATAAGTAATCGATACGATTTACATATGAAGGGTAGAGATCAATGGATGAGTTTGACAAATATTTAGGACGTATTGTCATACGTTTCAATTTCAACCCACATCTCATGATGTGAACTCCACTGAACTCCATATTAAGTTTATTTATCTTCCCTCTCTATCTCTCTTTGTCTTTTCTTTTTCATTCATCAAATTTAAATTCAATGAGATCACATTATCAATTTACTGAGCGATATGGTATTGAAGTGAAATGTCAAATTGGAATAATAAATGTTGCTCATTTACTTATTTTTATTCTCCGACATTCACCTTTATTTTTCATACATAAAGTAGGTAGGCTTCTACATATATGTTAATAAATAATTAACACAAAATTGAAATTGGGCCAGAAATAAAGATTTCAAAATGTTTTTAATTGTATAATTTTATATCTCGTATGCTAACTTCACATGGAACTTCAATTAAACTTTTTCTCTTTCTTTCTTAATGTTACATGACTGACTGATGGTCGCATTCATTTGATCGAATAGATTGAATGTAAGAAAAAAATGGTCAAAAGTTGAAGAACTATTAAAGTTGTGTTGTAGTTGCCTCTTGTTACAAAATAATGCTCTCCTCAAAATGCTATTGAGATTGATGCTTGGGGACTAAAGTTAAGTAAAGTTAAGAGTGGGGTGCCGCCATGGATCGTGAATTAAAAGAAACAAGAAAAAAAAAGAAAACTAAGAAGACATTAAAATTATTGCAATTTTTACTTATTCTAATATTTCAAGCCAATATTAAGCTCTATAAATAAAGCGCAGACGAAACTCGTTAGTTGCAGTTGGTTTTGAAGTTCACATAGGCTGTGTCAGTGTGTCCCAATTATTTTCACAACAGCAACTCTTTAAAAGTTGAAAACGATTTAAAAGAAAGAAAACTTGAAATGAAGTCTTTGATTTTATTGATAAATACTTTTGTCGCTGTGACATTAACTTTTGCTCAGAAGCAAACTATTGATGACAACAAATATAGAAATATTCCAATCATTGCTTTAGAAAATAAAATCGAGCATGATGGATCTTTCAGATATTCATTTGAAAATGGCGATGGAACCAGAGCTGAACAGAATGGCGAATTAAAATATGTTGATAATGAAAATGCCGGTGAAGCTGTTCAAGGTGGATATTCTTATCAGGTTTGTAACATATTAAATAAAGTTATTAAAAAAGTGAAGGTAGATTTGAGTCGAGATGTAATAATTATCACAATTTTATTTTTTGTTTTAAAGGGTGATGATGGCAAAGTGTATTCACTAACTTACACAGCTGATGAGAATGGATACAGACCTGTGGGAGATTTCTTACCCACCCCACCTCCAAGTAAGTTAAAACTCGTTCAATTACTTCATCTTTCCTTGCTGTTAATAAAATTTATCTCTTATTTTTTACAAAGTACCTCCTGCAATTGCTAGAGCCGTTGAATACTTGAAAAGCTTGCCGCCACCAAAACAGTAAAGCAGCAGTAAAGTCATTGAAGATTTTGTAAAGTTCGAGAAAAATGTTGCTAGAAAGAGTTGTAAGCTGATCATTTTAAATGTGAATAAACTTCTCAGATGAAACAGAAAACTTAATTCGATTTCTCGCTTAACCTTTCCATTCACAATCGACATTGAAAATTGCAGCATACAATTATTGTCATGAAACGCTTGTTCATCGAATTGGTCTGAACTCGTGCGATGTCCGCATATGATGATGAAATTGGATTCACCGCAAGCGAGTCATTAAAAAGAAGCAAAAAAAAGAGTAAAATTAATATTTTGACATCGTTTCAAGTTGCTGTGGGATAATTCATGATTCAAGTGGTTTTGAGTAGTAACCCAATAGAGTGTGGGCAAACTTAACAGGCAATATCAGTTTCATGTGCCTATCTTTCACTTTCTTGCTGATTTTTTAAAAGCCTATCACTCATACTCAAAATTAGTGCACAGAATCAAGCGAATACTTATTGTAATAAACCCGCACATTTAGAAAAGTGAACGTCAATGGTAAATTTAACGAATATGTGTGAATGCTCCCGTATGAGCTTTTTAAAATCTGATCTATTGTGTTAACTCACTCCATGCCATGCTTTCAATAGGTCGTCGTTGTTTCTCTTATTATAAAATCAGAAAACAATTGAAAGAACTGTGGAGAAAATATTACCAAACAAGCCAAAGGTCAACATTTAAATGATAAATGGGTGGTTGAAATCGTTAATGCTGCATCGCAAAATTTCCTCCAAAAAAATGAATGATTGTCATTACAAAGTTGATGTTCGGATAAACCTCGAGCTTGCTGCGAAAATAAAAAGATCGCAACGCGTTTCAGATGAAAACATTTTAAAATTATATAAGATTGGTTACGTTTTGTGTCATCATCACTAAGTATATGGATTTTAGATGAAGAGAAAAATGATTTTTGAATTTTGATGCATTCGATAGTAATGGGACGGGATAGATGCCTAAAGCGAGACTTAAGCAACAGCTTCAAACATTATGATTAGGAGTGGCGCATGTCTGATCATACAAAATCGATCATATTAATAATTCACGAAAAGATTTATTAATTTTTAACAATAAACATATCAAATCAAATGCTTTTGCTCCACTCTTATTAGTTACATAAAATTTTAAAAAATAATGAAAAAGAGTCAATGAACTTGACTTTACAGCTTCCCATCTTCTTCTTCGCATCATCATCATGTTAAACATTATGTGCCATTATAGCTACTTATTTGAATTTTTCACATTATCTGTCATTTCTCTTTCGGAAGCTCTTCATAAGGTCACCGGTGCAGTTTCGATGTAACTTATATGGATTTTCTAGAAACGTCTTCTGGATTGAACTTTGTCCCATGTCCATTTCTGTTTAAATAAATTATGTAATAATTATTATTATTATTATAATGTAGAGCTGATTTGCATCTTTTTATGTTAATCTATTTACGATCATTCGTTTTAAGTGATGCTTTGTGTTAAAACATCAACGTTCGAATGTTTCTTATGCAATAAATGTTTCTTCTTGAACTACAATGGTTATTTATCCATTTCAAAATGTTTGGTGTACATAAAATAATGTTCAACATTGACAAATATTTTAAGGTGTGCAAGTTCACGTTATTTTCAGTTCCTTTTTTTATTATAATATTATTCTGAGTTAAACTAAAATTTTGAAAGTAATTAAACGAAAATATTTTACAGCTTACATGGGGTGACATTTAAATAAATCTTTAATATGCGACATAAAAATTGCAGCATAATATTAGTAAATAAATTAATTATTCATTGTTATTCAACATTTTGCGGGGTTGATTGAATTCGAAGACATCTAATTTGACTGTCAGCGTGAAAATTTTGTGTGCATATCGCTACGACACTTTTTTGTCGCTGTTATTTACACAAAACGCGTAAAGTAGATAGAGATGAACGAAATCTTATATAAAGACTTCATCATTTTAGTTTTTCTGCAGTCGAAATCGGTACTTCTTCGGAGACGTTTCTTTCTTACAATCGTAGTAGTTTCATACTAAGTTTCAACTAAAATGAAAGTTATAGTAAGTGAAGGATGTATTTAATTATCCTACAATCTTAAATAGCCAACATCTATTTATAAAAGATGTGAAAAAGATCAAAGTTTAAATGTGAAGATATCTAAGAAGAAAACAAAAATTAAATTATGAAATGTGATTTTAGATTTTTATGCTCGCACTTGTGCTGGCTGTAAGTGCTAGGCCACAAGAGTATGAAGATTATGAACAACAAACAGCACGGCCTGCTGCAAGGAACCTACCACATCAAGGATATCACCAACAACAAAAATCGGGAGATCGTGAAACGTCAACATGGATTCCAATTATTCAATATGACAAACAACAAGGAACTGATGGAAGTTATCAGACACAGTAAGACATGAAGAAAATTATTTTGAAAAGAGATGTCAATAATATTTTATATTTCAGTTACGAAACTGGAAACAATATCTTAGCAGAGGAAAGTGGATACCTTAAAGACATCAATGAAGATAATCCTGCCGGAACTCTTGTACAGAAGGGATCGTACAGTTATGAAACTCCTGAAGGACAGGTAAAAATGAATAAATTTACTGATCTCAAAAAACAAACTTTAAAGATTTCATTTACAGATCATCAACGTTGAATATCAAGCTGATGAAAAGGGTTTCCGTGTTCATGGAGGTAAAATAAAAACTGCAAATAAGAAAATGATAAAGTAATTTCTTAATCATTCCTAAATTTTGCAGATCATCTCCCCACACCACCACCAGTCAGTCCAGAAATTCAAAAGGGACTTGATTTGATCTATGAAGGTATTAAACTTCAAGAAGAACGTCGCAGAAACAATCCAAACTATGCTGCTGACAAAGCTGAACGTGATCGTTTGAACTACTTGGGACTCTATGTTGGAAATTAAAAATATTTTAAATCAATGAACTTTTTTTGATTTTTGTTTATATTTTCTTCTTAAAAATTAAGACTGTGATTTATTTCTTTCTACATTCATCTTTTTCAAAGAAATAAAAATATTTTTCAAAGTTTAAAAAATAACGTTCGAAATAAATTTGAAAAATGTAAAATATTTGCTTCTTACCTTTCAGTAATTGCTCTAGATGGGTACGCAACTTTTTGTTTTGACGTACAAAAATTATTATTTTTGAATATTTCTTCTTATATAATTATGGTACATAGCTCAGTGCGCGGATTGAAAGTTGATTGGAGATGATAAACTCGTTCAGATATTTACGATGCATACCAAATATTCGTTCTTCATTCTATCTTTCTTTCAATCAAAGCAAAAATTTTGCAACGGAACACCAAGGTTTGTCAATTTCCTGTTTTTTATTCAGATTTGAAATTAATTAGAATATAATTTCTTACTAAAAAGATGGGCCTTTAAAAGTTTTGAAGAAAAAAATAGCCAACAATGAACTGATGCCAGATGAACATCAAATGAAAGTGGTTGAAGACTTGCAATATCTCTACGAGGAAACGAAAGATTATGAACCTTTAAGTTCCGGAATCGTAAGTTGGTTTGCCTTGAACAAGAAGAATATAACATCAGATATTAAAGGATTATACATCTACGGATCGGTTGGTGGTGGAAAAACAATGTTAATGGACATGTTTTTCGATTGTTGCAAGGTGTGTTGTGCAGTGATCTTGAAACTATTTTTAGTTTTACTCAGTTCTACGACTCTTTCTATTTATAGATCGAAAAGAAAAAGCGCGTACACTTTAACTCATTCATGACTGATGTTCATAAAGAAATTCATAAAATAAAACAGCTTCAAGTGCGCGATACTACATCGACAAAACCTCAGCCATTTGATCCAATAGAGCCAGTTGCTGAATTAATTAAAGAAGACGCTTATTTGATTTGTTTTGATGAATTTCAAGTGACTGATATTGCAGATGCTATGATTCTAAAGAGACTTTTCACCAGTCTTTTCGACAAAGGCGTGATTGTAGTTGCTACAAGTAACAGAAAGCCTGATGATCTTTATAAAAGTGGATTGCAAAGAAGTAATTTCCTTCCATTTATTCCAATTCTGAAAAATCATTGTGATGTTCGTGCTCTTGAGTCTGGTATTGATTATCGTTCGACAAATAAAGGCGAGGGTGAACATTACTTTTTGTAAGTTAAAGTTTTTCTTCTTTTCTCTTAAAGAAAATTTATGAAATAATTTTTTCTTCATTTAAAGGACTTCAGATCCGGATTCGGAATCAAAAGTGAAAGCAATCTTCAAAGTTCTTTGTAGTCAAGAGAACGATATTGTCAGGCCTAAAACTTTCACACATTTTGGAAGAAATATTACATTCGAAAAAACTTGTGGACAAGTTCTTTTCACGACATTTAATGAATTATGCGATCGTGCTTTGGGTGCTAGTGATTACTTGCAATTAGCTCAGTATTTTCACACAATCATCATTCGAGATGTTCCACAATTGAACCTTAAACTTAAATCACAAACTAGACGCTTCATTACTTTAATTGATTCACTTTATGATCGTAGAATAAGAGTAAGTAAAAAATCCGGAAGACGATGAATTAAAATAATTAACTTTGATTGTTTCTTCAGATTGTTATTGTGTCGGAAGTGCCACTTAATTATTTGTTTTCGAATGTTGTTCCTGATGGAATGGAATTGAGCGATGAACATAGGTCGTTAATGGACGACTTAAAATTATCAAAAGATTCGGTAATTGTTTAATAAATTGAAATGTCTGTACTTTGATAATCTTTTAATCATTTCAGGCTGATTTATCTGCAAATATTTTCACTGGTGAAGAAGAATTGTTTGCATTCGAACGGTAAAAAATTAATTTCTATCTAAACAAGTTTTTAAGTTGCATTCATTGCAACTTCCTTGATATTTCCTCTCTTCTAATGAATTGCTGTTTGCAAACTTTCTAAAACTATTAAAATGTCTCGTTTTTCTTTCAGAACAAAGTCAAGATTGACGGAAATGCAAACAGCTGATTATTGGAAGTTATGGTCAAAACATCATTAAAGCTTTCTTCATTTTGGTTGCTTGTATCAGATTTACTAAACTAATTAAATGAAATGTTCAAATTTATGAAAATTAATCAAAATAAAAAGTTCTGTGAATTAAATTTAACAAAATTAAAAATTTCGAAAATTTTCTTATCACCAGATGTTTAGATTAGAGAGAAGTCACTGTAGATCGTGAACTTTTTTTAGCCCCGCACGTTTGTTTTTCTTCAATTCGTAAAATGAACAAATACCTTGTAAATCAGCCTGTTCCCTTTGGTCAGTATTACAATAAGGCTATTATTAAAAACATGCATTATAATTAACTTCAATTTACAGACGAAACATGGTTCAAAGATGTAAACATAAATTTGCGTGGCCTTGAAGCAAAAATCAAAACATTGTCGCAATATAAAGTTTCAGATACCGAAAATCGTATTGCTTGGGCTTTAAAAGCAATGACATTAACCGACTTAACAACACTTGCTGGAGATGATTGTAAATCTAACGTCGAACGTTTATGTATTCGTGCTTGTTACCCTTTAGGAATGCATTCGATGAATATCAATGAACGTGATGAATTCCTGAAACAATTGCACGTCGCTGCCGTTTGTGTTTATCCAACTAAAGTGAAAGATGCTTTCGACACACTCTCGTCACTTCATAAGATTGGTGACATTCATATTGCTGCTGTTGCGACTGGATTTCCGACTGGGTTGTATCCACTGGAAACAAGATTGAAGGAAATAACTTTTGCTATTGAAAATGGAGCAACTGAAATTGATATTGTAATAGATCGAAGTCTTGTTCTCACTAATCAATGGCGGAAATTGTACGATGAAGTTGTAGAAATGAGAAAAGCTTGCGGAACTGCCGCTCATATGAAGACAATTCTAGGAATTGGTGAATGTGGAACAATGACGAATGTTTATATTGCTTCAATGATTTGTATGATGGCAGGAGCTGATTTTATTAAAACATCAACAGGAAAAGAAACGGTAAATGATGATGAAAATGAAATTTCCTCATGAATATATTTTTAACTATGATCTCAAGGTCAATGCAAATCTTCCCGTTGGATTGTGCATGATTCGCGCGATTCAAGAGTTCAAAAGACGAACTGGCGAAAATATTGGACTTAAGCCAGCTGGCGGTGTAAGAACAGTAAATGACGCCATCGACTGGTTGATTTTAATTAAAATGACTTTGGGCGATGAATATTTATGTCCTCATCTCTTCCGATTCGGTGCTTCCGGTTTGCTTGATGACATCGAAAAGTTTCTTGTGAAGGAGCTCGTTAACAAAAAGGTGATCGAATAAATAGGAACAGATAAATTTGTTTTATTCTGACTCTCTTATATCGAATATCACAAAGAAAAGTTCAAATAATGTTAAAGAAAATAAAAATGATTTGTTAAAGAATTTTAAAGCCTCCATCAGCCATCGATGAATATTTAACAACACGAAATTTCTTTTTGTCGTCATAATATCCATAAAATCCAAAAACATTCCCTTGTTCATCCTTCTCTTCGTGTCTTAACTGTCGATTATCGCTAAAATGTCATTAAAGTGTTAGTTTTTATAATTCAACTTATTAGATTAAAGCTTCGGTTGAGAGCATCAAAGATCGTCATTTAATTAAAAAGAAAAGAACATTTTGAACGATCGAAAAAGTCACATGAAGATGCAAAGAATTTTAAGTCACAAAGTTTGTGGTAATTAAACCAAATTTTGGGGTTTTTTCTGTCCAAAGACAAAATCAATTCATGCGAGAAAAAAACTAAAATAATTTTGATTTTTTTTTCTACATTCATGTGACAAATTCCACCTTTCGTTTTAATTTGTAAATTACCCTTTTCCCGTATCGTAACCAAATTTATAACTTGCTGGTCCCTTATGTCCTGAGGAAATGTGATGAGTGAGTTAGATATTAGTTTGATTAAAAGTCGATACAGATTAGCGACATTAGTAACTACCATGCATTTGAAAATCTAAACGGGAAGCTGGTGCACTGATCTCTTCTGACTCGTTTTCTTCATCGTCGTTATCGTTTTTATGATCATCTTGAACGCGCTCGTCTTCCGCTTCTTTGCTGCTTATTTCTTCCGATGACGACGTTTCATATTGAGTGGGTTCGCTTTCACCATCATCGACAACTTGTTCTTTTGAATTATCATTCACTTTTGCCTTTGGTGGCTTTTTTTCTTTACTCTCGGTTTCTGAGTATTTCTTACTTTTTCTTGCTTTCATTGTATAATAATTTGGTTCATCTTGATTGTCTTGTGGTGGAAACATGTCAACAAACTGAGGGTTTTCGTCAGCACTTGGTCTGTACACGTCATAAGAATCTCTTTTTTGATTTTCTATACTTTTTTCGGTATTTTTTGTATATTTTGGTTGGAACATTTCGCTCGTATGTTCCATTAATATTAATGGCCCGGTGTATAAAAAAGGGCTCTGCTTGGAAAGCTGACTTATGATGTGTGGAGGTGGATAATAATGATGAACAAAATATTGTGAGACGCTTGATGGATGCGGAGCCACAAGCTCTGTTCTAAGAACACTTTCTGAATGTTGTTGTTCATTCATTGGCACTGGTGTTGTTATCTGAATATTATCTGCTGTTCTCAATATAAATCCATAAGTGCAATGAAGAAATAAAACAAAAAGCTGTTGAAAAATTGACACATTTAATCACTTTTATCCTTTTAAAACAAAATTAATTTTCTCTTCCTACCGATATTGAAAACATTTCTTATTTATTATTTGAGAATTAAAGAAAAAGAAATGAAACTAAGTTAAACCACCTTTCTTGTTGCTTTGTCACTCGATTACTGAACCGACTAAGACTTTACGCGTTTTATTTATAAAGAAAAAACGTAATCAAACGGAAAATATGAAATACTCTTGCGATCGGAACTGAATTGCAAAAAAAAAGTGAATCTGGTTTTATTTGGAAGCATAAATTATGTATTATGTTGAAAGAAAAGAGCATGATAAATGTTTATATTTTTCTATACATAAGTAGGCTCGTGAAGTGGTGAAGAAAAGAAATACAAAAAAATCTAACAATTAGAGGAAATTGAGTATATCAGTTACGCGTAGGGCTAGCAAACATCAAGTTTTGTTGACCCATATGGAGATTACTTTTGAAATGTTTAAACCTTCATTTAAAGAGTAATCCATTTTTCATTTTTTTGCTTTGGTTTAAGTTTAGTAACAATGTCGGTCAACTTGTTCAATGTTGTCGTAATCTATTTGTTTTTGTGAGCATTAAATCACCGAAGTCGTTGAAACCAAAATAAGATAACAAATTTCCATAAGTATCATTACGAAGAAAGTGAAATTGCGTGACTTCTCAACGATCTGTTCGTGCTTTCATCAATTCTCTCATTCTTCTCTTTTTCAAGTTTTACTAATTGCCAACTCGAATCGAATCTTTTAAAACCGCGATAACTCGATTACGTAAGATCGTCTAATAAGACATGTCAGAAATGAGAAAAGAAAAGGCATGAAGGTATTGACATTCATTTGTGTAACATAAATCTCAAAGATACAACGAGAATGTCGCATTTCTCATTCAATTCCGTTTCCTTAATTAAATTAAAACTTGTTTATGCAGTGGTTCTTTTAAAAATAAAAAGCATTTTATATTAAATTCGTTTTCAATATTATTTATTGGTGGATTAAATTTGCACGAATAGTCTTGGAAATAATTTGATTTCATTGATAAAATTCCAATTTCAATCAATTTCGATTTCCATCGTTTCAATTAATTTTCTTGCTTATAATTTAACTTAAAAATTAAAAATTATCAAATTTAACAGGACAGACTTTTAAAAGCGATCAGGATGATTATTCAGCTCGTCAAGTAATCGTTTTTCAATGACTGGTCTCGATATTCGGTCAAGCAATGTGTTGCAACTGACAAACACGGGTTTCTTCAAACGTTGCGATATATTCTTGGCTAAATCAACTGATTCTGGTGCTTCTGTGTTGATGATAGACATTGAGACACTTTCTTGATCAGACGTTCTTGAAGGAAATCCCAATCCTAGTCCCGAAAGCAATTCTTCATCCTTTTTTCCAATGTAAATAAAAAGCGAGTCATGCATTTTCAGAACACGATATTTAAAGGATTGTCCTGACACGTCTCCAGAGAAACTATGTGAACTGAATGCCGATTCTACTGTTGACATTATAAGGATGATATTTAATAATAATTGGCTTAAAGAAGACTTGAGAATTTCTTTTGAAAGAAAATTAAAATGATAAACAAAATTATAAAGTTAAGAATAATTGCAGAACAAGAAAAACACGAAGAGAATGTCGAAAAAACATTCGAAAACGTTTTCGAACGATGTTCAAAAAATTTAAAGTCGTTATATTTATATCGATTATTGTGATAACAAATAATTTTTTGTTATCAGAAGAAGTGATTAGGTATTCTTGTGAAATACTTAGCATATTTATGATATAAATAAAATCGCTAAAAGTTTGATATAAGAAATAAGAAGATATTATTAAGGTTAAATTCTGAATAATTAACATTTAATCTTAGGTGCGCGCTTAGAAAATTGTGTATTAAGAACTCATCGTTTCCATACGTGTAAATGAAAAATATTTTTGAACTTGACATGAATGTTCTCAAAAGGATCATTTTTCAATTTCAAATTTAATTTAACATGACCTTTCAGTTTCCACTGACTGATTTTATTCTTTGCATAAAAATATATTTGAAAATGGAAATTGTCCCTTTTTTTATGTATAGTTTCCAACATCTACACAACAAGTGAATGTTTTCAATTTGTAAAAAGAGAAGATGAGATAGATCTACATGAAATAGGGCAAAACACAAAAGGCAGGTTTTTATTAGTTTTTATTTGATATTAATCGACCCTGTTTCTATTTCTCTTCACCGAATCTCTGTGTAAAATGTCACAAGGATCTTTATTGCATTGTTCAATTGTTCGCATCCCTAACATAATTGCTATAATATGTTTTATTAAATTTCTAAACACTTTCCAGCCATTTATTATTTATTTGTTTGCATATGATTTGACTCGGATATACTCAAATGATAAGCATTTAATTCGACTTTTATTAAATTCATGATACTTAAACAGAGGGGATGTTTTATTAATGTTCGACAAGTGCAGTTTAATTAAAAAAGTAAATAAGAATGATTTCTCGTATTTGATGAGATGCTTTTTAAATCTTGTGTTAAAAAAAGGATGGGAGGTTTCACATGTTATGGAGTGTTTATGTACAAATGTATTTAAAAAGGTAGTAAAAATATTTCAGAAGAGATGCCTATGTAGACTTTTATGTTTCTTTTTTTAATTAATATAAAAGTTGCAATCTGAGAGATAATAAGTAGATTGATTAAATATACCTAAATAAATCTAACAAATCGTCGATGCAAAAACATTAATTATGCTATTCAGAATATATTTTTTTCATATTATTTATTATAATTTCAACATTTTGATATGACTAAATTCGTAAATGAAACTCGTTAAGTTTTAATTCTACTCTATTTTATAATTAAATATAATTATCTAAATCAAATAATAAATAAAAACACACAAACTTCTGTTATGGTATAACAAGAATCATAATAAATCATAATAATTAAGATATTTATGAGTTGAATCTTCCGTTTTCTTCCTTTTGTATCGAAAGAGTCAGCTGAAAGGGTTTTTAGTTGTAAAAAATATCTACATTTAATATCATATCGACTTATCTTTACAACATCTGAAACAGTAGCCATAACCATTTTATGGTGCGTGTTCTTTATAATTATTTGATGTTTATTTCTTTCGTTTGCTTATTTTCGGTTTTAACTTAATTAATTTTTCTTTCTTCAACATTTTCTGAAATTAATTGCTTACATAATGCTCCCGCCATTTTCACCCATTTCTATTTTTATTCACGGAGCCTTTCATCGCCCATCATTGAGAATGGAATCCTTTTGAATGCTATTTTGATATTTTTTTAATGTTAATCGAGGGAAAGGGTTAAAATATTTTTAATTAAATGTTCATTGAGCTTCAAGAAACGCAATTATAAACCCTAATAGTCAGAATTAAAACTTTGAGTGGTGCGAAACGGTTGAAAGAAATCAAATAATCAAGAAAGTTCATTACGACTCCCTTTCTCTTCTTAAAATCTTAAAGCGATGCGAAAACTTCGACTTAAGATAATACAAAAGGTTCAAGGAACAAAGGGATAAATATCAAAGATTTTCGGCAGAACAAACACTCAAAATGGTGAGCATGATAATTTAGCTACAAGCAAAGATGCATCGAAAAACAAATTTTGAAGTTGAGAATTCATTTGGCTTAACCAATGAAGTGAATTCACACACATAAATTTACTACAGAACTGCCAAAAAACAAGAAAGGGATTCCTGAAGGAAGAATAAGAAGTTTTTGAAACAACAAATTTTCAAGGAAACTGATGTATCAGAACCGCGATTAAGAATCTTTTTATACTCGGCAGCGATTATAGCGAAACGAGGCAGCAAAAACATTGGAAAAACATAAATTTCCTGCATTTGAAGATTTGGGCAAACCAGATATTGATTTATGTATCAAATTTTCGATAAATGTCACAAAATTCGCTACGATATGATTTTCGATGTTTTATCATTCATCTATAAATTAAACGTAAAAACCTCTTTCAGTTTTAATCTAAAAGGAAATTATGGTCAGCCGAAAGCATTTATGTAAATTGAAAATGTGGATTCTTTTTTTTCTCCTTTATTTTGTGTATGTGGGAACGTGGGAAAGGGTCGCATCTTATTCAATTTGAAACATTCTTAAAATACCGCACAACTTTTTTTTTCTTTTGCGTATTCTCTGGGTTAATCATTTTGAGCCTCAGCTAGCTACTTTTGGAGAACAAGAGAAAATAAAAACAACAAACGAATCTTCTACTGTGTTACTGTTTGTTTTAGCGACGGAGTGGCAAGTTCTGTTTTTGACTTTAAATAAAAATGCATGTTGGTAGAATGAAGGACAAACGAGTGAACTAAAATTATTTCACAATGCCAAAAGTTTAGGTAATTAAATATTTTCACAACAAAAAAAGGATGGAAAAATAACAAACGCGATAGTTAAAATTTTAAACAATGAAAACTGCAACGAACAAAAAATTGACAAACTTCAAAGACGTTGAATAAACAGATAAATTCCAATATGATGAGAAACTAACAAGACACACATCATATTTTAAAATATTTTATAAGATTCTTCATCGGTCATTTCAGTTGTGCCATTTTCCATCCTCTTACCATTGCCGACTTAAAATATCGTCAAAAAGAAAAGAAAAAAATTACCGCGCGAACTTTTAAACATTTTTGTGTTTTATGTTGCGATACAAACAACTTCAGAAAGCTCTTTCAGTTGAGAAAGAACTGATGAAAACTTAAATGAGTAGATATTGAATAAGAAATGTTCATTTTTTAACTTGTTTCTCTCCTTCTTGCAGTTTTTCTTTAAGGATTCTTCGTATGCTTCAACAAAGTTTGGTCGGTGAATTTAAACTTTGTTTTAATGTGAATGTTAAATTGTTTTTGTATTTTAATAGCTCTTTTATACCCAATTTTTTCTTCTCTTATTCGTGTTTCTTTTATTCGTTTTCGTTCGTGTGCTTTTGATGTATACCGCGAAAAATGCAGGATTCAAATCGGTATTGATCGTTTTCGTATCGGCGGTTGATTGTCATTTGGAGCTTCAAGTTTTGTAATGATCATTGTATTGAATTTGCTCATTCGCTTTTCCCTTTGATTCATTGGAATCTCGTTTTGCTTCTCTTCTGGTTTTATTTTGCTTTTTTCTTTTTTATTTTTTTAAAAAAGAAAAGAGAGAAAAAGTTGTTTAAGCGACAACAAATGCATTTATGAAAATGACGTCACATGTGATGTTTTCTTTCAATTTCATTTAAAACTGACATGATTGAAACTTTCTTTAAAGTCTTCACAATGCGCGCATGAAATGTAATAAAACCTTAGTTAGTAATGACTGTGGAGATAATTTAATGATTAGTAAGTGAAACAAGAAATTATCTGCTTTAATAGATAAACATTTGCTATTACCTACCTGAAAGTTGAAAAGTCTAAGACTTTGCTTTATATGTAATTAAAAGTTTTTTTTATGATTTAATTGAGCATTCACATTCGTTTACGAACATCTCATTTTATATTGTTTTATAAGAAAGCGTTTCATCCGATATCTCCTTAGAAAATGTTCATAATCTAGTTTGAAGAGAACACCTTAATGAGTTTTAAACATTTTCATCTAATTAAGCGATACAAATTGATTGTTTAAAAAAGAAAAATCAAATTCAAAAGCGCATAGAAATTGAGATATTTTAGATTTCTGAAAATGATATTAAAGACTTTACCATTTAAAAGAAGTTAAGTTGAATTATTGAAAAGTAAGAAAGAAAGCATTGAATGTGCACAATAAACGAGGGAAATTAAATAATGCGAAAAGTCAAATTGAGATAACACCTTATAAAAAAGATGTGACAGATCAAAGGTTCTGCCTTCCTAAAGAAATCGAAACAATGACCGCAAATAAGTTTAACTTCATTGTCTTTTTTTTGAAACATAAAAACATAAGATAGATTAAAGATAAGAAAGCATAAGAAAAAAAGGCCAAAGAAAGAGCGTTTTGCCAACAAATTGTGAGTTGAAACATGTTCATGGTTGTGTTTCTTTCAACACCAAAACACCAAACATATTCCATAAAATAATTAAAGAAAAGAAAAATCCAAAACCGTTTATAGAAACATCAAGATTTATGTTCACTTTTCCCTCCTTTTTCCTTTTGTTTCTTAAATTATTTCCTTGCCTTTTGACGTGTCACATGGCCTCAAAATATCTAATGGGAGGAAAATAAACAATTTAAAACAACGTGCGCTTCGTGAGTCATCAACAAAACCGTGCAGTTCACGAAAACAACAAATTGTGCGTTCAAATAACACTTATCCAATTTTCTTCGAAAACAAGATTAATGTTATGACTTCGCGCGATGACTTTGACGCATGAAAAGCCATTAGATTACATAAACATCAAAACATTGGAATAAATAAGAAACGAATCTCCTGTTTTAGTTTTGTACAACAAATCGTCTTACAGAATCCAAGGGAAATTCATTCAAAGTAAGATGAGACGGTAACTTATGCTCAGCAATTAATTTCACATCAAGGTTTCCGATACAGATAACTGTCGACACGTGTTATTGAATTATTTCATCTTACTAACATGGATTAAACTTTAATACCAACTGTCTTCGTCCCCTTTTTAAAAATGTCATTTTATTAATACTCTGCATTTAAATAGATCATAAATTATAAGTCAAGGTTTGTCTGGTAATCTCTTACCAGTTGCGTTATTAATTTTTCTTTAAATCACCTAAATTAGGAATGATTTTAATAATGAATTTTGTGAAACTTTAATTTATTTATTTCAATTTTAGTTACATTGATAGTTATTGAAGGTTCAATCCAATAAATTTTAAGTACGTAGTTTATTCCTTCTTATCTATTTTTAGTATGTTAAACATCTTTGGAGAGCAACAGCAACGCACACAAAAATGTTTTAATTTATTTCCAATCCACAGGGGAAAGAATCGTAGAATCTATTTAGGTCTTCTTTCCCGTCTTCGGTTTTAATTTTACGACCTTTTTAGCATAAGAAAATAAAATCATTAAAATCATTTAAAAAGAAATTAAGAAAAACACCAATGATGATTAAAATTCCATTGACGTAATCTCCATAAATTTCTTGAAACTACTGTCGCTCTTAATTTTTATTTCTTCTTTAGAGATTCAACACGAATAGATTTGAGGTGCACTTTATGAGACCCCCGATGACATTTATTCGTTTACTGTTGATGGTACTAAATATAATTACGTGGTTAAACAGTTTAGTTGGAAACATTTAAGATTATCCATTTTCAAAATGTGTTTTGTGATCGAAGATCAGCACATAAAAGTTTGTTGTACTCGTCGACTTTCCTCTGAGCTTCAATTTTAACTGTTGAGAAGTCGCATTCCTTTGAGAGTAGAGTAGAGAAGATGATTATAAGATTTATATGTGTAGAGATTATTTAATGATTGAGACAAAACTCACCGAATTCAGTTCGTCAACAATTCGCTGTAACAATTTGTTATCCTTTATGAAATCATTAAGCTTCTCTTCCATGTGTTGAATTTGACGATAAGTTTCATTGTTTCTCAAGGACTCCTAGAGAGAGTGATAAAGTAATTGAAAGCACTTGATTCGATCAATTCAATTCACCTTAATTGCTTGATTGCGTCGCTCAGAGTCTTGAACAACATTCTCTGTCACCCGTTTCTTGTCTTTCAATTCTTGTAAATTTGTCGAAAGTTCTTCATACTTCACCGCATATTCATCGCGTAAAACATTCAAATTATTAAATTTCTGAATGTCTTCGAGTAAATTCTTTTCATCTTGACGCAAGTCATCCAACTGTTTCATCATTCGCTTTTCCAAAATCTTGAGCTGCTTCAACTGTACTTGTAGCTTGCTGTATTCTTTCAACAACCCGCTGTGTGAGTTCAAGTCGTTGTTTTCATTGAAAGCCGATGAGTTGATTTGTATGTTGCTAGTAGAAAATTTTGAATTAACTCCTTGTAAAGTTATTTGTTCAATCAAAAATGTTATTTGATTCTTCAATGATTCAACATCTGTGAAGATAAAAATTATTTTAAGATATTAAAAGAGAAAACTTTTTAATTTTCAAAGATTGTCAACTTTGTTTTTCTTTCGCCATTTGAATTTGAAATGTTTCCATGAAGTTTGTCATCATTTCGTCACGTTTCTTTAATTCTTTATACTTGATGTGTCTCTCAGTTGATCCTTCGTCTAAATCTTGTTCAACTTGTTGAAGATTATTTCGCTTCTCTTGCAATTGATCAGATAAAATCTTTAATTGTTTATTTATGCTCGTAATTGCTTGATTGTTTGTTCTGACTTCGTTGATCAATTTCTCTCGCTCCTGAGCTGGTGTCAAACGATTTGTTTCTTCATTCTTAAGTTGATTTCGTTTTGCAGTCGTTTCACGCAATTTTGAATGCATTTTTACAGCTTCTAACCGTGCTTGAGAGTTAATCACAGCGGCGCTCAACTTTTCTTTTTGCTTTATAAAACTTTCAATCTTTTCATGAATTTCAGCATTTTCAGCTTTCAACTTTTCACACAACAATTGATGTTCACGATATCGATTTTGCTCATCAAGACTTAATGAATAAATAATTTCATTCATTTTTGTCTTCTCATTTGCAATTGCAGATTCAAGTTGTTGATTTTGTGACTCTTTATTTTGTCGTTCTTTGAAGACATGCTCCAACTCATTTTGCATTAATTCATTCTTTTCACGATAAACGAGAGTTTCATTTTGTAACTGCTGTCGTGTTGCGCCTGTTGATGAACTATCCAAGGCTAAGTTCATATCAGAAAGTGTCGACTGAAGAACTAAATTAATAAATTGTGTTTTAAAACATGATAAGAAAGAAGACGACGCATCAATGTACCTGAAAATTCCTTCGCTTGTTCCCTCACTTTTTTTTCATACAACTTCTTAGCAGATGTTTCTCGTTCCAAATTCTTTCTTTCTTTATCGAGCTTCTCAGTTTCAAGAGCGATTTCTTGAATTTTTGATTGGAGTAACGCCATCCAATATCGTTTGTCTTTAACCTGCCGCATGCCGGAAGCGGTTCCCAATCTTCCTTGTGCCGTTGATAAGCCTGACAAACCTTGCTGTGTGAGCGGACGATCAACAAGACCCTAAGACAGTCAAAAAAGATTAAAAAGTTATCTTTAAATGTAATTTAATTACTTTTAACAACCTTTTGGGGTATTCCAATATTTTTTGCTGTTCCAATTCTTGTTCCATAACCAGACAACGCGCTCAATTTCGACGCAGTTCCGATTCTTCCACTTGATGCTGATGACATTTCAGTGGATGGACCACGACGGGACATCGGTCGACTTGATGGTGGACGAGATATTTCCATTTCTTAGAAGTTTAAAAAATCTTTTATTTCTTCAAGAGCTTCAACTTTGTTGACGTTCAAAAGCGTTGACATGGAGATATCGATTTTTAAGCAACTTTTTTTTGGGTTGAATGTTGACTTGAATTGTTGTGGAAATCATAAAATAAAATGTTCGCATTCACTTTTAGTCTCGAAATTGAATATTCAACAATTTTCAACGAATGAATTTTGTTATTTTAATCTAGACAGAATGATAAATATTTTATTAAAAAATAGTAAAAGATGTCAATGTTAGTTGTCTGTGATTCTAATCAACCTGTATCATCTTTTTTCCACAAACCTTTCGATATATCAATTTTTTTCTTGTTGTATTTCTTTCTCCTATTCGTATCTTTGATCTTCTCTTTCGTAAAAGCTATCATTAATTAAAATTTGATTGAATTATTACCACCACATACTTATTTTAATACGGTGGTAAAACAAACCATAAACGAAATGAAACAAAATGAATCGAAGACGGAAGAAAAATTAATATTTGGTCTCGTTAGCACAAGACAACCAACAAGCAACAAGGGAATGAAAGAGAGGGAATTAATAGATCAGTAAGCTGAACGTAGATGGTTTCTATGAAACAGCTTGATAAGCATCTGATGGACACACTCTTGATATTATTAAATTAATTTCTTCTCTTTTTGAAACAATCCCGAAATATGTTAAGATCGTTTGAAACTATTAATTCCAAATCGAAAATCACGGCGCACACCGTGAGAGTATTTTGAATTCCATTGACTTTCAAATATTGAAAATTCAAATTAATGTCGCTCGAGACACGATTTTTTACAACATCATTTTTCAAGGAGAGTTTTTGTTGAGAACATCTTGACCGGCGCTGCAATTAATCATAATTGACAATTATTTCGAATCATTACGAGATTTCACGAGAAAGTTATTAAAATTCTTTCGAAATCCGTCGGGAGGATGTCGCAACAGACTTGTTCCTGTTTTAATTATCTTGCGTTGTGTTCATGAAGTCACCAACCACTCAACAACATCTTGCATGAGTTTCCTGAAGTCTCGCGGAAATCGTTAAACATTTCTCAATGCTACCACTCTAATTCAATTTACCAATAGACAAATCTCCACTGTGTCAGGCAGTCTGATTAATGACTCGGGGGCGAAAACATTAATCATGAATCTTTACTTTAAGATTTAAATTGAAGTCAGTTGTGCGCAGTTCATGTCCAACAAACGTGCTTGTATTTCAAACTAATTCTTGTTCCAATTTTAAGCTCATGATGATTGTAAACGAACAATAGTAAAATATTTAACATAAAACATAATAAAGAATTAATTAATATATTTTTTGTTATTAATTGCATATTCATTTTTCCGTTTAATGATAATGATATTTTAAACTCTAACCTAAAGTGGAGTAATAAATTCCCATTAAAGTATTTCTTCAATGAATTTTTATTTCATTTTTTTAAACTTTTTGTGAAAATGAATCTAGCGAATCGCTATTTCATGTTAAATCACATTGTTTGTTGAAATTAAGCTTATTAAACAAAAAAAAAGTGTAGAAAATGTAATTAAATATAATTTCGTAATGAGATTTTTAAATGCATCAATTTTCTTTGAAACGAGATGTTTTTATGTTTGTCATAATATTATGTGCATGCATTTCAATATTTATGAGATAAAAAGTCGTTCTAGTTATTAGGAATTAAAGTTTTTCCCTTTGACGAACTTTAAAGCAATTGCAAAATGGTGAAGTTTGATAAGAAAAAATATTTTGGAGACATTTTCTTAGTTAAGTAAGTTTGATTACAAAAAATATTTGTTGATGGATATCTTTGATAATTTATCAAACAATCTCTTAATGGATAAATAAAAGTAACAAAAATTCTTGAAATATCACTCAAACTACATTTTACCATTGCCAGACTAGCATGAGCAGAAGATTTGCTAGACAAATGTGTTTCAATATACTGAAAATCATTCTCGTATGTATACATGTTAGGACAATACGAGAAATTTCATTAAAATACCCTTTTTGAATGTAAGGACGCGTTGGCATATCGACTTTCTGAAAAAAAGAGCATGAAATAATGAAAGGGATGTTTTCGGTTTCACTTACATAAATTTCATATGCACAAAAGTCATTCAGAAGTTTAATAAAACGAAACTCAAGATAATAAATTATCAGCACAATGGCATGAAGTTGGGACAGAAGAGTCGCCATTTTGTGAAGTTTGGCGCAAGAATGATGACAACACCTTAAATTGATGAAAGTAAACTGAAACAAGCGACAATTATGTCAGGTAATTATTTTAAATGCAGCATTTCTTACTGAAAAAGAAGTTAATTGACATATCAACTCAAAACTCTTATCCAAAGATAAACATAAACGACAAATTTGCTTAAAATAGAAAAAAAGAAAATAAATTTTCCGCAGTAGTCATTCTATTTGTGGAAAGTTATAAAAATAAGCATCTTTATAGCATAACGTCTTTTGTCAAATGAGACAAATTAAGGCACAGGTTGTGACACTTCATAAACATAAATGATTTTTTAATTAGAGTTTTTGTTAGATGTGAAACGCCACATAATTGTCATAAATCATATTGTTGACAAGAATTAAGAAGCGAGAAATATGAATGATGCCTTAATTTCATGTAAATAATATAAATAAAAAAAGGAAGAAATGAAAACATTGTCACCGCCGCCAAGACAATTAATTAGATACATGAAAGATTTTCATGATTTTATGAGACACGCTCGCAATAAACTTGCGAGGAAAATGAAGAATTTTCATTCGATTAAGAATAATAAACATTTCTATATGTAGATGTAAAAGAAAACCGTTTAAATGATGGCAAATCATGTGCTGTTTAGATCTTCATTTAATGTTTCTCTCATTCTAAATAGATTTGAAAAAGTCTGAATAATTATGCATTCAAGACACTGGTGGAAAGAAATAAATTAAAATGCAAGTAATGAGTATTTATATCTCAATTCACTTCATTCAATACTGATGATTATGGTTGTAGTAAGTAAATAAATATGAAAGATGGTTTAAAGTTTAAACTTTAAAGAGCAAGCAACTAGCGTCAATTAAAATTTCCTTAGAAATAATTATTTCTCAAGCATCCGCTTAAAGCAAACGGGAAAAAAATAATTTCCACTTACATAATAAACTCACGGTAATTGTTTAACGAGAAACTGCAGAAAACTGGTTGGTGGCAGTTCTTTGAAACAAGAAACGCTTTTAAGAATTATTTCATTTTATTGTTTCGCATTCCGATTTTACGCTGAATTGAATTTCCTCCCCTTGCCTTGCCTGCCTTGCTTACCTTTACAGAATCATCGAGCTGAACTTCAAAGTATTGTTGAATTAAATGATAAAATGAAAAGCATTTTCATTGCGGATCCCTCCCATTGATTGTCTTCCTTTTTGTCGTTTTTAAGATAAATTGAAAAGTTTTCTCGAAAAATTTTCTCGGCTTTCTTATGAAATTTCGACAAAAGAGAAACATTATGAATTATCAAGTGAAGTATTTTCTACTCCTTCATTTTTATTTCCCTCTACAAAGGAAATTTTCATCTTTTTTGTTTCTCCATTAATCGAAAAATGTGAACAATAACAAGAAGGTTCATCATTTAGCTCAACTTCTTCAAGAAATGAAAAAGGAAAACTTTTCATCTTTTCTCCGATTAGATGTTGTGGTTTTTCCTAGCAAAATATTTAGGAACGAGTTGAAGAGTAAATTTGAGGGTTGAAGTAGATTGTTCTTCATTTTGTTGAAAAGCAAAATTTCTTAAAGTCTTACAAATCGATGTTGATACAAAAATTGAATGAATAAATTTGACGCTTCCATTTGTATCGTGTCACCTGTCATTAAAGTGAAAATTGTTTAAGATTCTTTTTAAAATTCCAAGCTAATAATTTTGAATAACAAACAAAACGCGCTTGTTCGACGTTTATCTTAATTACTCTCTACAAAATATTTCAAGTCTGAAAGGGTTGACGAAGCAAGGAAGTGACCGAGGAGTCAAAAAGATTACCATTCACTTGATTGGTTTTTTATGTAAAATTAAAGAAACAGACAAGAACAGTTTTTGAATACCACGCTGGAAACGAGCTTCAGCTTACCTTCGACTTGGGTGGTATGCACAACCTATCAGCAACTTATCGCAACTTCTAATTTTCAGCTTCCACATTCAACATTCTTTCGGCTTTATTAACGTTAAGAAAACATGACAGTAATCGACTGGCTAACTTACACAAGATTCAAATTAGCATTTTTATCGTTTTAATTCTTAATTACGATAATGCTCCACACATAAGTGTGCAGGAAAAAGATGCATTTCACTGAAGAAGATTATCTCCTTGGAGCAGAAGACAAGTTTTAATACAGTCATAACGACGGCCAATTCAAAAACACTTTTATTTTTATATTTCACAATTTACGAAGTACTGAAAAGAATTAACTTCATTTATGGTTTGGCGATTAAAGCAATTGGCGAAATTTCATTTCAACGACGCAATAAACTTTCAACTTCAATTTTGTATCAATAGAAATTTGAGTTTTCAATTCAATATTCACACTAATTAATTCTTTTAAGAAAAGGAACGTCACAAACTCAACATGAATTATGTTCTCTACAACGCCTTTTTAGAATCCATTTATCAAAGGCAGAAACTTCTTTATTTATTTCATTAAAACGGATTTTCTGGAAACAAATGAGTCGTCTTAACTGGTTTTAACACATGTTTCGATCTTTAATGAAACTCAAGAGACCTTTTTGACGGATGATTTATGCGTGAAGGTTGTTCTAATGTTGAGTTATGCTCTTATGTTCTAGTTACCCGAAAAATAAACTTCGATGTCACACAAATTTAATTTATTTATCATTGAAAAACAATTTTTTGTTGTTTGATTGTTATGTGAATTGGTGAATGTTTATTTGTTTGATTGAAGAAATATTTAGATATATACATAATCAGTTTGCAAAACATTCATTTGATGATTAATTTAATTTCTTATGGTTCATAATTATTATAAGCAACCATAAGTTTCTCAGTATACATTTTGAAACAAGAAATAAAGAATAATTTTTATTACTTTCAGCTAAATACTAATTTTACTTTCCTTCATTACAATCATCGATTCCAAAAAGTTTTAATAATATTTATGCAGAAAAAATAGTTTAAATTTAACATTTTAATGGAGTATCACATAACACATAAAATATTACAACTGTTTCATCTTTGAAACTACTTACGAATTAATTCTTAATAAAATTGTTTTATAAGGTAAGCGATGCTCAAAACCAATATAAGTCTTTTGATGACTCCTGAACTTGAGCTTCTAGACCTGTAATAAAAAATAAATGAATTAAATATAATAAACCTTCAGCTTTCAATCAAATTAAATAAGAATATTTAGTGGGTTGGGTTTATGAAAGTAAAACCTTGTTGTGCAAGTGCGCAATGAGTTGTAAGCAATCAAAATGAAAATGAATAAAGAAAAGCCTTTGGCAAAAGAAAAACTTTTAATACGAAAGAAGAAAACGAAGAAGGTCGCATGATTTAATTGACAAATGAGCACATTCCAATCTTATGATTTTGGTTTTAAATGCACTAACATGCGCTCAGACTTTTTGATCTTTTTTTCCATGTTCGTTCCAAAGTATCGTTTTCGGAACTGATTTTGAAAAAAGACGACAGAAAAATGCGAGTATTTTTCGCGAGAATTTCAGTTCACCACAAAGAACTCTAAAGGGGAAAACTCTAAAGCAAAAATGTTTGAATACAATTTATTTAACGTAAAAATATCGCCTTAACGAATGCTAACTCAAAGGAGACGGCGAGAAAATGGTCGAAAATGTGAAAATAATTGAGCGAAAAAGAAAAATGATCCGTCGGTATATTCAACATTTGTGTGTGTGTTTGTGTTGCCTTTTGCAAGCTTTTGAACATTATCGAAAGCATGAGAATGAAACGCTTAAAGATTATTCCATATTTTAATGAATATCATCAATTAAAGCAGCGTTTAATTCGGAGATGTGAAAGAATTTAAACTTTAATTAGCAGATTCATGGTTATTGATTAATTTCTTTGGCTCGAGTCGGTGGATAAAGAGAATCTACAGCTTAAATTAAGTTATTCTTAAATATATAAACGAGTCAACTCACCAGACATGGGATAATTTGAATAAGCAGCGGCTGCACTTTCTAGAGCATGTGCTGTTTGTTGATCGTGATGTAATCTGGAATTTAGATGCACGATCAAGAATATTTGTCGGTGTTCTCAGTTTCATCTCAACTCACCTTGAACTATGACCATATTGTTGTGGCAAACGATGAAGTAAACTTCCATATTGAGCCATGTTATGATGGTGCGCGTATGCTGCATGTGCAGCATAAGATCCGTAATGTGCTGCGTTGTGAACCCATGGCTCGGTCGAATAAAGACTACTTTCTGTTGAGTAAAGGTCACTCATTTGATGATGAGCGGGAGCGGGTGTTGGAGGAACATAATTGCTGTTCCAAAACGATGGTGGAAAGTTTCGAGCTGACATCGGATTGGAATCTGAAGAAATAAAATAATTTGCGGTAATTACTTAGCTTCTTCATCGCTTTCAACAACGAAACGAAGTTCTTATCCAAGTTTCACAGAAATCGCGGCAATATTGCAAAGTTTTCACAATACAAGATTCCTTACTTAACGTTTTATTGTATTTTCTCTTCTGTTTCTTTTAAGAAAACCTTGTAAGGCTGAAAATGTAATCTTCAGATTATGCCGACTACTGAAAACATACAACAAGCTACTTTAAAACACATTATCAGTCTTCAGTTTACAATTAACAGAAATGATTGTAACTTGCTTAAAGCAATGTGCCGACAATTGTTGAATTAAAAGGATAAGTTTGATGATTGATTAATGAAACGTTTTACGAGATATTTTTTCTATGATTCATGCACTAAATCTCGTGACATGTAAATAGATAAATCTATGTATGGATAGCTGTTATTGAGAGCTGATCAACTCTAGAGCTTTAAGCTTACCTTTATTGTTTTTGTCATTGAAATTCAATGCTCTGGTAAAATGTTCATCGACAACATTGGCAACATCACCTGAATAATGAGTTACAACAACGCAGGTGGCTGAGACGTATTGTGTTCGCCCGCTATTTTCTCCTTGTCCATTTGGTGATTCGGGACCTGAAGAACACGATGAACTATCGTTGTGGTTACCAGGTAAGTTCACTGCAATTAAAACAATAATAAAAAAATGTCAATGAAAGTTTTTTTTCTTTTTTGCAAAAATCATGAATAATTGAAATATATGCACATGTGACGAATGTGCGTCAATAAATTCATGTTGTCGACATTAAACAATTCAACTAAGTCGACACATAAATAAAAATTCAGAAATTATCAAATACATTTTGACATATTTTGAATGATATATAAACCTTTGTTTGAAATTGATGATAAATTAAATACTTTTTGTCTCTCGTCATTGCTTTTCTCCACGTATGTTGTTTTAAACGACTGTTGATGTGCAGCTTATATGTTCATTTCAATTCGTTTATCGCACAACAAAAGAAAGACATAAAAATTTTTATGTCTTCTGTGGGAAAATTTAAATTTTAAATTCGTCAAAAAAACATGTGATCAGAGAGAAGTGAACTGAAAAAATATGTTGTAAAGCGCGGTAGCAAGTAAAAAGTTAAATAATTTATAATTTTTATCGCGCTATTCAGTCTCACTCTTGAAATGTGACATTGCAATCTTCTTATTGTCATTTTGTGAAGACATCAGCAGAGTATCAAATTGCGGAGGTCACATTCTCATCGATTTTTCATTTTTCACTCTTATTTTTTACTGCATTTAGGATTAAATAATGTTTTGACCCGCATTTCTCAACAAACTCTTCAAAACGACGCAAAGAATGTAAGATGGAGAAACAGGAACGAATTCCTTTGATCAAACGAAAAGAAGGAAGAATGAAAAATCAAATTGAATTTTAAATTAAATCTTCCTATAAAGAATGTATCGCAGAAGCATTTAGTGTGTCTCTAAATTATTTCAAATATGTTTTCTTTATCTTTAGACGCTTGCTCACTGACTGAATTCATTTACATGTGATTTTGGCTGTCGTACACATGTGTTAATATATCAACAACTCATTCGCACATTCTTCAAGCGCTCGAATTTAGACACACTAAATATGTTACAATTTTACGAAGATGCACTTGGCTGCAAATGCAAATTAATCGTCTCGAGAGCAAGCAAAGAAGTCAGTGGAATAATAAAAATAAAAATAATAAAGAAAATGAAAATGAAAACAAGTTCAAGGCGCACTTCACGTTTTTATTACTTTACCTTCTCTCTCACTTCTTGGAATTGTTAAATCTTCCTCTTTGGCTACATGTCTTTGTCCTAATGATCCAACTAAAGGTATTGATGAAGGCGTATGCGATGAGTGCGCTACATTAGCTGTTGACGACGATGATAACGCAGATGGTAAGAGTGGACTGCATGGTGAATGAGAATTTGTTGATGTGCTTGCTGAAGCGGCTATTGGTACGCCAGCAGTTGAAGGGTACAAGTCTTGATTAAACTGAAATTAAAAAATGTCATCACAGCATTATATCTCTCTCAAAAGGAACATCAATACGATCAATTGCTAATTTTTCTTTATTTTTGTGTAGCTTGACATTCCTCGAATGCCGTATTGCATATTTAAATAGTAGCAAAATACTTGAAATGCTTATTTTAACATCACATGTGAGGCGAGAAGCAAAAAATAAACATTAAGTGTAATTTAATGAATATCGAGAGCGCTACTGTTTCAAACTCAGTGTCTGAACGCACCACGAAACAAGCGAGAAAAAAAACTTGAAATTCCTTAAACATTCACTCTCAACAGTGGTCTTGGAGTTTCTCAAAATTCCCCCGTGTGCGACTATGTTTATCAATTATGAAATCGATACATCAGTCATAGAGACTACAGCAAAGCATTAATAGAAACTTATTCCATAATTAAATTGAAACTGAAGGAGACAACAAAAAAAAAGCGCCTGATTTTGATGTTTGAAATCAATTACAATTCAGTTCAGGTTTTACTAAAATAATTAGCTAAATGTGTTGTGTTAATTTTCCGCATGCTACTTTCAAAAACAACTCGTAGGTCTCTAAAGACACAACATCCCATTTATTTAATGTTGCATTATTTATATCAGGTATTAAATAATATTTCATAACTAAAAATATCTTTAGATATTTATTATAAAGTGTTAAAGTCATTAAAATTTTTGTAAAGTATACTTAATTCATTTAACATTAAAAAGACGGTGTCATTGTGCATTTCATTATATACTTAGATATTAATGCAAAAACAAATCTTGAAAATCGTTCTAGACTTTGTCTAAAAAGACATTTTTTATGCGTCATTATTCCTGCTGTTCCACTCATTCAATTAAAAAACAAGAAAATTAATTGAATTCACTAACTGTAGCGTATAGCCATAAATTAAAAGAGTTTTAAAAAGGAAAGAATTTCACAAAAATTCTGTTGTTTGAAATATTACAACATTTGGTAACAACACATCCATAAAGATTTCTTTTTTTACTTCTATATTTGTTACAAAACTTAAAAGAGTTCACTTTTGAAATCAAGAACCTTTTAAATTTAGGCTGAAGTGTGGTGGATTGTGAAATTTAATTTGTTAACGATACCAACGGTAATAAATTAAAACGAGTGACTTTGAAGGAAGTTTAGTTGAGAAATTATTTTACTGATAATGAAGATCATGAAACTGAAATAGAAAATTATTTAATTCAACACTTAAGTGTCAACAAATATTTTTAAAATATTTTTTTAATCATTAATATTTTTTTATGTGCATAAAAATCTTCCATAAATGGTTCAACACATTTAAGCTTGTTAACTTATCTAAGTAATTCAGATAACAATTTAAATCTGAAAATTTTACTAATTCCTTGCATACAGATTTGACTTAATTATGATGATAGTAAATTTCTTGTCAAAACTTTTTTCGTTTAGTTAATAAATAAAGAGATTAGCAGACATTCTTAAAATAATAAAAATTAATTTTATTGTCACTCCATTGAAAATCGTTCACAAAGAAAATCTTTCAACAATATTTATGATGTGGAAATTTCTCTTTGTTTGCATTTCTTGTTTTTATTTAGGGAAATTATTTTGATGTTAAATTGTGGAAGGAATTTCACATTTCCAACTTACTCTATCGTATTGATAAAATGGACGGCTTGGTCCTGCACGGCCGTATAAATATGGATAATATGCGCCATACATTACTTCTGAACACATGACGTTTATTTTCAAGTTAAAATTTTTAAACGTTCCTTTATAGGTCGTAATTAATTTGCAAGTAGGTGGGGGATTAAGTTTGAATCTTGTCTTTTATTTGTAAATATTTTACACTTTCATTTCACTTTTCAAACGCATTAAAATATTTAATCCAAATGAATGGTGAAGTTGACAGCTACTGATGTTCAGCACAATCCTTTGCAAAATATTCCTTTCATTAATTTTAAGATTTTAAATATTTTATCTTTCGCCACATTCTTTTAATTTTTTAGATCATCAACCAACAAGTAAATCATTTCCTCGAAATTTCTTTGTATCTTAAAATTTTTAAGAATGCAACAAATGCTGTTGTTTTGAAATATTTTTCACTCGATCAAATAACTTGTCGTTTTATAAACTTTTTTTTCGATTAAAATCTCTAGCGTATTTCAACACTCATCACACTTAATTCAATAATATTTAAAGTGGCTAGGCAACATTTTTTGCAAATATTTTTCACGCTCGTGTATTGAATTATTTTGATATTTTTCTTCTGATTTATGCTCTTGAAATGATATCAAGAAATTTAATTTCACTCAATAATTCACGGAGAGCTTTCAATTCTTCACACGAACGATACGCAAACAAAAACGAAACTGAGAAAGAAAAAAATAATTCATGCAACTCGATTGATGTTTCAACATTGACACGCCTTCAAGAGGGCGTGGCTTGTAACCTGTTATGCAAAATATCGTCTCAATACATTAAAACCATTTTTATCATAAGAATGAAAGATGGAGAATGCAATATCGTTCGTTTTAATTTACTGTCAAAACTACTAAGTGAACTAACATTGTGAGAGTTTCGACAGTTCTAGGATGCAAGATTTATAGGATAAACATTTTGTGATAAATAATTTTTGCTGCCATCATTTATGATTTCATATTTCACGAAGAGAATTTGCTGGCAAATTACTACTCGGAAATGAATGCATGAAAAAATGTTTTTCCATTTGAATTGAAATAAGCATAAATATGATATGATTTATTGTAGATTATGTTTATGATCCGAAGTCTCATTGGTTGTTTCTTGATAGTGTTAGTGAGTGTAGGAAATGTGGAAAGTTCACAGAAAATGTCACAAAATTGAATTTTGTAAGCGATTAAATTAAATTTTAAAGAAAAAAAGATTTGAAATACTTATCCAGATATTTTTCTTTAATAATAATGACTGTAATTGGAAATTTGTTGAATTTTTTTATTAGAATTTGCATAAATATTCCAATTGATAAAATTGGAATTAAGAATTTTTTTTTGATATTCCTGAAATTATTTTGAAATATTCCTGAAAATATGAAACAAAATATTAATAATGAAATAAAGTAAAGAAAATTTTAGTCACTACAAGTTTTCATTTATTTATTATTATTGAAATTCATGTGTCAAATGGAACAAAAAGACTCGATTTAAAAGCCTTAAATTTAGTTATTGGTATAAAAAAGAAATCAATCGATGAGCAAATAAAGATGTGACTAGGTTGTAAAATAAATTTTCTATCGCTTTTTTGATCAAATTATGAAACCAGTCACATTTTCCTTACTTTCGATTATAACGAAAATGATGAGATAAACTAATTTAATGTGTATTAAGATTAATAAAGTGAAATAGTACATGCTTTGTCCATTTTTTATCTTTACATTAACGATGATTCCACAAGTATCAACGTTTCTTCTTTTCAATTCTTCATATAGCAAATTTTACTCTTTTCTTAATAAAGTATAAAAAGTAGAAAATTTTTCTTAAACATTCAAGTTTTGTGAATCACTTCCAAGTTCGTCTCAAATCATGCATGATTCAGCATGTTCATCCCACGCCATTTCCTACAATTTAATAATATAATTTATGTTTACACGTGAAACTGAGACACGATCTTACCTGACATTCCTTGCTGCAATACCATTGACGGGAGCAACCAGCACACATGAAAAATGCTTTATTCTTTTTACATCCTTGACACAAAAGATCAGAAACTGACTTCACATTGCTTCGCTCACTGGCATCAAAATCTTCAGTTTCGTCAATCACCAAAGGTGGTTCCAATGAATTATCTTCATCTTCCTTTAATTTTTAATTACAAATTTATTAACTTTATGCCCAAAAGAATTAAAACTTACCATTGAAAAGTCTTTGTTACGGGAATTATTAGCACCGATGGGTGTAATTGTAATTTCGCCATTATGATGAACTTTTCCGGAAGACTGTCTTGTCATCGATTGACTTGTTTGTTTTATAGGTGCACCTTGAAATGATCTTTCCGGTGCTGTAAGCAAACGAGCAAGTGTTGATGTTGATGGTAACGCTGAATGATTTGGATGAAATCCAACAGGACTTTTGGTTGACTGCTGAAAGTTTAAATTAGAAAATTAAATTCAAAGAAATTTAAATGACTTAAAAGGAAATTTACTTTCGTTAGAATTGATTGTAAAAGAGACGATTTTTGACCACTTAAATGTGCACCAGAAGGCCCAGCAACATTCGAAAGATTCTTGTACAAGTTTTGAACTGGATGAAGACTAACTTCAGGATAACCAGAATTTGATTTCATTGTGTTATTGAAGTCGTGATTATTGTTGGAAGCATTTGCAAGAAATTCATTTCTATCGCTACTTTGGTTATCAAAAAATCCACTGCCGAAACTACTCTTCATGCGACGTCCACGTCGTGGAATTTCTTGTGGATTTTTCTGACGGAAATCATTTATAATCGATTGAACATCTACAATTTGTCCTTGTCGTCCTTGGCCATTGCCATTTCCTTGCAAATTATTCCATTGAGATGACAACTGATTACTTTCATAAGTGTTTGAAGCTGATACAAGGTCATCATGTCTTTGTTTCTCATCTCGTCTCAACATACTTGCACGCACATCTTGTATCAGACGACTAACAGATTCTGACGACATTCGAAAATGCTTCTCGTAATTATCAGCTTCTGAATTTGTTGTTGTGCTTGACTTGGAACTGATGATTGGATGTGAGCTGCTATTATTATTATTATTACTACTACTGTTATTACCACCGACATTCTCCGGCTTCTCACCGAATGCTTCAATCTCCATCACAGCTTTATGTCTTCGAATCTTCTCCATCAACTCACGAATTTTATATTTTATGTGAACTTTTTCATTCCATAATTGTTGAGCTTTTTCAATCTCTTGTTTGTTTTGATGTAAACAAAAGAAAAGTTCTTCTTTAAATTCATCTAATGTTGGCGTTTGGTCAGAATTTTTGATAACATATCGATTGAAAATGTCGTCAATACTGGAATTTGCTATTTCATGAAGTAAATTGCTTTCTTGGTTTGAAGATTCATTTGAGTTCTCCGTGACTTGATTCACTCCTTGTGGCTCTTCAACATTTTCTTCTGACTTTTCTGGTTGCGAAGACGTCTCTTTAGTAATGTCAGTTGCTTTCTTTAACTCTTCACCTTCAGTACTTTCCTTCTCATTTAATGGTTCAGTTTCAATCTTAAGCGGTTCATCAACTTCCATTTCTTGTGGTTTATCTGGTTGAGTTTTACTATCCTTTTCTTCATTCAATTCATTTGCATTTTCATGTTCATCAGATGAAGGAATTTTAGGATTTTCACATTTATTTTTTTCCTCGAGTGGATTTTTCACTTCATTTTCCTTCTCTTTTTCCACTTGAACGTTCTTAAGAATTTTTTTCCTTTCTACACGCTTTCTTGTGAGGAATCTTAAAGATTTTTTAACAAGACGTTGTGCTTGTAGTACATGTGGCTTTAATGCAGACTTCATTGCCTTTTCACGCAACATATTGAACTCTTCTTCTCCATCTGACTCATCTGAACCGCCAATGACATTATTATCTACGGAGAACTCACCATCGCTGTGATATTCGGAAGTTTCTTGAGGAATATCATCGTCGGAATCATCTAAAGCAATTGGCTCATCATTTGTTGGCATTTGAAAAGACTTTTTGGCTGATTGCTGGTTATGTTGAATTGTTGCTGCAACTGCACGTTTCATCATTGCATCATCGTCATCTTCCTCATTTTCTGAGCTATTTCCAGACTCAGACTCTTGATAATCAGCTAAAGTTTGATTTTACTGAATTATTATTTGATAATTTTTATTAGAATGTTTAATTTACCCAATTCGTCTTCATCTTCCTCTTCACAAACTTCCTCTTGTTCTTCTATCAACTCGTTTGATTGTTCAGGAACTTCTTCAAGCATCTCATCAGCATCTCCTTCTTCTTCCTCACCTAAGTTTACAACAGATGATGATATCATTACAGCTATATCCAGCACATCTGTGTTTAACTCATATTGTATCTCGGAACTTTCATTTTCCTTCACAGTTTCATCTTTATCTTGACTTTTATCTACAACTGATTGCGATGGTACTTCGATTGTTGATATTTGTCCGTCAGTAATTGTTAAAGTTATTTTCGAATCCTTCAAAAACAAATTTAAATTCTAAATTTGAAGAATTTAATTAAAAAAACTTACAATTTCTGAAGCATCTTCATTTTGACTTTCATCAATTCGAAACTTTTTTGGTGAATTTTCATCAGTATCCAGATCCGACTCATTCAATTGTCTTTTTGTTTTTGTTGTTGTATCGAGAACTGGCTCAGTTGTAGATTCATCTTTGAGCTCCGACAAAGCATCTATGTTTATTGAACCATCTGATATTTCAACAATTTCTATCGATTCTGACATGATTGGAGATAACTTCAACTTTGACTTTGGCACAGTTTAGTTGATTTTATTTTATTTTCGGTGGTGCACTTTATTATGTGGAAACAAATTGAACGTTTTGCTCTTTATTATTAATTTCTCATGTTTTTGGACATTACACAAGTTTCTTTCGAGAAGTTATTCGATCAACAATATTGTATGAAACCACTAAAAAATTAACTAAATGTCAAATAATATTCTTTAATTTGTTGACTTTTATTTCATTCGATACTTGCGGCTGAAAAATTGAACTCATGGGCTGACTTTCATATAAGAGTCGAAATAACAAGAAGGAAAGTCCAGGTTTTTAAGCAATCGAATTGTTATTTATTTTTTTAAATTAATATTAAAGTGTTTGTAGTAAAAACATATTTTGAAATTATTGAATAAACAAAAATACTTGAATTCATCTTTTCAAGGTAACTTTTACAATTGATTTAAGAAATAGTCAACCCGAAAATAAATTCGCACCCCTCAGTTTTGAAAATTAGTTTTGACCCCTCAAAACAATGATGAATTATAAATAATAAACCGTTACAATTTTATTCGAAAGAAATATTTTTATTTTTAAAATCCATTTTTAGATTATCTATGCTGTGTATCACTACTTTGCATTTTTTCATTGTTAAATTCTATTACCAATGGTTGGTAGGAATGGCTACATTTTATAATCATTCAAAGTTAAATATTCTCTTCAACTTAGAGAAAACATAATGTTAATCATTTTTCGTATGAGTTTTTCTCATCATATTAAGTGAATAAATTTCTGGTCGAAATGTTGGAGGCAACGATGATTGAAGATCAGGATATGTTTGCTGTGCAACAGGAAATTGAGTAGATGACAATTCAGGTCCAGTTTCATGTTCACTTCTTCTTGAAGGTTCACTTTGTCTTGGAATCTAAAAAATTTCATGATTTTTAATTTAATAAAATGTTTAATTTAATTATTTTAAAGAAAATTTGCCTTTGGAAAAGTGATCGGAGAGAATATCTCATGATCAACTGATGAATTTGAAGTAGTACTATTATTTCTTCCAAAAATGGCACGATGAAGTTTAGGCGAACCCAACAATTTCTTCTCTTTACAACTTGAAGATGACAACGAAAGTTTGGAGAAATAAGGAATTCCTGAAATCACAGAACCCCCGCCACCACCACTGTTAGGTGCAGAATTCTTCCGAAGAACTTTCGATGACGATAAAACATTTTGTTGATAAGATCCTTGAACAAAACTTTGTTGCTTTAAAATGTCATTTTTGTTTTTTGATTTCCTTAAACTTCCAGGATTTCCTAAGCAACTTGTTGTCGCTTCTTCTTTGTCAGATGACATCATCCAGTTAAAGCCACTTTTCTTTTTCAAAGAACCTGATGGAACGATTTTATCACCACGTTTAGAACTCCAAAGTTTCTCATTAATCTTCATGTTGTCCATGTTACAAGCTGGATCGTCGCCATTAATCAATTCATATCCAAAATCTCTCAACTTCTGACCTTCCTTCGTTCGAGTATATAAAATTGCTTTGTCATCAGGCTTGAAGCTTTGAGCATAGTCAGGTGTGATCGGAAGTGTTCGTTTCTGAATTTTCTCGATATGTGGATCAGGTTTGGGTGGCACGACGGGCTTCTCTTGTTTCTTTTGCAATGATCGTTCATCTATCTTTTCAATTCCTTGTTCAACTCTCTTGTTGTACATATCTTTCTTCTCTTCATCAAGTTGCTTTTGCATCAAATCCAACAACGTCATTCCCGTTTGATGATCCCAATTACAGGTTGACGAATTAGCGGTTGGAAAATCCATCGTGGAATGAAAATTGAAATCTAAAAGATTCGGATTGGATGCATGTAAGTAGTTGAGTGATTTTTTGTTATGTTTATGGAATATTTCATTGTCATCTTGTTTCTTAAGTTCTTCTTGAATCTCAACATTCATCACATCGTCCATCGGCTTCTTTCGTGAATCAATCGAGAAACCAGACAAGATCGATGAGTTATCAGCACCAGATTGCAAATACATGTCAGAAACATTTGTGTTGATCATCGACGTCGCTCCTAATTGCAGTCCGCCGTTGCTTTCCTTCACTTTTTTATAAGTTTTAAACTGCGCTGTTGGAACAATGTCAGCTGATTTCTTCTCAGCACTTTTATTTGACGAGAAGAAACCCAAAAACTTATGATCAGATGGTGAAGAATTCTCACCAGTATTGGCACTTGGTGACGTGTTCGATCCACGTGCAAATTTTTTCAACGATCCAAAGTTCAAGTGATAATGTTTCGCTGATGGAGGTGTTTGATCGATTGGCGTTGTTTTCTCATTTACAGCGTTTAACTTTAATGGCGATGGAGTACAAAATTGCTTATTCGACAAAACATCAAACTCATCGTCGGAACATTCAGTTTCGGAGAATAATTCTTTTGGCTCACATTCAAGATTTGTTGTTCCTTTCATCGTTGCTTGACGAATATATTCCATCCATTGAGCGAGTGCTTCAGCTGTTTCAGCTGCCAGATAGAATGTCTTCTTCGGATGATAAACTTTAAATGCATGTTGCTTTGAATGAACCTCTTTAGCCAATGAAATTGTAAAACCACCAAGATAAATCACACAATCAGCTTTCTGAGCTTCTTTGTTCTTAAAACCATACAAAGCGGTCTCAATGAGAACGAAATAAAGTTTCGCCCAATATGCGACTTCCGTTTTATCTTTTGCTCTTCGATATAAATGTCCTTGTATTGTTGTACTCGTGCCAAGTGATTTGAGGGCAATTTTTCGTCTTTTAGCCATCAATGAATTCTTCTTTTTATTTGTTAAAGTTTTTACTTTTGCTGGTGTTACGAGTTCACTTTCTTCATTGATTTCTTCATGAATGAATTTCTTTTTAGGCTTTTCTAAAAGAGTTGGTGGCATCGGTTGTTGTTGCTGTTGCTTTGTAAGTGAATTTGTAGAAGGCACTCGTTTAATTGGCACAGTCATTGAAACTTCGACGGTCTTGTTATTTTTCAAATCAATGACGTTTGCAACTTTTGACTTATTTTCGTCATTTGACTCGTTCGTCTCAGGAGTTAATTTCACAAATGTCGGATTAATGTTTGCATTTTTTCTTGGTGGAACTGGCGGAATTTTCACTGATTGTTGTCGTGGTTCAATGGCTGGTGGTTGAGTGTCATCTGAGTCGTAAGTTGGTGTGCTGTGACTTTTATCAAGACGACCTCTTTTCACAGTTTCACGACTCACAACAATTGAATTGATTGCTTCAACATACGATTCGCTAGGACGATTTTCGAAGTAAGTTCGCGGAGCTGGTTTTGGTGGATCTTGTAAATAATTCTCGTCATTCCTTTTCTCGAGTGTCACTTCTTCGTCTGCATACGGAATTGGCATGAATGACTCAATTATTGTATCTTCAATATTGCAAGTATATTTAGGATCATGATTGTAATCCAAAGACTTGTTCGAATCAAATCTTACAACTTTACTGACACCTGATTGAATTTTTCCTTGCGTTTGCTGCTTTTCATCACATTCTTCAATCGTCTCGCTGATTTCCGAAGCTTTTACCATACTTGGCAATGAATTCTTTAGTCGGTTTGCTGACATGTTGTCACTTAAACCTAAACAAGTCGTCGGACGTTGCGTCAATTCAAGACCAAAACCAAACGAAACTGATTTGTCACGTAAGCTTGGTGAATCTAAATTCTCTTTGTCGATTCGACGATTATGCCATAAAACAAGATTTCCAATGTTTTGAAAACTTTTCAAGTCATCACCACAAATTGTGTGTCGTCTTTGAAGAACATTCGCTCGTGGTTTCGGTAAATACAATCTCAACTCCTTATCTGATGTTTTAATCTCTGTTGGTGTTTCACTTTCATTTTCACTTGAATCTTCAATGTCGGAAACGATTTCTTTCTTGTTGATTTTATATGAAGGTGGTAGAAGCAAGTCAGGCATATTAAATAATTCAACTCGAGGACTTGGCAGGTTGTCCCATCGAAACGGAATCGATCTCTTCTTACTCGGCAATTTTATTAACCCAAGTTGTCCATAAATCTTTGCATGCTTTGGTCTCTTCTTTAACGTCAGCAAAACATCTGTCGGAGACTCTTGAAGTTGCAACATGACCGTCTTGTAAGGCCAACCAACAACTGTCTGGTAATTGATTTGAACAATTTCATCTCCATCTTCAACTTTTCCAGAATTATGTGCGGGTGAATTGTATTTGATGTCAGTAATCCTGTTTAAAACATAATTAAAAACTGTTTTCAGTGTTTATCCCTTCAACTTACCTGTGTATAAACTGATAACTTGGCATGATGTAAAATCCCAATTCAGATTCTTTTTTCTTGAGAGTAACTAAATCAAGATATGCTGGTTGAAGAATCAAAGGATCTGTGATGTCCTGAATAATGTAATCTAAAAGTTTCGACAGTTTTTCAGCTAATGTTGTTAATTGTTTGATTGGGTTCTCAGCAAATCTTCCCCTTTGAGCGATTGTTGCAAGCTCTAATCCTAATTTAAGCATCTGCACTCTTATTTCACTGTACTGCGTGTGACCTTTTATGAAATTAAAAAGTATAAAAAGTTGAATTCTATAATTCAATTCACTTTCTCACCTTGAAATGGAGATCGATCAAGCCAACCGATTAATGTCTTCATTTTCGCTAAAGCTCTCGTTATATCACTTAAAATTTGAGTTCCCAATTCTGCTTCTGGATTGTAAGTAAGTTGTTTATAAAGAGATGTACTGATGGTGCTTACTTGCATCGACAAGTATTGTAAGTTCTCTTTGTCGAGATTGTAATGCTGTGGAAAAACGAGAATGAATCATTGCAATTTCCGGTCAGAGATAAAAATAACTTACAAAGTTTTTTAAATGTTCAACAGCTTCGAGAATGACTTCTTGATGACCAACAGACACAATACCTAGTTGTTCAAGCTCATATGGTCTGATTCCCAATAATCGTCGTCCATCGATTTGATTATTTGCAAAGGCTTTGATATAAACACTGCTCATGAATTCTAAGCCTGTTAACAGATTGAAATTAATAAAAATTGATGAAACCTTACAATCATTCTTTACCTTTCAACCAATTTAAAACGTCAGATGTCTTCCAATCTACAACATTTAATGTTGGGGCAATATAAATCATGTAAGACATTTTGCTTTCAAATTTTTTATTGCACTTTACTTAATATTATCACAATCACATTTAATCAATAGCTTGATAACAATCAAGACAAGACGTCAAAAATCACTGGAAACGACAAAATATCGAATAAAATAGATTATTTCAAGAAGATTTGTCTATAAACAAAATAAAAGGCGAGATTTTCTCATTAACTATTTTGTTGCCCGCTGAAAATGACGGAGAATCGTTGCAGTGTTCATCCGACAAAGTTGCACGTAAACATAATTTTCTTAAACCTTCTACAGTAACTTCTTTCTGTATAATCTTTTGTTTTCTTTCCTCTTAAGTGTCTTCCTCTCATACGTCTTTTTTTGTTGCGATTACAAAACGTAAAAATGAAAGTAAAAAACTCTTATTTTGCTTTTACATTTTATTGAAAAAGCGGTAAATTTTTTTCGATCTTACATGAAGATGCTTGCCATCATAGAAAAAAGAGGGGAGGAGGTTAATTTGTATTCAATGTTAGCGAAGATGCCTGTGGTCAAAGACCTACTTTCAGATATTTTGAAGTAAGTCTTATAGTGCCTTTAAATCTTCGGGCAGTTCACTTTTGGGATGCTTGTTTTCATAGTGTTGTTTGTAAGTTTTTGGATCAGGCATTTGACTCTTACAAATTACGCAAACGATGCTCAAAGCCTTCGCTGCAGCTGCCTTTTGATCAGCCAAGCTATGACCCTAAAAACAGATGTCTTAATTTTTTTCATATTTGCATAAAGAAAAACATTGAAAATGTTTTCTTATTTTATATGTCGTTGGGTTATTTACCTGCTGTTTCTTAGCTTTGGCTGACTTTTCTGCAGCTTTTTGTTGAGATTGTATCTTTTGCTGACCTCTTGCCATAGGTAATCTACCTATATCAGTTCTTCTCGAAAAAAAATTTTAAATGTGCCTGCGATACTTTTTAAAAATTGAAGAATAATTCTCGATTCAAATGTAATTTCTTAATTCTATTTAACGCACCACTGGGAAGAAGTAAAAAGTCTTCGAATTTCTTTCAAAGAGAAAGCAATTTTTTAAATATTTTAGGCGAAAATTTAAAGACTTAAGACTTAAGATGTTGGTGAATTAGGTGACGATTCGAAGAGGAGAAAAGAAACACAATGCTGAGGGAAAAAGCTACGTTCGTCTTTACAAGTTGAGAAAAATAGCTTTTTATGTTGAATTGCGTGTATTGTTGTTGAATATCATCAGACAGACACAAATGATTTCTTATTTAATCTCAACACATCATGTTAACAATTTTGTAAAGGCAAATATTCAGAAATGATATAAATATTAAACAAAAGCGCCTAATTCAAATGAATAAACATGACTGACACAAGTTCTCAATTAACGGAAGAGCAGAGAAAATTTCGCTTCAAGGCAGCTGCTTTTCTTTTTGGTGTAGCAGGTAAATATTTTAACAAAATCATTAATTTATTTAATAACTTTGTGATTTTTATTAAACAGGAATTTCAGCCGTTGCTGGATTTGGAAGAACACTTGCTGCTGTAAAAAAGACGGATCCAAATAGTTTTAACAAAGGAATGGTTGGATCAATAGAATTAGCTGAAACAGGATCGAATTTAGCAATGCGAGCACTTGGTTGGGGAACATTATTTGCTTTTATCGGAACAGGATCATTGGCTTTAGCAATATGGAAACTTTCAGGTGCAAAGGATGTAAGTTGCGAATATAAAGTAGATAAATTAAAGAAATTAAAATACCTACTTTAATATTTTCGTAGTTGAATGATTTCCGAATGAAATGTGGTTCCGTCCTACCAAAAATACCGAAAAATGAAACCCCCACCAGCAGAACAGAATTTGAGGGCTTGACAGATCTTATGACATATTTATCAACATGGAAGAAATAAAAATATTGTTATTTGAGAACCGTAGTTAATTAAATACCTAAATATTATAAAAAATTGTTTCTTTTTGAAAAATTTGTTATTGTTTTGATATTTTTTCGCTCTCCTCTCTCACATTTGCCGCTCTCTCGAAAATATGTGTAGTAGTGTTAGTGTGTTATAAGTTGAAGTTTTGCAAGCAACTGAGACAAATTATTCAAAGTTTTAAGAAAAATACAGGAAAAGTAAGCATAATTATAGTCAATTATTACTCATAAGTGACTCCTTTATCAGTAAAACATCAAGATTCCATCAAAAACTTTTAATCTTCATTAAAATTGATAAAAGTTTGCATTATTAACCTAAATTTTGTTTAGTCATCAATTCAAAATATTAAAAATTTATTTTAATTTCTTAGTGTTTCTTACACGATCAGAATATGATAGAGGTGTCAACACGTACTCACCAGAAGGTCGTTTACTTCAAGTTGAATATGCTATTGAAGCAATTAAGTTAGGATCAACAGCCATTGGAATTTCAACTAATGAAGGTAAATAATGCAATTTCATCCTCCACTAAATTTACAATTCAAGTTCTCTTTAAGGCATTGTTCTGGTTGTTGAAAAGAGAATAACATCACCATTAATGGAACCATCGAAAGTTGAGAAAATCTTCGAAGTTGATCGTCACATCGGATGTGCAACGTCTGGACTGATGGCCGATTCCAGAACTTTACTTGAACGCGCTCGAGTTGAAGCTCAGAATCATTGGTTTGTGTATAATGAACCTATGTACGTCGAATCTTGTGCTCGTTCTGTGTCAAATTTGGCTATTCAATTTGGTGATTCAGATGACAGTGGATCAGCAATGAGTCGACCATTTGGTGTCGCAATTTTATTCGCTGGAATCGACAATGGAGTTCCTCATTTATATCACATGGATCCTTCAGGCACACTTTTGCGATATAATGCCAAAGCTATCGGTTCAGGAAGTGAAGGCGCTCAACAGAATCTTGAAGAACTGTTTTCACCCACCCTCACATTAAAGGAAGCTGTCGTCAAAGCTTTGGAAACATTAAAACAAGTGATGGAAGAGAAATTAAGCTCAACCAACGTCGAAGTTATGACAATGACTCCTAAAGATCTCTTCTACATGTACACAAAAGAAGAGGTTGAAGCTGTTATTGCTGATTTGTAAGATAAAAAATTTCATTAAAACAAAAATCTTTTCTTCTTTTTTTTTGCTAAATTTCTTAAAGAAAATTAATTAAGTAAAGGCGCTGCTTTTATGAAGAAATAATAAAATAAATTTGAGAGGGAATCTGCTTTTATTCATTTTATACAAAGGAATTTTCTAAGCATTTGACGTTTTCAGGATTCGGTTGAATTAAACAACGAAAGTTGAATCTCTTGCTGAACCGTTCCGTACATCGAATGAAATGAAAAGCAACTGCGAGTGTTCGACAGAAGATAAGATTTTTTAATTTTCTCATGGGATTTTCATTTTCCATTCATTTTCCGTTCCATTTTATACTTTTTCATTAAATGAGTATTAAAAAGCTTTTGTGTACTTATCGTTTCACATTGAAACGTTTAGATGTAGATGGTTGAGGGGTTATTCGTGAGTTAAGTCACTTTCTTTTATGCGTTGTGATGAACAAAGATAAGATGAGTACTCGTCGTTATTCCTGAAGAAGATTTAGGTAATTCATGTGGTTTAAATTGCCTTTGGCTTATTCAATAAACACGAATAATTGAGAAATTAAAAAAAATTGCTTCAAAGTGTGTTGAAGTAACCAGAGGCGCTAAAAAGCTGCCATCCTGACATGTCTTAATACATCTCAAAAAAAAAACCTTGAAACCACACAGACTCCAACTTTATTAGGTCAACATTCAACATAATAAAGTGACGCTTTGACATGTTGATGGAGGACATTTTTAAATCACATTTCACTCTGTCTTCACCGCCTCAACCACCTTTTTTTTGTGAGTGTGAATTTATTTCAATTTAATAAACCATGACCGCAAAAGAAATAAAAAAAATGTGATTTTGATAATTTATGGGATTTTCATTAGCCGAAGTGACAACATTGCGTTTCAAAATATCTAACAGGGATATTTAATGTGAAACTGAATACTGTAATTTATCTGTACAGCTTGAAAGATGTTGACAACCAATAAAGCCGTACGTAATTTTCCGAACATATGCGATAATTACTTTGCGGTTCATAAATCGAGAAGAATCATCGTAACGGGTTTTGCAAGCAGGAATTTTTTGTTTTTGTTTTTATCATTCGCAAGCACCACAATTCTATTATGTTGTTATGTTCATGTTTACATTTGAATTAAATTAAAACTATTATTTCCATTGAGAACATAAATGAACAATGATTTCGGATAAGGGTGGGATTGTTGAAGGTAGAAGGGACATGTTTAGATATGTGTCGAGTGTAAATAATCTTTTTTCTTTCCTTCTTGGCTTGGAATCTCATCCAACCGTGAAAAATACAATTTTGCTGTTTTACGTAATCATTTAATAATCTCCAAACTATTCAAAAGAAAATCTATGATCAAATTGAGAGATTGCACATCATCTGATGAGGGTGAAAATGGTAAAAGTTAAAATTTATTACAGAATGTACAAGTTGACAACACACTCACATTAGATGGTCGGATACTATTCCTGGGAAAAAGAAATTATCTGCAATTCCACAATAATCTGTCAGAGAAAGGGTGTCGCTTTTAAAACTGTCAGAATATTCAACTTTCCACTTGACTTCCATTAGCTTATTTAATTCTCATGTAAGGAAGTGTAATGCTGAATGCCGATAAAGCGATTTGTTGCCACACTTGCATAATCCACAAAATCTTCCTGTCAAAAGGCAAGAAGCGTGCTTAGTTAGCCTTTTCAATTGTTGTCATCTTCGAGTGCAAAGATTTGTTTAATTAAATTTCCTTGAATTTTCAAGGACTTCCAACGAGCTTGAACCGTCATTTTCTCAATGATTTCCCGAGGCATAAGCAGCTTGACTTACAAGTATATGCTCCACTGACATTAGCAGCATAAATCATAATTCAAAATAGTGAAGAAATCATACAATTGAATCAATTAAATTTTGCAATTTTCTTCAATAAGAAATTTTTTGTTAAATCCAAATCGAATTATTATCGTTGATGGAAAGTGTTGCAATTTATAATTTGAATATTTGTCTACTTACAAAAGTCATAAAAGCAGTTAAATGTAAATTGCACAATTCAGTATTATGTCATAAATAGCTTTCCACTGCCTTCATCTCAATCATTACTTTTGAAAGACCACTAACGAGAGAGAAAATTGTTCATGTTATAAGCTTTAACTTTACGCGCTAATTAATCTTTAATGTTAAATTAAATCATTGTTAAAGACAAACGATCTCAGATAATTAGACAAACGAGGTTCAATTTCAACTTCAAATTAAATATCTAACAAAGTTTCATTTCCATGTAAATATTACATCAGAATTAATTATTTTAAAGACAATTTTTTAAGGTTTTTAAAATCAAAGACGTAAATAGTTTTTATTTTTTTAGTTTCGATTTTCTTTTATCTTCTCGCTTTTCGTTCTTCATGAAAAGATCAGTTTTACAATCAATTTCAATAATTTCATAGAAATGCTAGGATTTTGTGTGAAAATTTCATTTCACTCAAGATAAGGATGTGAAGGTTTTAAATAATATTATCAAACTGCTTGTTAATCATTTCCAAAAAATTACATTTTCTTATAATTACAGTAGCATCACATTTAAGAGGAGATTTCCATTTTGTAATTATTCAGCATGATTTTTCAAGACGTTTGGATTGATGGATGGAAATTAGTTTCTGAGGGCATAGCGTAAAAAGGTCACATTTGTGATGTAACAAACATTGTTTTGATCGTAGGAATTTGGGGGAAAGGATAAGCTTCATTTTTGGTTGGTGACATTCTTAATTCTTTCAAGCCTTTACGACGAACGAACGAATTAATAATTATTTAATAATGATGTTCATATGACGAGTGGGATTGTTCATAAGAACTGTGGGGAGCCTCATAATGGGATTGTTCATGGTGATGGTGTTGGGGTGGGGAGACTGGGACATGGACAGGTGTTGGGATTTCCTTGTGAACTGGGAATTTCACTTCTTTGTGGACAATATGTGGACGATCAATTGGGACTTTGACTTCATAAGGTGAAGGCTTTTCGACGATATAAGGAACTTTCTTGATGACTTCGTAAGGTTGGGGAACTGGATAAGGAACCTTAACTTCGACCTTCTTTTCAACTTCAACAGTGTAAGGCTTGTCAACTGGGATCTTCACTTCATAAGGGATCTTCTTTTCAACTGTGTATGGGACCTTGACTTCCTTCCAGACTGGATAAGGTTTTGGAACTTCAACGGGGTATGGTCTGTCAACTGGTACTTTCACTTCATATGGAACTTTCTTGATGACCTCGTAAGGCTTTGGAACTTCGACGGTTTTCTTAACCTGTTGTAGATATTTACAAATTAATTTATGATTGAATTGTTTGTGAAAGGAAAATCTTACTTCATAAGGGACCTTCTTGATGACTTCGTATGGTTGTGGAACGTATTTTTCAACAGTGTATGGGACCTTCTTGATGACTTCATAAGGTTCTGGGACGAACACTTTGACGGGGTATGGTTTTTCGACAGGTACCTTCACTTCATAAGGAACTTTCTTAATGACTTCGTAAGGCTTTGGCACCTCAACTGTGTATTTTTGAACTTCTTTCACAGTGACTGGATATTTCTTGATGACATCGTATGGTTGTGGAACGGAAACCTTCACTTCAACTGGAATCTTTTTTAAGAAGATACAAAAGAGAACATTATTACTTTTATTTTCAACCTTTCACTTTGTAAGCGTAGTCATGGTCATGATATAAATAAAAGTGAAAGAAAATTATCGAAGATCAGACAATTTAAAGCTTTTAATGGTTTCTTTTATTTATTTTGGATTAAAAAGATAGACCTGTAACAGCTTTTAAAACTCTTTGTACACGCAACTTGTTTCATTTAAACACTTTGCAATTTCATAATCGCTTTTCAACATTTTCAATGAAATCAGGGAAGGAATTATTTATTATTCACTTTACGAGAGCTTAATCCATCGTAAGCTTTTATCTTTTTCGTTTTCGTGACTTAAACATGAGATTATATCATAAAGATTTGAATGTCATAATGTTTTCTTTTTCAGTCATAGTTATTTATTTATGTGGATTGTCTTAGTAAATGAAGTCGGTAATTTTTGGAATTAGAGCATGGATAATTACATTACAATTTGTACTTACTTTTTTTTCAACTGTGTATGGGATTTTCTTCACAACTTCGTATGGAACTGGATATTTCTTTTCAATTGTGACAGTTTTAATATGTTCATGATGTCCACCGCCACCACCTGATGACCATCCATGATCTGAACCACCTCCATATGATCCACCGAAAGATCCGTAAATTCCACGTTTCTCGATGTTTTGTGACTCTTCTTGCAATTTCTCTGTTTCTTTTTTGGCTTCTTCACATGAAGCTGTTGCCACCAATAAGGCAACACAGCAAGAAATTAAGATCTATATCACAAGACGAAATAAAAATCCATTAAAACTCTTCTCGTTTAGTGAGTGAAATATTTTCTAATTTAATTCAACTTTAAACTCATTCATTGAGCTTTCATTAATATCAATTAATTCACATGTTTTCGCTTAATGATCTTCATATCACTTTTAACTTTTTAATTCACAAATTTTCACTTATATGATTTCTTAATTAATCCAAATTAATAAATGATTAAAACAATTACCATTCGCATTTTAACCGAAAGCACTCAAAAAATAGGAAAGAGACCAAAACAGGTACTGAATTAAAATCGACTATGTTACTCGTATTTATATCATACACAACTTACACACAAATTTTCCCACTCCAAAATCCCAGATTGTCTAAAAAAAATAAAAAAAAGTAATGAGCATATTGTAATTATTAAAACTACTCTACTTTATTATTGTATAATGCAACTTTCATGCTTTTATTGGAACTTCCAAAGCACATACAAATAAAAGTTCACTCAACTTCAATCAATTATGCTACATATAAATACGAGAAGGTAGCTTAATACAGCATTTTTTTGTGGTTCATATGTTAACCATTAACTTCACCCAAACCGACGAATGTCAATCTTGAAGTTTTGCACATAATTCAGATGACAAAAAAAAGCAACATGAAGAAACTAGATCAGTATGTAAGTAGTATTTACCAAGCGATTACTAGTATTATTATTATTTATTGGCGGTTTTATACAAGCCTAAATAAAACGAAGCAGCAATCAAATGAAGAAAAGTGCACAAGAAGACAAGAAAAACGTGAGCCGAAAACATGTCTATCAACTTATTACTAGCATCACTCCCGCCCGGTGGGCAACTTTTCTTTTCATGAATAAAACTCAGATGCATGTTGATACGAACACAACAACAGAATATTATGTAAACAAATTCAAGATTTATATTGCAAAATGTATTTTTTAAAGAAAGTCTTACATAATTTACGTAATTATAATTATTGATTGAACGAAATACTAGCAGCATTGGATATGTTACACTTTTGGCAGTTTGATTTGGCGGTTAGCTTGCTGTTGCTTGTTGTACAACAAAAAGAAGAGGAAAATAGAAGAAATAAAAAATGATTTTGCTCAAAAACGTGAAGCTTCAAAATCACAACATTCATTGATGAAGTAAAAAAAAGATTTCATTGAATTAATGGATAAGGTAAAAGAAACAATGCAAACAGTCGAATCTAATGATTTCAAAACTTTTAAGCTTCATGCAAAAGAATAATTATTGGCAGTACAATTAATTTAATAGCAAAACTTTTCCAACTAACACCGAATTTAAAAGCTTTCAGTAACTGTAATTTCTGTGTTAAATAAATTATTTTCAATTTACGATCATTAAGAAGTGCATTTGACGTAACCATGTTGGAAATTGCCACTTACAACTTGCCAATTTTTTTCGATCTTAAGATCATGATTGTAAATTGAAGCTTCGATACAATCGTTTCGTTTATTTCATAAAACATAACATGTGCGATGTAACAATTTCAAATATATTTACGAAACTTCTGCGGCGCTTAGAAATGAAATTTCTAGACACTGAAATATGCATGCAAGCAAGCGCAATGCAATGCAATGCAAACAATTTTCTTTTACATTCTTTGTTTCTTTTCTGCAGATGTCATATAATTATTTTGATATGTTATACGATCAGATATCATTGTCTTTATTCATATTCTTGAACTATTTATAATTTGTATTCAATTAGAATTTATATAAATAATGATTAGATGGCCGAAGACAAATGGTGGGTCGGTTCACTGCAGTGCAAAACATTTCACGCTTTCTTATTACTCGCAACATGAAATCATAACTACGTCAAAATAAAAATTATCCACCTATGTCTAGAGCAGCAAGTTTTGTACACATTTTAACGTAATCTTACTTTTCTCGTTTCTTCATTACATAACTTTGATGTGAAAAAAACGCTAAATAAACTTGACTTTGAACTAAACATGCAACAATGTATAGAAGAAAATAAGAAGTGAAAAAAATAAATAATTAGGTTTCATAGCAATTTTGAGAAATTTTGATGGCTTGTTAAAAGAAATCAACCTTTGTTTTTGAAACTTTCGCAATTGACCGTTTGATCGAATTTACTATTAAATAAAAAATCAATAATAACCTTAGGAGATCAAGATATTCAATTCAACTTTTTTATAAAACAAAACTGAAACTTATTTAGATCAACGACATCGAAGCATGTGCCAAAGTGATCCGATCATAATAAAGATATGAATCGACTAAATAAACGTTCTTTCTTTGTTTAAGAAAAGTTTTATGGTTTTATTTATGGCTATGATGATCCTGTCCAGTCTACTGTTTGGTCGTGTTTGCGGTACATGAAACGAAGAATAAGGAAAGATCTTCAATTCTCTTTGAATGACCATTTTGATGTAAAATGTTTCAGCTTTGTTTCATGGGACGGATTTCTAAACAACAGCTCAGATAGCTTATCTATGTAGTTTTACAACGAAGCAACATAATTTATTAGTAATTAATATTTTCTATTATTTATTTCAACAGTCATGTTTGCTAAGCGCTTATGAAGCTTAATTGAGTCCTTTTGCGATAGGAATCTCCAATAAAAATTTAATTTTGTCGACCCAACGAAGAAGGCACATGCAATACCTGGCAAGGCGATATATTGGCTGACACATTTTGTCTGATGAATTATCGATCTTTCTCTTGTTCTATGCCTGCACGTTTGCACAATTATCGTTTTCTTTTGTTCTTTTCCTTAACGTTCCGCAACAAAAAAATTTTTTCTTTCACGACTCACTGAAATGTTGGATAATTTTGAGTTAATTTTAGGGGTGGAAAAATAGTGACATTTAAGAATAAACCTTACACATAAAATGCGTGCCGTGCCAGTAATCAAGCAGGTGAAATCTTGAGCTAAACTAAATAGCATCGAGCGCTTCCTTGTTGATTGAGAAGATCATTTCTTGTCTGCCTTTGTTGATGAAATTTGATGTAAAAGGAAATGATAACATTTAATGTAGCAGAAACATATCACGATCTCAATTTTGTGTGAAAATTTAGAAATTAACCAAAGATCCTTTCGAATACTTAAATTAATAATTTTTTATTTAATGCTTTCAAGGTGTTTGAACTGACTTTTGAAATGAAATAAAACAGTGAATTTAATTTCGTCTAGTCGAAATCAATATTTGAAATTATTACTCGCTTCAAGGTTTCTTCATTTCCAAATAATAATTTTCATTTGCATCTCAAACAGATTCTCTAAGGCATTTTGTAATTTTGCTTCAAATCAATCCTAAGGCATTACTTATATTATTAAATGCTCATTAAAACTCGTGTCTGAATCCAAATCAAATGATTTTCCAAAAACTATTTCGTGCTGAAATTGTTGTAAGCATTTAAGCTTGCACAGATTTTATCTGATCAGAAGTAAAACTTCAATCAAAACATCTACGTAAAAACGATGTGAGATTAAATTGCTGGCAGCATCATCGATGCAATAGAAGCGAAATATTTTTTAGTTTAAAGCTCATTATTTTCCTTTCTTGGTCGCTGACGGCCAACTTACTTCACTGATATAACATTATATTATTCTTCATTATGCGGTCTTCTTCATTCTATGAATAATTTTTTTTCCTTCGTTTTTACTACACATATCTAATCATAAATGATTCAGTGGACTAAATGGTTGTGTGCAAATCTGCCCGAAAGCAATGTTTTAAATATTAGAAGTGAAAATATTCTACTGAAATGTTTTATTCTTAATGCAAATTTGAATAAAAATTAGTATTAAACACGTAATTACATATAAAATCTATTATTTTATTAAAAAATAAAGTTTCAAAAAT